AGTTGGACATCCGCTTTATAGATATACTTTGTAGATATGTATATGTTCATTTCTATATCTATTTAGTGATCACTTTATAGGGATACTGCAGGACAGGAGCGATTTCACACCATAACTACATCATATTACCGAGGTGCGATGGGTATCATGTTAGTTTATGATATAACTAACGCGAAAAGCTTCGACAACATTGCTAAATGGTTAAGAAATATTGATGAGGTATTTATGTTTTTTTTTTTTCTGAGTGACGGAGATCTCTTTTAGATGACACACTTCTTTAATATATACATCATAAATTTGTGAGACCAGCAAGGATATTCATGTTAAAAGGATTCATCTGCGAAGCTTTCTTTTAGACTCAAGAGAATATTTCGTGTTGAGAGGAATTGACTTCATATTTGGTTTTCTTTATTCTGGACTTGTTTTAAGCAAGCTTGGAACATAATTTTTTTAGGGTTTGTAGATATAAGTGAAATTCCAAGCTTAGAGCTTAGAAAGTTGTGTTCATGAACCTTCTTTAGTCTTATAACAATGTATGAAGGAAGTAGTATGTTTCTATTATCGAATGTTAAATTAGAGTCTTTTTTTTTTATTTTTTTGTAATTTATTTTAGCATGCGTCAGAAGATGTGGAAAAAATGTTGCTGGGTAATAAGTGCGATATGGCTGAGCGGCGAGTAGTATCTCGTGAAAGAGGCGAGAAAATAGCCAACGATCACGGTATTAGGTTTCTGGAAACATCTGCTAAGGCAAATATACAGATTGACAAAGCATTCTATGATCTTGCCGAAGCTATTCTTGATAAAGTTAGTGTTTTTGGCTGTTTAAGTATTTAGGAATTATATCTTACTAATTATATGAACAGCACTTTATTCTACTGAAAACAGCCATGACTAAGGCACACGAAGCATTCTTTCTCTTAACACGTATCCTACTTTGCTTAATATTGTCACTGGCGTTCTGATTTCCGCGCATTGAGAATCAAATTACTGCATGCAATAATGCAAAATGTAACAGCAGGTAGGTTGCTGTTATAGGTAGATGTAAGCATTTAGGAATTAAATTGATGAGGAAAGCAAGAATACAATTAAATTCGCTAGTTAGTATCCATTTTGAACAACCAGAATTAGAGATGGAGGAAATTTCTGACAAATACTTTATTAATGTCTCCGAGATTTAAAGAGATTCGAGCAGTTATTATTTAGTTGACTTTACGTAACATATATTGATTTATACATTTTTTAAAGTTGTGTTGTATAATACTTTTAATGTTTTTTAGATGCCAATTAAAAACGAAGGAATGAAGCAACCAACAATACGGCCCGCAGAACCACAGAATAATGTAGCAATAGGTAGATTGTCATGCTGTTAATTTATTCTTCATAAGCATTTTCTTTTGGTAAACAGTTAATATAATATTTCATTAAGTGTTTCATACCTTTCTGCTTTTACCATTAATTCAACCATATGAACGCGAAAGAAGGACATTGCATATAATTGTTCTCTGAATGTGTAATTGTTTGACGTAATTGAGATGTAATAATGATTTTTGGCTATTACAACAAAAAAAAATCTCTTTTTCTATTAAAGCTCAATGTTTCGTCCTTGTTGATTTCGGCCGTTGCTGTACTGTATCATTTTCATGTCTCATTTTGCTTTTTATAAGCTTTTTCGAAGTTTAAAAGCATAATAGAAAATATGGATATAATTTTAAGAAGTTAGTTTTTACGTGTTTTACGTAAAAAAACCTTTTTATGGTCAGAAGTGGTGGGATGAAATTCAAGACGAAAATTCATGTTAGGATGTGAAAGTTTCCAAAAGATCTGTTTTTAAAACATGTAAATGATGAATCACTGCTGAAAATATTTATCCGATGCTCAAAATAGCAGATGCCAGAGATTGTTGTCATTTGCAACTCGATATGAATTTATGAAAAGCTCAAAAATTTTTCCTGTATTCTTAGGCGGATTATTTAATTGCATCCATATCTAGCCCTCTTATTTGGAATTCATCACTTCCATTTATTCCCTGTTCCAAATTTTATTTTGCTTTTTACGGGATTTTTTATTCTATTGAAATATGTTTTTACAAACTATCTTCCTAAAAGGAGTAGAAAGTTTATTAATATTCTTTTCGTATGAATTCCTTCATAAATTTTTGATCTTCAGTATTTCTGGAATTTCTTTTACCTTCGTCTCCTCATTTCCTGTTCGTAGTCTTGCTGCTTTGAAATAACGCTCATTTGTGGTCTTGCTGCTTTGAAACAGCAATCACTTTTACGAATTAAAGATATGGTTGCCCACTTCTGGTTCATAGTTTTACATTTATTCGCAAGCTTTTGTCGTGCATCATGTTTTGTATTTTTCCTTTTTCTTTTCATCGTTGTCATTTGTGAACTTTTTTTGTTACAAAAAAATCAATGACTTTTTGGTTAGTTTGTTTGGATTGGCTAACGGAGTTTTAGCGGGTTGATCGGTCCAATTATGTCCAAGCTAGACTTATTTCCACATCGATAGAATTGTTTAGAAGTATTAAAATAGAGAAAGTTCCGACTTCATGGGAGAAAAGGAAAGACTTCAGTCTCAAATCCCTTATTTACTTGTGTGTCGTCTATATACTTTTCTACTTTTTTGTCTGTATTAGAAAGAAAAGCGTTGGAAGCTTCCTTCTTTCTACTTGTTTCTTGATGCGCTTTTGAATAACAAAATTTTATATCCTTTTGTAAATTGAATAAAGTAAAACCGTATATTTCCTGCAAATACTTTTGAAATGTTTCACATCCATTATGACCATTTTAGACTGATAAGTTTAAGTAGTTGTCGGTTAACTGACACAGTTCAAAGCAAGTAAAAATTGAATGCCAATGCCAGTGAAGGGAATGATACATAGCATCTGCATCTCTTGACTTAACTTTTCTCCACAGTTGGTGTGTCAAAGTCAGCATTATGTTGTTTGTGTGATGTTAGACAACAAGCGGACTTTTGTGAAGTCGTTACATCTGGATATCGGAGTATCGTGTAGGCTGTTTGTAGAAGCTGGTGACGATTTGCATGTCACATTTTTAGACATTTCAGTTCTTTATATACTGAAAGAGAGAAATCGTGGTAATCATCAACTTACTAGTATAGTATATAGGCGAAAATCCCCCTGTCAGTGTACTGGGTTTATAAATGCATATTCGAGATGACTTGCCTTAATTTTTTTTTTTTAAATTTTGGATTTCAGGAAAGCTATTGTTCTAAAAAAAGTAGAACCCAATACTCGAACAATTGCTCTAAACCATTTAAACTTGCATTACAAAATTTGAAAAATGCTGTTATTTGATTCTTCACGAAATCTCCGTATTTCATTTTATCAAAAATATTTAAGACTATCTTTATAAAATTCAAATCATTTATTCTTTTGAAGGTGTAATTAATATTTCATAATTTCAAATAAAAGCTAGTAGCTAGTATTTGTCATCTGGAATTATCCTTGAACGGCTGGAAAATATCAATGGCATTATAAATTTCTGAGAAATAAATTGCTGGTTGGAGTAGTGAAACAAGATAAAATCGACGAATGCTCTGAAAACTGTGTACTATAAAAAGCTTTCGAATAATACCAATAACATGAAAGATGTCAGGGGGGAATTTAATGATTCCAATGGACACTAGCGCTGTGATCGATTCAATCTCGTCAACTCGACAAGTATTTACTTTCAATTTCTAATCATAAAAAAGATCAGAGATGAAATTCGAATTGAACATAAATTCCAGTGGGGAAGAGTAAAAGGACTGAAAATACAAGTAAGTCCAAATTTAATTTGATATTATCATTATTTCTTTAATTTCTCAGTATTTTCCAGCATTGTAAATCAGCGAAGGTAGCATTAACTAAACTAATGAAATCGAAATGAAAGATTGTGACCGTTCAGGCATCATTACTAATGATAATAAGCATTGGAGATTTCTTTTCTGTTTTTTCTAAATTCTTAATTTCTTTCTTTTGATGTTGCTATTATAGATGGAATGTGATCAAAGCAATGGTTTGAAAAATTTCTATTATGATAGCAATAATAAAGAACAAAAATTGGAGATTAGTTGAATATATAGATTCCTAAAAAAAAAGAAATTTCTTTTATTTGTATCATCATTGACTTTACGATAACTTACCAAACATTATGAAAACTAAATTGGGAATAATTTCTAAAAAGTACTGACTTCATTCGGAAACAACAAATAACGTTTCCAACAAAAACATCTACGGAACTCATTATGTATCGAAATGAAAAGTTTGTAAATTCTGTGTATTCCTAATTGTTGTTGATCCATCAGCTGAGAGAAATGAAAAGTGATGCCTTTGAGAAATAAAAACAATTCATACAACGTACCATGAATTTATATGTTTGCAAAAGTGGTGGATGATTTGGAATGTAACTGCACTTTTTTCCATGAATTGTGCGCAATTAATAATTTGAATGTTTTTTGATTTATTTGTACAGTTATTGCATCCATCAGTATTTACTACCTCTTTATTTTTCTATACCTTTCATTTCATTCACTATTTAAAAAAGAAGAGTATTTATATGTCACTGTTCCCGTTTGGTAGCAATTCTTTTGTCACTTAATTTTCATCAAAAAATGAAGTATTGAAGAAGAAGAGAGATGATAAACGAAGGATAGAATCGATGAAATTGTTGGAAACAGGTTTTTCTCGGAAAGGTTTGATAACAGAATGGGCAGCAATATGCTGTTGCTTTCAGATGTTTGTGGTATCTGTCTTTTGATAACTTCACTGTACTCTAAATGAACGTTTACATAATGACTAATTAGTGGATGGGAGAGTAAAATTAAGTGCGTTTTTATTATCAATTGTGAATGTTTTATCGAAGACAAAAATTTCATCTTTTCCTTCTTGCTTTGATAAAACTGGAGTACTGCATGCCTTACCTTACTCTCTAATTTTTTCTTCACTTCCTTTTTTCAAGCAAAAACTTTTAAGGAACATTTTTCAAGATAAATGCAAGATTGTGCTTCGATAACCAACGCTGAATTTATTTCGCCACCTGATGATTCAAATGATGATTTCAACACCAGCAATTTTCGAAGGTTTGTTATTACAGTGCAAAGTTAAGTGATTATTTTTAAGTGAAATAAATACCTTTCTTGCCTCTTAAAAATTTTAAAACTCAATTAATATGTGAAATTAGGTTAAAAATACTTATTTAAATGGTACTTATTTAAATAATGCTGGTTTTATTATGCCATTTGAAATTTCGAAATGATTTTAAATGGAAATTTCTAAATTAATTTGCAGGAATAGTTCAGTAAATTCTTTCCGCTGTACAGCGCCACGTAATTCTTTAAGTGGACAACAATTTTATTCCTTAGTTAATGTTCCAAATAATTATCATACTGTGGAAAACATCAAACAAAAACGATCCTCTAAGCTATTCGATCGACCTGAACTTTTTATGCATGCATTAGTAAGTTTTTTTAATATGTGTTTAAATATTTGTTTGTTATATGTTTTAATATATATTTAATAATAAGTTTAATACCAAAAATCTAAAATGATTTCGAAAATTTTTTTAACTTGATTTTTTGAGAAATTTGAGGAAATCAATTCTTTTTTATCATATGATTTTTGTGTTCTCAAAATAAAAAAAAAAAAACAGATTAGTAGCATATTATTAAATAATCTTGTGATATATAAGAATAAGGTCACCTAGAATAACTTTTCTATGTTATCTTCGTTTTTTCGGATGGACTTTGAATTATCAAATTACAAGAAATCCAAACTATCATTCTCATCCTTGTCTGAGATCATCATATTGAATTTATTATTATACTTTTAAAGGAATCACTCAGTAACAGATATGATTATTTTTCTATGGAAAGATGTGGATGACAAATTTGTAAAGTTAATTTTTTTTTCATACGTTTTTTCAGACCGAAAAATTGAAGGGACCTTGGATTGAACAGGTCTTTCTGAAACGCGAATGCATCAGATACATTCCAACTTTTGGGACGAACAAGTAAATAATTGTTTGAAACATTTCATTTTTACAGTATGAAAATTGTGATAGTTTTGTGTTGCAAGGATAACGGGAGTTTGTGGGAGCTGCATAGTGTCGATCGATTGAGAATGATAAAAGTCCCTGAGAAAGTTATGAATTGTTCTCGATGTTCTAGCATTGCTTCAAGAGTTGATCAGTAATAGGAATTAGTGATTCCTTGTTTTACTCATTAATTAATCCTCTTACCAATACATTTCATTTATTGAAATAGCATAAACAGAAATTTTGGAATCATGATTGATACCTAAGGCGAAATATTGTACATTCGGCCAGATCAAAAGACATAATAGCGATGGCATCGCATTCGACTACTGAAAATCAATAAAAGTATACTAATGATTGCTGTTAATAAAAAAAAAAATCACTGAAATATTGGACTTTTTAATTACAAACAAATTTAAAAGATAAAAGAATAATTGGGAATCCCAAACTTCCCTAATGATATGACATTGTTGACCAAATCATTTTAGGATTATGGCACCTTTTATTGGACTCTAAAATTATCAGTGCATTGTGCAAAGTATTTTTTAATGGTTAAATTACTTTTTTACTTTTAAATTATTTTGAAAAAAAAAATGATAATATTTCAGATGCGGTTGTGGACTGTCTCTGAATGCGCATAGCCTGGCAGTAATATCACAGTTTAGAGCAACAATGATGAACGATGAAGCAGCAGTGCGATCATCAAGTCAACCAGTACGTTGGAGTATTACCGAGCATACAAAAACCGCTCACACAGATGCCTTTGGAACTTTGGAATTTTCGGTATTCTTTTAGACAAATATATGTTTTGTGAAATTTCATGAAATTTTAAATTTGGCATGGGTATCATTCTTTCCTAATCTCATCAGACCTTTTCCATGTTATCCCAATGCCATTATCCTTATGTGTCTTAATATCCCTCTAAATATTTTGAGCTTATAGGGTGGTGCTCATGCACACAAAGCGCATTATGTTCGTTTGGGCTACGATTCAGATCCTTCTGACATCATGTATCTGATGGAAAAAATCTGGGGACTGGACCCGCCTCGTCTTGTTATCACAGTTCATGGTGGCATCACCAATTTCGAGTATTCTTTCATTATTTTGCTTTTTCGAATTCAGTTGAATAACGTAAAACTCTTAATTTTTATTACAAAAAACTTGGAAGTTATTAATTTCGAAGAGTGCAAGAGAAACTCGGTCAAGTATTTCGGAAAGGAATGCTGAAAGCGGCACAAACAACGGGAGCTTGGATTATAACTGCCGGAATAGATGCCGGAGTGGTACGACATGTCGCTACTGCCCTCGATGAAGCTGGCATATCAGCAAGGTATTTTCCTTATCTGTTTAATTTTCAGTAGTTTGAAGGGAAGCTGATTTGCTGATTAAAATATATTTATTTAATATGATACGTTAAATCACTTCTCACAATTTACTTTTTCATGAGCTTCCATCCTTTCTGTCTGAGAGTCATTATCAAATTTTTAGGATGCGATCAAAAGTAGTTACAATAGGAATTGCCCCTTGGGGTTTATTGAAACGACATGAAAAATTAATCGGCAAAGATATCGTTGTATCCTACGACCCACATTCCTTTTCTTCCAAAAGTAAATATGCAACGTTGAATGATCGACATTCGTATTTCTTACTTGTGGATAATGGGACAAATGGAAGGTAGTGCATTAAAAGTTTATTGTTCATGTCGATTTGCTGTATATTTTTTGCATCTATGTGAATGAAGCATGATAATTCAGTCTTTAACAAATCTTGGACACAGATACGGCGCTGATATCATATTGCGAAAACGTTTTGAAGAATTCATAGCTCGAAAACAAACAATTGGTTTGGGGACACGACATGTACCTGTCGTTTGCGTGGTGTTGGAAGGTGGCACTTGCACTATCCGAGCAATACTTCAATATTTAGCCAAGTACGTTGTTTCTAAAAAGCGTATCGTAGATGGTTTGATGACTGGATTGCATGACTCGTTTAATTTTCAAGATTTCAGTCAACCTCCAGTTCCGGTGATCGTTTGTGATGGTAGTGGAAGAGCTTCAGATCTCATTGCATTTGCACGTCAACATGTTCAGGAGAATGGGTTAATTATTATTTGGCCTAGTACTAATAACTTCATGACGAAACATTGAACTTTTATTATGGTCCACTGATAAGCTAACTGAGCTGAGATTCAAAATCTGACAACACATTCATAAACGATTATTATTCATGAACTTTTGAAATTTCGGTATATACTTACTTTTTCTCTTATAACGAAATAAAACTAAACGACTAGTGAAAGAAATGTTGCAACGAATGATTTGCAAGAAATGAATTTTAATGACTTGTCGTCATGCGCTAAATTTATCTTCACCTTCTTTACTTTGTACAGTGTTTTCGACATATTTTAGGAAAAAAAATATTCGGAACATGAAATGCTAATAGTTAGATAAAAGCTGTAACAGCTTAGATCACATGAATTTTCAGGAATTTGCCGCGAGAAATTCGTGTGCAACTTCTCACTCTGGTTGCCTCGGTATTTCGTTACAGTACAACACCGGCAGAACAAATTCTTGAAGAAATATTGTGTTGCGCCAAACATCGTGATTTGGTACATTGATTGTATTTAAATGGCTTTCTGTTTCTAATCATTCATTTTATTTCCAATTTGTTTTTTCTTGTCTTTTACAGTTGACAGTTTTTCGTTTGAGTGGAAACAAGAAGCAAGACGTTGATCACGCCATTCTGAGTGCTATATTGAAGGGACAAAATCTTTCAGCAGCTGACCAGGTACTATTGTTACTGAAGTTGACCAATACTACATATGGAATTTCTAAAAACATCTAGTTAGTATTAATTTTCAACCGTGTGATAAGTTGAATGGATAATTATTTTCAAAATTGTTTTTTGATAAGCGAAATCTTGAAGCAATTCGATCAAAATGGCTTTAAAATAACTAATTTTTAGCTTGCGTTAACCCTTGTATGGAATCGAGTGGACATTGCACGCTCAGATATCTTCTTGGCCAATCTAAACTGGAATCCACATCTATTATATAATGCAATGATGGAAGCGTTGGTATTGGATCGCGTCGATTTCGTTAAACTTTTATTGGAAAATGGAGTTTCGATGAAGAAATTTCTGACAATCAGTCGATTGGAACAGCTTTATAATATGGTTATTAGCTTCTATTTAATCCTTCTATTTAATATGGTTATTATTAGCTTCTATTTTAATTTTACTTTTCAGTTCCTTCGATTTTTCACACCACTTTAGATATCAGTTGACTTAATTATGTAGTTGGAAATATAATTTTAAATAATGACTTAAATTTTATTTGCTTATCATTTTTAATGTAAGTTACTACTATTTAGAAATAACAAAGGAAAATTTTTTTATCACATTATGGGTCATTGATTTATGCTCAGGAACAAGATTCAATTCTACCTCTAATCAACGATAACATGTCGATAATTGATGGCCGAATTACATTGCCAAAAATTGGAGTTGTTATCGAGCGACTGATGGGAAACGCTTACAGATGTTCGTACACATCCAGAAAATTCAAAAATAAATACGAAAAATGCAGGAAGAAAGCGCTGGTGAGTAATAAATAGAGTATATATGAGAATGAATGTTTCCTTAATTAAATAAAAAAAAAACGAATTTGCATCTTTTCAGATTTCTAGAATTCCAAGTTTCCGAAGTCTTTGTGCTACGTATTCGAAAACAAGAAAAATAGCTGGTGTAATGTTTTATTTTGATTTCACACAAGCATCTTCTGAATTTTCATTTAGTGAAATTCAGGCTTCGTATCATCTTGAAACTTTTGAGTAGTAGAGAACGCAGAATCGAGAAGTACTGCAACTTTCATAAAGAGATTTACGAATTTTAACACTCACAAATTTGTATACGTCCTAGTCTGCAAATAGAGAGCTTGAATCTCAGGGACTCTCTTAAGGACATGTAGTTTATTTGGTCATTATTTAAATTGATGCTTCAAAAAACTTTTGATATTTTTAACTATTTTAAATCGCGAGGAAACTTTGATTTACTATTACTTGTTCAGGAAGCCAGAAGTAATATGAGGAAAAGATTGCGAAGGGAAAACAAAGAGGGTGAGAAGAATTGTTTGTTATATTCTCATTGTTTGTTATGGAAATGAGTTTCACACAAATGAGGTTGCAAGAATTGTCGGAATAGCAGCTCATTTCACCAAGCTGAAAAAAAATCTGAAATGAATGGGCTTAACTGACCAAGATAGTAGTTTTTAAAATATGCTAACCGTTTTCGCAAATAAGCGCTCATATTAACATTCATTCTCTTATTGGCAGATGATGATTTTCAATTCCCATTCAATGATTTAATGTTATGGGCAGTCCTGTCACGTCGACAGGAGATGGCACGTTGCATGTGGATGTATGGTGAAGAAGCTATGGCCAAAGCATTGGCTGCTATAAGGCTTTACAAAAGTATGAGCAAGGAGGCTGCAGATGAATACATCGAAGTTGAAGTATCCAATGAACTTCGGGAGTTTGCAGAGTTTGCTCTTTTATTTTTTTAGAAGTAAAAATTATCCACTCAAAAAAATATGTGGTGGATGTATTATGCATTTTGCTAATTTGAACAGCTTTAATTTCATTGAATTTTTTTAGAATAGCAATATTTAATTTGATAGTTTGACAGTTGCAGTCACAGTGAATTAGTATTAGCCTATAGATGAACTGTGCATTTCCAGTGAAGGAACTATGGGTGTAACTCTCATGAATTATTCCGGTTCTGAAATTGAACGAGTTCTTCAAATTCTTACTTTGCAGGGAGTTCAAAAGAGAAAGCTTAAGTTTGCTCAATCATTGTCACTTGCAAGATGATGCAGGAACTCTTCGATTGCTAACAGCTGAATTACCTAATTGGGGACATCATACTTGTCTATCGTTGGCTGTTATTGCGAATCATCGAAGATTCTTGGCTCACCCATGGTGAATATTTACTTATCTTGAAGTGACTGATTAATCGAACATTACGGTCTTCAATTAAACTTTTCTAATTCTTCCAAAATTCATTCGCTATTATTAGTAGACTCTTTTTCAAATACAAACATTAGAAAAATAGACTAGATGAACTAAAATTAATCTCAGAAAAGGAAAACTTAAGGCATATTCTTAATTGAATTGGTTGCAATATTGTTTACTGCTTCATAAACATGTGACAGTAATTGCTGCTTAAATTTGATATACTTATTGTCTGAGTCATATTTGTAACATCTGCAAAAAATTTAACTCTTAAAATTGAGGTTTTTTCTAAAGCTTTTGTTTCAGCAAAAAATTCATTTTAGCTGTCAAATTTTGCTGGCTGACTTATGGCATGGTGGTCTTGGCATCAAAAGGTACTTTTTGTGAAATTATCAACTATTTCTTCCAGCTATTCAAACTTAAAAGTAATTTTAGCACTGGCTTTTCCTCCTAGCATTTTATTGCTGGATGTGAAAGCACGAATTTCTAATCGTCGAATGGATTCTTTCACACGACATTCGTTTGTGATCGAAGGGAATGAATTCAATAACGTAAGAATTCTCATTCGACCATTTTTGTCAACCAATTTTAGTAATACCTGCTTATTGGTTAAAGGCTTTCTAGTATATCAATTATTAATTAATTATCTTGCAGGAGAAAGATGATCATAGTGAGAATAGTGCTTCTTCATCGTTTCATACTTCAGAAGTATGTCTTTTTTCCTACTTTACACAGGTTGTATGCTTTTTTAAAATTCCTAACTTTCAGTAGTTTTAGCACTTAAAAATAAGACGGAAAACCAGATACAAGACATCCACATTCTCGCAACGTATGACAAATTTTTTCGAGACAGCCAACTTAATCGAAGAAACTTTACGGGTCAAATCAGGAGCTATAGACCCGCGAAAACCAGTTGGCACAAGTTTGCAAGAGGTTGAAGAGGTACCTTTCCATTTAATTGTAGTCAAATTACAAAGTCACTAGGTGCCATCCAGATCAGAAGGCTATTACATTATCATTGACAGTTCCTCAAATTTCATTTTTATAAGTTAGAAGACAGCTTTAAAATTAATAAAGAAAACTATGTTTATAGATAGAGAAGGTTATCATAATTAATTGTTGTTATATTTAAAGGTTATGTCTCACATTAACTCTCCCACACTTTTTTTTCTTTTTGAAATGAAAACTTACAAAGCATCGTACTGGACACTCTTTCTCATTCTTAATGTCTGTCCGTGTGCGAAAAAAATTTTTTTTTTACAGATGACACGAAAAACATCGTGGACGACTAAATTTAGTATTTTCTATTCTGCTCCGATTACTACTTTCTGGATATGGCTTGCAAGTTATTTCGTATTTCTGAGCGTCTACACATACGTAATACTGATTGAATTCCCAGTAAAGCCAACTCAAGTGGAATGGTTTCTTCTTGCATATGTTGTCGCTTTTGTTATGGAACATTTTCGAAAAGTAACTTTTAAATACTCATGTACACATATAGTTATTGATTTATTTTTTCTCTGCTACTTAGAAGATATTTTGGTAACACAAAAAATAAAATAGTACAGTATTATTGTTTACATATGCTTTCTTTCATTTAATCAGTAGTATTGCCATGAGTAATTTTGCTTCCTTTTATTTCTTTTTCTTTGAATTTTAGTTGCTGGTACAGGAAGCAAGTACCATTCTCGAGAAAATACGTGTCTATTTTGATCGCTGTTGGAATTACTTGACTTGCTTAGCTATTATAACATTCTTTATTGGTTTTGCGTTTCGGTGTAATCACCTGACACGTCATTCATACGGACGAATCATTTTATCATGCAATATTGTGTTTTGGTACATTAAACTTCTGGATTTCATGGGTGTTCATCCAAGGCTAGGACCATACATACAGATGACAGGAAAGATGGTAAACTTTTTTGAAGATAATTCTGAAATAGATAGGAAATAACCTGTTTAGTAATTGAATGATAACATTTTTCTCTTTCCGTAAAAATAACATTTATTCGGGCGGTAGAGAGATTCAAATAAATTTAGCTATATCTTTTTGAGTATTGATAATGTCACTTGAGGAAATTTGTGACAGATTTGCAAATTAAGTTTTCTCATTTTCCCACTTTGATAACGTATATCACTTTTTTTTTTTCAGTTTGCGCATTGTTAGCTAATTTTCGAAAGTTGAATATAGGGTTTTTGCATTTTTGTTTCCAAGTGTAGGTTGTTTATCTTAGATTGTAAACATGATGTATATTCTGGCTCTGTTGTTGGTGACACTGATGTCTTTCGGAATATCACGACAAGCAATCACTTATCCTCACGAAAAATGGCAATGGCTCTTGATAAGGAATATTTTTTACAAACCGTATTTCATGCTGTATGGTGAAGTATATGCAGGAGAAATTGATACCTGCGGAGACGAAGGTAAATTTTATAAACTATTCCAGTTACCAGTCTTTTTCTATCAAGGTAGGAGGAGATTCTTACTTTCAGTACCAAAATTATTACACTAACTGATTTCGCAGTCTTTCAAAACTAGACATGTTGGAGACTTGCCGTATCCCCGAAAATAAAACAGGAAAATATATGAAGGTAATGAATGCTATTTGTGACTGTATCTCTTCTTAAGCATGTTTGCTAAAAGTGTCAGTTTGAACTGTTAGGGGAGGTATTTTGTAAGTATACTTCGTTGTCAGGTATTAACTGCGTTCCTGGTGGATGGATACCGCCAATTCTGATGACCATCTTCCTTTTAGTGGCAAATATTCTTTTGATCAACATGCTAATCGCTATTTTCAAGTAAGGAATTACAGCTAATGAATTTTTTGATGCGTGCAGTGCAAAGACTCGAGAAAATGGATCTGAAAAGCATTGTACAACATTGCATCAAAATTTAACTTCAGTTTAAAATTCTTCTTAATGGATTCGATAGTCACGAATTAGTTTGAAAATCGCTTCAGCAATATCTTCAATGAGACAAATGCCATTGCACAGCAAGTTTGGCTCTTCCAGCGTTACGAACAAGTTATGGAGTACGAAAATACACCTTTTTTTCCGCCGCCTTTTACACCGATATCGCATCTGATGATCTTGTTTAAATATTTCTGGAAAGTTAGAAAAATTCTCATCTAATAATTTCCATATAAGTCATACGCCTTTTTGAAAACACTACTATCCAAGTTTTTATCTTGTTATATCTGAAAAAATGGAAAAAATCATTCTTCAAAATAAAAATTGACTATATCCATATATTTGTTTTCTTATGTTTTTTGGTATTATTTCCTCTTGATTTAAAACATTCTATTTATAGTTACGCAAAAAAAGTGGACGAAGAGGACAAGGGATTAGCAAACGGGGAGGATTCTTCGATTTTTCAATGAGTAAGTAGGAAAATTTTTTGTTTTAAAAATTGAAAATCTTTTTTCATGCAAACACTGTTTTTTAGAGCTAAGTTTAAACGATGACGAGTTACGTTTATTGCGCGATTTTGAAGAAGATTGCATGGATGATTTGTCAAGGAAGAAGAGTCTTTCACAACCATTGCAGGTCGATTATGAGTTAAAAACAGCTGCAGAAAGGTAAATTATTTTTCTGTTCTTGAACAAAAAAAAATGAGGTGAAATTAACATGAGCTAAACAAAATTATTTGATACCTCTATGGTAGCTTCCTACCATCTGTCGCACATGGTTTTCCAATTATAGCAGCAATAATGAGTTAAAGCTTCTGTGGAAGAACCACCAAACAAAAAAATCCTTAAATTTTTGAGAAAATGGTAAATAACAAGGATTTCATGTGGGTACATTTCAGAACTGGTAGCTTGCAAGCTCAGCTAAATGACATGGTAAATGAAGATTGCAGTATCAAATCGTTTCTCCGAGAAATAGAATCGAAACTCTATATCATTGAGACGAATCAGCAAGCGATGCTCAAACTATTACAAAGCTCAGCTGACAAAGAAGCAAATTATAATAATTTACCAAGTAACACAGAAGCAATTAGAAAGAAGAATTTAAGCGTTATGCGAAAGAAAATTTTAGCAGAAAAAAGAGAATCAGTTGGAAAGTATGCAAACATTAGTAGCAGTGATGATGAAGAATGCATGCGCTATACATATAAGCTTCCAGAAGCGCGTAACATTTATCAAATTACGAAGAGGTAAACTAAAAACCTATCAAATTTCCTGAAATTTTTTGAAAATAGTATCTTTATTGGTCACATCAAGACAGCACATCGGTAATTAGTCAATTTGCTCTTAGCACATTATAAGCATGTAAACATTATGCATTGCTTTGTGAAATTTAAGAAAGTACTCGTTTAAAGTCTAAAGTCTAGTTTTGAAAATTTGCGCGGGTTAAGGAATTTGAAATATATAACAGCTATTTTAAAAAATTTGAAAGTAAAATTTGAAAGCAGTAAGGATTTTATAGTCATATCAGTACGTTTGTCTTTTAAGGAATTTCACTACAAATTAGATATTTTCAGGTAGTAAAGAGAAAAGAACATGAATTATTTTATTTCTTTAATTTCAGAAGATCATTTATTCTTCGTGATGAAGTCTATACATCGATAACAGATACAATTGAGATGCCTAAAGTATTGTACGCTCTAGATGACCCAGTTCAACGAGCCGCTTCTCCTAGCATTCGTGCAACACAACTTGGTAATATGGCATTCAAAAATCTTGAAAAGGTAGAGTATGTTTTTTGTTTTTTGATAAAAACTTTGAGGTGATGAATTAAATTTCGTGGATTTTCAAGACAAAAGAAGAGATTCTTTATTAAATGCAACAATAGCAACGTTCAAATTAGATTAACTGCTGACTAATCTAATTCTTTTCCTCTTTAATTTTTTTGGAGAAATTATCCCAAAATTTTATGGAAAATTATTCGAATTATCGTGTCTTTCATTATAGTCCAGTCCTAGTACAAATACATCATCTGATTACAAATTTCCTAGAATATGATGAAAATGCAAAAAAGCCGTTCCATTTTATTTACACACTACTCAGCTGTACTACTCGTACAGTATAGCTTCCATTAATCTACATAAGTATCTTTTCATATTTCGCTTGTCTTAATTGCTCGCTCTGTCCAGTGATGATCTGGTAACTTTGTAAGTTTTCCTCAGTTGGATTTTGTAAAAACAGTTAATTACCGCCTGAGAGATTTTGAATTTGAAACTAAAGTGCTTTAAATTATTCACTTTAGGTTTCTAGCTGTACAATGGGAAGAGAGGTACGAGTACAGCCCTCAAAATGGTCCATTACGGATCTTGAGGATATGTGTCGAGAAGAACTATCAGAATCGGCAAACAGTGATACGAATGAAACTGCCATACGTACACCTCCATATATCGAACTTAATGAATGATTGGAACATTTTGAATACAATGAATAGGAGAATTGCTGTTGTAGACTAACTCATAATGCATCCCTTCTTCATAATTTAATAATTATGAGTTTCATATACTACTTCTACAAATTCCACACATTTCTTTGCATCTTAATATTGCATTCTTCGTTATTCCCTTTCCACACCTTCAACAAATCGATATCTTCTATTACCCTTAAAAAGTAGACAATTGACTTCTGTCGTTGCGTTTCTCAGCGCATACCGTAGTCCTTATTTTGTAGATTTGAACAATGTAGCTAAAAACAACAACAATGTAAAATTTGAAGTTACCGAAACCATTCTTAGACCATTGGAAAGGTGAGGAAGAGCTGAACCTCCTGAAACTGAGGGCAGTAGTATTTAACATTTTCGTAATGTCTGACAGTTAACCTTTTTCGAGTCAGTCTTTTTCAAAATTTGCAGATTCTAGTCTCATGGGTGGGCAGAGTTTGTAGGGATGGTCACAACCTGCATCAATTGTTTCCTGCGGAGTTTACTTTGTTTTTGTAATATCATTTGGCCAGTTTTACCATTCTGAAATTATTTAATGACATGTGCCTGAAAACCGAACATTGAATTATTTAATCGTGGCGGGTGTGGAGACAAAAATACATCTTAGCAGGTAGATTAGAGTTGGATTACGGTAGTAAAGCTCGCTCGCATGACCATTTAATTTCATTTCGTGTTGTTGAAAATTCTACATTAGTTTTAACTATCCATCAAAATTTAATACAGATAGCAGATCCACTCAAAATAGTTTCTAGATAGAACAGTGTGAACTCAGTTAAATATTTTGAATGGTTCAAATAAAGCCAGCAGCGAAGAAACTGAAATGAAATATTTCTCCTTATTTGAAACTTAAAATCCTTTATTTTTGAAGCCACTGATTCATCCGATATTTTTATTCCGAAAAAGACCGATTAAAACTTTACTTACGACTGATCGATAACGCTTTTACGTCATCGGCTAGTAGAGTGGATAATGATAAAAACCGGTAAAAACAAAGTTTCATCCAATGAACCCATAGAAGATCAGAGCTGTGTTCGTCGTCATTTGCAGGGAAATCTTATAGAGTTGGTTTGAGATAAGGAAGTGATAAGGGATAGAGTTGTTTGTGTACTGCACACAGATACCGAAAAGAATAGACCAAAAGGAACCATGGAGAGTGTTTGGTCAAGGGTAGAAGGGTACCGCTGAGACTAGCGAGAATATGAACGAAGGAGCAGATTGGTCTGTACTAATAACTTAACTCTTCTCTCCTCTCGGGATCATGTACGATACAGACGAGTGACGTCATATGTGCCCATCCTCCTGGGGAGCTGTCTTCCCGTGCCCTTACCCGAAAGTGGAGAGCACAGCTTTTCACAGAGTCAGTTCATCTCAATTCCGATCCACTCCTTCCAACAGATAATGCCATCGGCTTTCGTTCCTTCCTATAAATTGTTGTTCGACTTCTCTTCATAATTATCCGTCGACTTGACTTTCCCTACTTCACTATCTTCCAGCTAATTAGCATTTTATCAAACAACACACAGAATTCAATAAATTTGCTGCAGTGAAGTCATCAGATGCAGCTTTTATATCATGAGGAATGGGAGAAAAGGAAATTAGCAGTAGGATAATCTATTTTTTGTCCTGATCGAAATTGACTTGAACGAAAATCTTAAAAAAAGCAAAGATTAAAGAATTTGATAAATATTAGGAATTATTATAATAATTAGAATGAATTTCAGGTTTCATTTGACGGGCAATCATTTCAGCATATTAGGATTTTGAAAAATTAACGTACAGCATAAAAGGGTGCATAGAAAGGAATACAGAGCATAGAAAGAAATACTTTTAAAGGTGTGCTGCGGTGTTGTTATATCAGGGTGCAATATACTGGTAAGTTTTTTTTGTTACTAAGCTATTTTCTTCAAATTTGGTTCTAAATTTAAACAACTTAGTTCCAACTATTACAGAAAACAAAATTAAGATTGATGTATTTCCAACATATTCCTGAAGTGACTATTAGAGAGAGATCAATTATAAGCTTTCTTTTCATTTAATTCCATTCTTTGTCAGCTTAGTGTTGTCATTTTGCAGAAATAATAAACGCATGGATACTACAGTTCATACTCCGTTTTCTATACCTCTCAGGCAACAATCATGTCATGCATCAGCAAAACCGGGGGTATTCATTTATCTCTTTTGATTATGTTGGCTAAATGTGTAACATTTTGATCATGATGTTCGTTGAGTGGACTGTTGGTCATACTTTAACAAAAGATATCAAGACGGGTGAGTAACTGAATCTTTTTAGAAGACTACAAAACTGTAATTTATAGGATGAAGGAGGGATTCCACCTAGACCGTTGTTATCATTCTCACAGTCTCATTCTTCTCGAGTAGACAGTTGGAATGAAGGTTGTATTCGTAGTAGTACTGTGATAGATGTTCCTCCAATAAAAGTGGATAATACATTTACTACATTTGTATCTGGTAAGTCTAATTTTCTCCGTTTATTAGTTCAGTATGAAGGTAGGTACTTATTTACACTTTCAACGGAAGATTTAATAGTTTGCATAAGTATCCTTCGAGTGGTATATCAGACATAATTTTTATGAATGCAGAGGTAAGCTTTGAAAAAAAGTTTCTGGTATTTCTGCAGAATTTCGCAGCTTTTGATCTTCAAAATTCGACTTCATTTGAAATCACCATTGCTATTCAGGTGCACTACAGAGAAGCGAATCGCAAAATGAAGAGCCAACAAATTTAGCAAAAGTTCCAATATCCGCATCGCAATCGATGGTGATTTCATGCGACAATTCAAAATCATTTGTGCTGAAAAGTATTATTCCTTACGCACAGCAAACGACAACACTACCGAAAACATCGTCTGAACCTGTTCATCCATCAGTACCATCTCCAGCACATTTGATCAGTAGTTCACTGGCTACCAATCAAACTTTATCCCTCCCGCAGTATACATTTTCGGTTCCGACAACGAATGCAACCAGTGCTACACTACCACGCGGTCCATACTATGATCGAGCAACAGATGACAGTTTTTGCAAAAATCAAGATCCACTGTTAACAAAGGAAATGCTCCACGAAAGTCATTGCTGTGAAAATGCTCCACGCAGATTAAGACTTAAAACAATGGATGGACCATCTTATGGGTCACGTTCTAATTACGGACGACCAGGGTGGCTAGATGATCCGAGACAGTCAACATTGCCTTATCCTGGTCCTGGAACATCACGGTTTTATACGAAACCAGCACCTTCATTGCCACTTCTTCCACTTGGTCAGGCGTATGATCGAGTCACATCTCGACGTCTTATATTTAATAATTTTCCTGAATCACATTGGTGAGTTTTCATTGATCTGCTCCAGATTTCTTTTGCTTTCTTTAAATCTTCAAAATCTTTAATTCCAGATGTTGGGTGCTAGTCTTGCAGAATTGGTTATTGTTTTGTATAGGATGTTCATCTTTCTGGTTTTTTTTTTTTTCAGCAAAACTTTTCCCTCAATAAAGAAACAAACCTGCTGCTTGATTTATCTTTATGTCTTATTTTGGGGAATGAATGAAAAGAAAAGAAACATCTTTCTTCTATATTGTTAGATGTCTTAGTAAATTTTGTTCTTGAAATTCCCTAAATTATTGTTATTCTCTTTAAATACTATTTATTAAGTTGTGAAACAGAATCATTCTTTGGACCAGATGGATTCAGAAGGAATAACGAAGGTTGGCCAGAATTTATTTGCATTATACAGTTCTTTAAATTGTGCTGATCTTCTACAGTTATCTGATGTTGTGCTTACTAATTTTTACTGTGCGGATTCATTTCCGAACAATGTCAAAATGACGAAATTACATATCAGCGACGAGAGTTTAAGTAGAAATGTGTTCAGCTTACACTTACACTATTACTTATTATTTACAATGTCTTTATTCTTGATTGTCCTTTATTTCTAAGAAATTATAGTTTTACATTATATAGGAAATGAGCAAGCTTACAACTCGTGCTGTGTGAGAAATGTGCCATCAGTTGCGACCTCATCAATCATACAATCAACATATAGTGGTGCAAACATTACATACACTGCGGCTGGCACTGCACCACCTCCCAAAACGTACATTTTTATGATCTTTTGTATTCTATAAAAACTTGTTTGCTTAATTTACTTTCATTTCCATAAGTTAAGTAATGAAAAGGCAAGCTTTCTATAATCAATGTATTTGAATTAAGCTTTGTATTTGCTCAAATTCATCCTTTATGAGCTTTTTGTTATTCTTTTTTTTTTTTGTATCTATATTTGAAAAAAAAAATCTTTTCTTTTCTCATATCGTTTTACTGAGAAAAAACCTATGAAAAAAAAAAAAAAGAACAGAACAAGGGGCTTTATCGGATTCGTTTTTCAAAGTAACTTTGGAACTTTCTGTTTTGATTAAAATATTAAAAATGTTAATATAACTTTCATCATTGCTTTTGCAGGGCCATGTTTTACGGATATGCCATGTAGAATCAGGAAATTGTAAACTTTGAAAATTTAGATTTAGAGGCGATCCAGACCAAGTTGTTATATGCTCTTCGACAACTAGTGGCAGAACTGTGACCTATCCTTATCTATCAAAATCAACATATACATACGCCGAATGTGATAATGATCACGTAAAGACATCACTAAGGGAAGGAATATGCAAATCTTCATTGTATAGGTAATTCTGCTGAATTGTGTTATCTTTCTCTTTTAAATTTTCAAACATTTGTATGAAAACAGTTGTGAGTACTAAATATGACAAATAAATTTTATTCCAACATGGAAGTTCTTTTGTAAACTACGACGAGAGATTAATTTCACTTATTTCACATTTAGCGCTCATTAAAGCTCATTCAATAAAGCATGAAATATATTTTTTTTTTTTGAGTTAGACTACCTGAACAAGATAATTTCTACCTTGTGGTTATGAAAACAGCTGGTACAGCTACAGCAATATACATTTCTCGATCTTAATTCTTATTACCATAGCTTTCTTTTAGTAACGGTGAATACAACAAGAGGACGTACAGCACAAATTTCGCACGTCCTCCAACAACTACCATTAGTAAGTTCTCAATATCGCGTTTAGTTCTAGCTTAAATCTAACCAGTGAATGAAGTTGAACTACTGTTTCTTTCCGCTTTTCTCATAAAATACTCTTACTCAGGGAAGACGATGAGACCATTACAAATTTTCACATCGATCATAGAGAAGGGCCGGTTTCAAGAAAATACAAATCAGTGCTAACAACATAATTCTGCTGTTTTCGATGCGCAACCCAATTTTTTTCTTTTCTTTTGTATTTCTCGGTTATTTAGAGCTGCTTACGCTGCAGTTCTTTTCTTATATTTTTACTGTTTCCAGTACGAAATTTGTGGCATTCTATAAGAGTAGTACGAAGTTATCCGGTTGAATAGCCATAATTTAATTTCAGGTTGTTCGTTAAAAAACGAAAGCAATCAGATGATCTATAGCAGTCAAACAAGTTCGATAGAAGAATACCAGCAAAATTTCAGAGAGGACAAACATACTGGCAAACCAGCAATATCGATGTCAACTTTTTCAAAGTCCTACTTTCTTTCTTTTAGCAAACAAAGACTCTTAGGTTCCAAATCTCACAAGCTGGTTGATGATTGTAGACATATTAGAATTAGATTTGTAGAAACTAACTACTTCACAATTTGGAAAGTTAAGACTTGGACCAAAGTTTGTTGGGCTATTAAGACCACTAATCCAAATCTATAGATTTTGATCAATAAAAGTGCTTACTGAGTAGGCTACTAAAACTTTGAAATTTATTAGAAACTGAGAACGAAATTGAACTAGATGTCTTGATTTACCTAATAAAAAAGAGGTTCGTTGTGGAGTTAAAGCTGGAGCGTGTTACTTTAGAAATTTTTCGAGCAAAATGAATAATTTAGGAATTATTTAATAAAAAAACCCAAAGTTTATGAAGAAAATGAAAAAAAAAAAACATCTACAGTAGTGGATAATAGTTGCCTGTGAACCCGCGCAAGTTTTATATGTAATTGAGCTACGTATGTAAGTGTAGATGTGGGATGAGTGAGACATTATAAACTTCAATTCGTAGTTTCAGTCTGTGTGTGTCGGCTGTAAAATTTTCGCGAGAAAGGATGTATTAAAAAACATAAGGTAGAGGGCACTGAAAATACACGGCAACAAATGCTGTCTTCATTTTGACGATGTATTGACTGTCGGTATGTGTGCTCCGTGTTGCTACTTGATGTAGTTTTCTTTCTTTTCTTTTCTGTTTTTGGATTGAGGCAAAAAAAATTTTTAATTTTTACCTTAATACTTGTTCAAAAAGTGTGTATATATTTTCTTTTGAGTACATGTCCTTTGTGATTTACACGTAAAGGAAATTAAACTGAAAACTGACAGTGCTGACTACATTGGAACTCCTATTATCTATTTACAACCAAATTTACTGGTTGAAAAATTCATCGATATGTAGCAGAGTTTCTCAGCCAAATTTTGCATAAAAAATAAAGTATTTTTAGTAAAGCAGAAATAGAGTAGTTTAGTGCATTAAAGTTGCACTTATAAGCGGTTTTGCTGTGTCAATTTTTAATCGATCACTTAACTTATTATAAATTGAATTAACAAGTCAGATTTGAAGCAGTTTTTTTTTTTTTTGTTTTTGTTTTTTTAATTTGCTGTTATTTTTGGTAGAGGAAAACAAAACGATAATTATGAATTTCAGTAATTGACTTAAATTACTGATTTATAAATTCATGTTTCATTCTACTTTAGAAGAGACTATTAGAAGTAGCTTGTTGTAGAATGTAGGATTTATGCTTATAATCATTTTGCATTTAAGTAAGTGTAAGAAAATACTAACTGCTTTCAACTATGGAACGAACACTAGTTACATTTTATCTAGCATTTTTCTTGTTGACTGCAGAGCCAAAGAATGTTTGATAGATGTGATGTATCTCTTTCTGTTTCTTTCTTCAGTATCATTTTGTTCAGTACACAATTAGTAATAACGTTGCATGTTGATTGAATCAGCATTGTACTGCTTTTTGCATACTTCATTTGTGGCGACATCTGCTAGATATTGTAGAATTCCAGCACAAATTTTCAAGTTTTCGTAAAAAGGTGTAAAAAGAATTGTTTTTTCTACTTCCACTTATTCTCTTAATGCCATTTAACGAGGAAATTTTAGTAATTGCTGATGTAACAATTCAGATGAGTTCATGCACATTCATTTTGATGATTTTAGGATCATCGTTTATAGAAAAATAAAAAAGTTCTTACTAAATTAAGAAAAAAAAAAAGGTCAAGAGTGACTGAAATATTTATAATTGGTGGTAATGATAATGATTATTAAGTTAAGTTGTGTATGGCCTAACCCTATCTTTTCATTTTTCTCTACCAAAAAGCGGAAAGCGTGTGCTTTTTTATGTAGGATTTACATCTGATAGTGCTTATCATAGGAAACATTTCACTTCGTTTTAACTTTTTGTGGTTAAAAGATGAACTGTCAAAGCAGAGAAATTTCTGACATAATTTCAGCATAATTTTTGTTTGTTTCTCTTATCTAAAAGAATTCTCTAAATTTAAAAAAGATCAACAGTAACAAAAAAATAAAAAATATATTGAGATTGAAAGATAATTCACAAGTCTAAGTCTGGGATTGAAATTGACATATAACTAAAAGACAGAAGGAAAAAAAAATTTCGAAGTTCGAACTTATTTTTACACTTTCGAAAATTTCATAATACAATAACTTAAGGATGGAAATGGTCTGTCATTTAGACTAAATAAGCAGGGCTGTGTTTTGAAACTTTCAACTAGTTCTATTAGAATGTCAGATTTTTACCATTAATATTTATAGCTGCTTGGGTTTTCTGCTAATGTGATTACTTACTGTTGTGGTTGACGATTTGCGGTGACATTTACAAGCAGGACCTTTAATTATTATTATTACATTGCACTTTTGATAGCTATTTTTTGTTTATGATGTCTAATCAAGTTAAATTTATCTGAATTCAATAATGCATCCTATAGCGTTGATATATTGATGTTTATATCAGATTAGGGATTGTTTAATTCTTAGAAATTCCAGGTTCTTTTCTAAACTTAGTTAGCATACTATTATCTATCATATTATTGCTTTTGTAGCATATATATTTCATTCAGTTCACTGGTGCTTAACTATATAAAACTTTGGAAAATTTCTCTGTTATGATGATGTGGGATTTTTGTTCAGTTTGCTGTGAGTGTGAGTATTTTTGTGAGTGCTGTGAAACTGATATGTTTCTGTGACTGGTATTGGTATCTCTTCTAGGTATTTTGAACTATTTCCAGTTTCTTCTTTCATTATTGTTATTCTCTCATTTTATGTTCTTTGACAGCAAGCCTAATGACAGAAACTAAATTGTGCTTGACTGAATCTGTGCAATTATGTAAGTATGTTTTGGCAGCAATTAAAACTTAGGACTTCTTGGGAGATATCGTAGATTCTAATTTAATAGTTCATTTAGCTCATCCAAGCGTTTATTGTTGGATGTATAAAAAGCTTTGTCATTTTTTTTGTAATGAGACGATTAAATGAAAAATTATAAAAAATAGTTGAGAATTATAAAAAATTGCAAAAAATAGTTGCAAAAATGATTAAAAATAGTTGAATGAGAATTGTAGAAAAAATAGTGCGTATAATATATATAAAAGATAGTTTGAGCTATATGTAAAATGCTGCTGGGATGTTGCTTTTGTCGTGTGTAAGAGTTGTATAATTTGTCGCAAGTCAAGCAAAGCTAAACTAAACTTATGCTGGATGAAAAGGCTAATAAGTGAGCGAAATAAATTGTTTCTTTTTTTTCATATATTTTCTTCTATATTATAAGGTGATTTTTAATTGCTGACATATCACTCATAGATGACTTTCATACATGTATCTATCTGCTTGCTGTTTCTGCATCTCATGTTTACTTCTTTCCTTCTCCTGGTACCATTGTTTCTGCTGCCCATCGCACATCTTTATTCATATGATATACACACTGAATTTATCTCTACATTTAAAAAAAAAGTTAGATAACTTATCAGTAATTGCGTTCCACTGTGTTTTACCCTAGTCTTATCCTTATTACTTCCTTCTGTAATATTTGAATTTTGATTTTTAGTTTATTGCTATCAAAAAGAGCGCTCCATAAGGTACTGAATTATCACAGTTTCACATCATTTGAGAAGCATTCGCGGCGCTGTTATCGTGCTTGCCTAATTTATATTTTATTGCTCATCACTGTAACTGAAATTGAGTCTGCACCATGAAATTATGTTGTTGAAAGCTCTGAAAATTTTTTTTAGGATGATTCTTATATTTCCTTCAAGTTTCGCTTTTTCTCGTCATAAATTCTGATGAAGATATTTCTGCAGAGTTCGACCTATTCTCGGCAGAACTTTTGATGAAAATATTTTCTTTAAATCTTGCCTATTTCACAAGAAATTTTAGTGGAGATATTTCTGCAAAATTTCTTCTATTATTGCAAGAACTTTAACGAAGATTCTTATGCCAGCATTTTCAGAATATTTTATCTACAATGTTACTCCATCTTCAGTCCCTTCACCGTCATCAGAAAGTAGCTTTGGACATTACTATCGCTCTAACATTAATATAGCTTATATCCATTACTGTTATAATTCACTTGGTGGTAAAGCATCCAATCTCTTTTGTTGATTATTCTACCGGCACTTTTATGCCAATGAGCAGTATTTGGCCTTATTGTTATTATCACTATTCCGTGAATCCTAAAAGGTCATTTTGTCAGCAGGCAATTACGACACAGCGTCGGCCAGTAGATGCAATGTTATTCACAATTAGCCAAATCCCAGGAACTTCTACAGATGTTACTCAGTCAAGATTGGACAAACAGTGCGATACTTCTCCATTCCCAAATGGTATAAGTAGAAGTCGCAGTACTGCTAGTAGTACTTATGCTGATTCTACTAGCTCTGGAATTGATTCTCGAGATAGCTACCAGCAACAGGAGGAATCTGGAAGTCTCCTAAGTTACGTAGCAGTTGCTTCATCTTCTGACAGCAATCACTATTTACCAGAAATTACTTGTCTAAGCGACAGTGATTATGACCTTGTTAATATTGATTTCTATCCGCGCAGACAATATTTTCCATCTTCAAAGCAGATCCCAAAATACTCGGTACAACCAAGCAGATTACAATCACATGCTTCTTCAGACTTTCTAATTGCAGCATATTCATCATGTTATCCTTCTGCTTTGAAATTATGTAATCTACGCAGAGCATATTTGGCGAGAAAAGAGAAAAGTTCGTCAGCTGTAAATCTCAATATTATCAATCCTGCTTCTACCTGGTTTAGTGTTTATCAATCCCCTAATTGCGTTTTGATACCATTAAAAGAGATTGAAACTTATATTCATTGTTTGGAAAGGTATGTGATTCATAAATTTTAATATTCCGTTTAATGAAGATGAATAATACTTTTATTGTCAAGAAAAAAACGCTGTTGAAAATCCCTTCAAACAGACATCAGAATAATTTAAGTTTTCTACAACCTGATTACTTTATCATACTTTCACTTTAGCTTATTATATAGGTATATACATCGTATGAAAAAACTGAAATCTTCATCTCTAGCAGAAAAAAGTAGAAATACATATTTTTTGGTATATATCAGTCAAGATTCTTGTTGAATTTTTTTGATCATCTAGAAGCATTTCTATACTTATGTGCTTGACAAAACACTCAGCTTTCTTTTCATTAAATGATGAAGAATGTGTTCAACATATTCTTCTGCTTTGGAACAACTGAAAGACAATAATTTTCTATTGCTTAGTAAATATCATTGTTATCGATTCTGATTCCATGATAATACGTTCTAAGTAATATGGTCAAGGAATTAGTCAAAAATAGCCCCATAACCTAGTCAACTGATACTTGAAACGGTTGATTCATTGGATTAAAGACTACAGCTCAAACCCTTTGCCTTCCCACTCGTTTTCTTTTCAGTCTCTTTTTCTCTATGCATTCGAACAGCTGTTTCAACTTTTCGAGGTTTTTTTTTTTAAACTACTTATCTATCTATATATTTTACATATATAGGACTTAAAGCGGCTTGTTCCTCACTGAAGGACTATGCTACTTTAATTCGATTAAAGGAATACAAAGCTGAAATTATTGGGACATGGCAATTCAAATTAGAATTTCATCTGTTTGTTTAATTGCTTGTTACCTTCTGTACTATAATTGTTATTTTGTAAAACTTCGTGATTTTCATTTACTGCAAAGATATTCCCTAAGATAGTATTAAATATTAATATCTTAAGATAATGGATTTCTCATGGTTTAATATATTTTTTGAAAGTAATAATTTTGGGATCTTGTTTGAAGACGAGATGCCACAATGCTAAATGTGTAAATTGAACTATTCAACAAATTTGTTGTTATATTGAAAACTTTGCAAATTTTTATTTTATGACATCTTTGCATTAATAAAAATACAAGTTTGAACCAATTAATGCAAGTAGTTTTTCAGAAATAGTTTGTCATGTATTCTTTAATATTTTGAAGAGAAAAATATAGCATCACGTATAACTAAGTTGTAATGCAGAAGAAGGGTATCATTAGTAACTTGTTTACCGAAATCACTAATTTTTCCCAAGGGGTACCAAAATCTGAAGAATTTTACACCAAATTCAAATAATTGCTAGGATTTTTCAGTTTTTCTACACAGCTGGTACACTCACAAACAACTTCTATACAAGTTCATCCAGTATCTGAATTTGAAGCAACTCGTTTCACCTCAGATTTGTCATCTCTTCCTACAAACACAAAGAATATCACATCTGAAGTGCTAAGAGCATGTGATAGTATTCGAACAAGTGGTGAGGTTAGTAGAATTCGTCGGTCATAAAGTTTTGTTGGTAATTTTATTAGGAAAGACTGGAATTGAATTCAATTCAGTTTCTTTCATTTTCAGCTTGAATCTTGCCATGTTTTAATTGTAAGTTTTGTTTACACTTGTAGTTACTTCTTGAATTCCATTTTGAATTCACCTTAAATTCAAACTTATAATATTTTCAGAATGTTAGCAGTGTTTCACTGGAGACCGATTCCAGAACATCTAATATTCCAGAAAGTGCTAATAACGAAAATGACCATCCGACATTGTCAACGGATAAGCCAAAAAAGCTAGTGCAAGGTAATAGTAGGAATTTTGACGCTTGAAAAAATGAATATATTACACAGTTGCTTTGATGGATTTTCAAAAGAAAGGAAGACTCATATATTTCATTATCTGATATAATTTTATTAGCTAGAATTGCAGTAGAGAAATTTCTGTACATATTAGCGCGCGATTTTACTTTCTTCAATTATTTTATTATCACCTCTATTTGTTTCGGTATTCTTGTCTTCACTAAATTTGTAACCACTTTAGACCATTTTTTGGATGAGGACTCGTTGCTAGAAAATTTACCCAAGTTTGAATACTCCAGTGCAAGCGGTTTGCCATGTGGATTAACAGGCAACATAAATTGGCTGCAGTCAAAATCGCCAAATGCGAAATCAGATTTTAATATTTGTGGCAGTGATGGATGTGTCTCAAAGCAGAGGAAACACGTCCTGCAGGCGAGAAACATCCATCGAAGTAGCGTTATCTCAAGCCGTGCCAATGAAGGAAGGTCTGGAAGTAAGTCAGGAGGTAAATATATCTACAGTTGCAAGTTCTGCCTTTTTCAGTATTACTGTTTGCCGTTCTGTGCTACCGCATATTTTTGGTGGTATAATATTCGGTGTCAGTTCTATAACGTTTTCTTTGATCTAGCTGCTAGCTACACTAATTATTTAATTTTTTTCATTTGTTTTAAATTTCTATTCGCCTTCCCCTGATATGATTCAATTGTTCCACTGGAATAGAACTACTTTCATCAGCCAACATTTTACTTAAAAGCAATAATTTGATTATATATTAGCAGAAAGGAATGTGCTATAATTAATAAGTGGATGTGTATTGCATGAATATTTACAGGCTTACCTCCGATGCCTCCATATCATCAGTTGAACAACAATAATTGGCGCAGACAGTCACAAAATGGTCCTCTATCCAAAAATTACTCCACACGTCCTTTCTCAACCAGTGATGGTTTTATTCGTAATAGAGAGCGAAATAGTTATGACAAGTATATTTCCAGTAATCTGATAATTTCTACTAAATCTAAAGATCATGAGTCAAAAAGTCTAAGATGAAGATGGCTTCAATTTTTCTAAAAATTTCAGGAACAAAATTTACAATGGTCTTGTTCTTAAAATTTCTCCCAACATGTATTACAACTCAATGAGGGGTGTTAATTTAGATTTGTTTTTTTTTTTTTTTTTTTTTTTTTTTTTTTAAGAGTACCGTATGTGTTACAAAATAGTTGAAAAATTCAACTGAAGTTTAATAAAGCAGATGTTAGGTAGGCTTCAAATAAGTAAGAATTTACTAAGAAGGGAGTAGAGTTATGTTCAAGTTAAAGGATGATTTTTGTAATACTTTTTTTTGCATAACTTATTTGGTTAATGGGGTTAAGATTCTGTATGAGTAACATGGATCGCAACCGTGATCGTTCTCAATGTAACAGTTCTGACAAAAGTTTCGCTTCAAGAATGAACAACGTCTACAGATCTGCGAATAGATCGTGTAAGTCTTTGATTTACTGTACTTGGAACGAAACACTAGTATTCTAAAAATTTTCGACAGACTGAGATGGTTCTTTTAGATGATGTTTCTGTCGACTTCCAAGGTTTTATTTGGAATGATCAGTTAAAAGAAATGACAATACTTGATCCTGATTTGTTTTTAGCATTTATTTCACATGACAAGAATGGTTTAACTTATCATGATGTGAACACGGAAAATTCGTTCAGTTTGCTAGCAACTGAGGACAGAAGAGGTCGTGGAATTGCAGCTTCTGATTGTCCGTTACATCGTAATATGAAGCGTAATGGGTCAAACAAGTCTCGTAATTCTCCACCAGTGTATCTAGCTTTAAAAAGTCATCGTGAATTTGATATTGATAGCAATGAAGTTGGTTCTTTCATTTTCTTTAAGATAAATCTTCTAAACCTTTTGATTAAAGAAAGAAAAGAAATTGTGATCTAAGAAAGCTCCGCTAAAAGCAGAAATATTTTTAAAGACATGAAGTGGAAGCAGTTTTCAGCCAATGTATCTAGCTTTGAAAAATCATCATGATAACTTTTTATCTCGAATTTAAAGTTTCACTAGATTAATTTGTTTTTTAGAGGTCATTATTGTGTAAAGAATAAAATATTCCTTCAAAATCAACTACTTATAAATTACACTCTTTCTAAGTTCAGAAAAAAGAAAGGAAGTTATAAATTAATACTTTGAAAAACTAATTGCAGTAAATTTCCCCTCAAATTAAACTTCTCAGCATCGAAACAATAAGAAAATCACTTTTTTGCGAAGGTATAAATACTGATAAGACAGCTTTTTTCGAATTTCATCTTTCTGGACCTAAAATAGGACATTGTAGGTCATTTAGATAAAATCTAATACTGATGGATTAATTTTAAGAACTTTTGCAAGTTTAGTTAGGCTTATCACGAATTATCTGGTCTCAGAGACTTCAGCACTTCCAATTTCTACGGAGGAAAAATGTTTCGTTTGATAAGACGAAGTGGGTGCAACTGAAAAAGAGCTTTAGCAATTATTTATTGCATATTTCGCGATTATTAGCCGTGCTGCTTTTTTTAGGTAGAAACAGTTGGTAGTGCGTTAAAAGTGGAAAGACTTGAGCGACATCATAGTCCGAAACGAAATATTGAAAAAATGCAAAGAACAACACAAGATATTGAACAGCTAACAGGATTATTTTGCGAACGTGTTGCTGTTTGTGGAGGAGGTTGACTTTTAATTGTTTTTATTTAAATAGTTAAAATATCACTGATCACATACCATATACCATTTAAACTATTAACTGATCAGATTAAAAGATTAAAAAATAAAAATAAAAAGCTTTCATAAAGGTTTTGAAGATAATTTTAAGGGTGCTTTTGCAGAACGTCTTGCTTTTTATTTTCATGATACCATGGTAACTATTCATCTCTTGACTCTTAATTCAAGTATTCATTTTTATTCATTTTGTTTTTTTATTTATATAAGTTGGACCGTTTTCTTGAACTGCTTGCTTATCTTGATAGTTTTACCACATCTTATTCACAATAATAATTTGTTCAGTAGCATTTATGCTTATGATTGACTATTTGACTTACTTTGAATTAGTGCTGCTTAATGTTGACTGCTTAAGAAGCATTTTTTGATTCACTTGTAAAACTTTTAAATTGGAAACAACATATCTTGTTCCCAATTTGTTTTTCATACTGTTTTTTTTTTTTTTTTTGGAGCAGTGATTTTCACCACTCTTATCAAAGTTTTAATTCACCATTTAATAAAAAAATAATCATTATCTTTTTTATTAAGTATATATTATTATGGCTGGCAGGGACTGTGATAAGTTCAGTAGGTTAGCTTGTATGGAAGGACAAAATTCCGCAAGCAGCGATAGATGCAAGTCTAGGTATGATATCTTATCTTTCTTCTCAACCGGTCTTCTAAATAGTTTTTATTACTTTTATACGGTTGTCTTGAGGAGAAACGAATAATCGCAACCAGTGACCAATCAACATTTGGTTCTGGCCTTATCTTTCGAAGTTAAATCAGAATGCATAATGTCTACTATAAACGTTATCACTAATCTTTGTTACCATTACTGTTCATTGCGACAAAGCAAAAGAGGTTAAGAAAATCTGCTTAGTTGAAATTAACCAGCCATGTAGCAGACAGTATTATTTTTAATTTTAAGTAACTTTTTCACAAAATTCTCACTAAAAATGATATTTACTGTAGGCTCTTGATTTCCTCAAACTCTGCGCTTGACTTAACTGTTTTTATTTGAAATAATCTGATTTTCAAGGAAGAACAAAAAACAATCTGTGCGAAATCGTACTATGGGCCAATTTCTAATAGTTTTTTCTTTTTTGTTCATAATACTCAAATCCTTTGCTGCTGGAAACTAGCCTGGACGGAATTTCTACTGATGATGAAATGATATTACAAAACAATAAATAATTTCATTAGATAAATAGATTATGAAAGGGAAGGAATTTTAAAACGTGTAGTTTTCCTCTTGAAATTCCTGGATATTTGCGAATTGTACAGGACTAGAAAGAAAATATGATGGTTCTTATCAGATAGTGAAATTGAGAGCTATGAGGTTTGGGAAAATCAAATGTGCAACGTAAATTGCTAACTCAAATGCAATCATCGAAATTCTCGATAATCCGGTGCGAATTGGGTTTTCCGTTTTTCTACCTGAATAGCAAGTGGCTACTGTTGGACTTTCAAGCTAATGCTTATTGTTCAGCATGCGAAGGTAAATTGAAATTTTATTGAAATAAATTTAATATGTAATGCTGGCTGAAGATTAACCGTAATGATTGTTAAGCCTCGGTTTCTCTTCAGTTCTATTCAGTGAGGTCTATTAGTGGAGTCGAGATTCTCGAAATGTTGTTTGATTAGAGTTAATTCGCAGGAGTAATCGATAACTCCTTTCTAAAAAAAAAAAAAAAAGACACCGATGAATTACCAAATTTGAAGTATAACTCATGATTTATTAACACTGACAATTTCAAAAAAGGCTTTTTTCGCCTTTGATTAATGATGAGTTATAATTGTCTAGCGTAGAAAGATGAGAAGAGTGTTAGTGTTAAATAAGCTATTTTAAGTCATTCGCATAAAAAGTATAGACAAACTCATTATTCACTCTGTTCTTGTTAAATAAAAACGGCGGCTTTGTGATTATTCCATCAGTTATTGTCATTCACTAACGGTGGCAAGTCTCTGTCAGCAGTTTCCTTTTGTATTGTCTAAAATATAAAATCAAAAATATCTTCGCGACGGGTTACTTTCGGAATTGTGGTGCGCTTTGCGGATGAAATTGTTAACAAAAATAATAAGACTTCTTTTACCTAAATTACATGCATTAGCAATTTAGTTTCTCCCATTCATTTGATTTTTTTTACTGTGTCTTTGATATTTTTTCCATGAAATTTCTCTCTTAATCAATGAAAGTGAAAGAATTTGCCATGATTTTTAATAGCATGTTTTCACGTAATTTAATTGTAAGAACTACTATTCCTATTTTGTGGTTGCATTTATGCTATGGTTCTTTTTAAAAAGCAGATATGAAGGGTTGATGTTGGAAAAGATTTATGTGATTGAAATTTGCATTTTTGAAATGCAGTATTTAAATTTCTTCAGATATTCAGCATAGTAAGAACTTTCATGAAAGCTGATCAGAGGCCATCTTCGTAATTTCTAACCATTTCCAAATAAAAAAAAAAGTTTCTGAAAAAATTTTTTCAAAAGAATATTGCAGATATTAATGAAGTTTGTATTAGTATTATATACTGATATTAATGTATTGTGTGAGGGCTACTTAATCAATTTTTACATTTCCTTTTGGAAATGTTTTGTACATAATTTTTTTAAAAATATATATATATATATATATATACATACAAAGAAAAAAAATTTTAATACATGACAGTTGGTAGACAAATCTTAGTTAGTTGATGGTATTAAGTACTTCTTCTTTCTACGTATATCAAACATGAAACCTTATTCATGTTTAAGTTTTAACATGAGATTTAATCAAGTATGACTTTTTAAAAATTTCTTGAAGATTTGATCTGAATCTGGATATTTCAGGGGAAGTTAGCTACCAAAGTGACTCATCACCAGCAACAGCAGGTTCGTTTGTTTTCCGTTTTGTTCAATTTATTGTTGCTAGACATTGATCCGGCTTAGCTTTAACTGAGGTATGAAGAAATGTCCGCAGCTTTATAATAATCCGTAATTGACAGTGTTTATATGATTAGTGTAACTAATTTAATGTTTAACTGGTTTTTATTGCAGGTTTCTGCGATCGTGTTTTTGTTAACGATAAAAAGATCGCTGAAAGATCGGTTTCATTAGCTGGTGGCATAACGGAGGAGCTACCACAACAAGACAAAGCACAAACTGCCGATGTCGAACTGGATTTTTCGGGTTCTTTCTATATTCATAATATTTTTAACTTAAAAATTGTTTTTCGAAGTTGTTAATGAAATATTGTCAGAAGGGAGTTTCTTCCAAGCAGCTATTCTTTTCTTAGTTTTCCTTCTAGTCCTTTTCATGTTTTCTAACTTAAGCATATGCTTCAGCACAAAGACCACTAGAATCACATATTGTCGATAATGAAGGTTTTGAATTGTCAAAATTGGATGTTCTCAGTGAGGAAATTTGGTATTATCACAAAGCGATCACACAAACGGAAAGCGTTCTGAATCGCAAGCTTCATCTTCGAGATGTCCTTTACTATGCTATTTCGCCTGTTTTCCCGAGTACGTTAATGGGAATGAATTGTTTAGTAATTGAATTGGTTCCATTGCTTGCAATCGTGTCTTCAGTCAATCAGAACCACTTATTTGAACCCTCTGATATTTTATAAACGGTGATAAACTGTTGTTAATTGCTAATAACTATAATTTCAATGTTTTTCAGTGTGTGGTCTCTACGTGGTTGGTTCATCTTTGAATGGTTTTGGCACGAACAGCTCTGATATGGATTTGTGTTTGATGATAACGAATAAAGATGTAAGTTAATAATTTATTTATAATCAATGATTTTTCATTACCATTCCACATTCTAAAAGCATCAAGTTTTTTGAATAAAGAACCAGGATTACAGGAAAAACGCATGGAATTTTGTAGAGTTCGTTTTAATAATTAATCCAAAAAAAATTACATTAATCTAAAAAACTATTTGTTAATATTACTATTGATAACTGGTCATATTTTACATCTAGAAACACTTATTTGTCCTCTCTTTTTTTACTATCTCTTCCACTTGAATTATAGATAAAACTAGATCTTCTGAAGATTGAAATGAATTTTTGGTTTCCATAATATAAAATATTTTAGTTAGATCAACGAACAGATGCAGTGGTGGTTCTAAATATGATCCAGAGTGCTTTAGCTGAAACGAAATGGGTTTCACACATGCAACTTATTCTTGCTAAAGTGCCCATCTTGCGTATACGCTTCTATGAACCCTTCACGGATATCACTGTTGATTTGAATGCCAATAATTCGGTTGCTATACGCAATACGCATCTGCTTTGTTATTATTCCTCATGTAGGTTCTCCTTTTTTCATTATTATTTCTTCTGACATGTCTTTTTTTTTTTCACGTGCATATTCTAGAAATTAGTAGGAAATCGGCTTAATTAATCTCTCCACTTAAATTAGAGACTGAAAATAGTCATTATAAAGCAAGCTCAAAATAGGGGTAAGGAAGCTCTTGTTCTCAATCAATTGTATTTCTGATTTTAAAATATCCGTATATTTTTTATCATTAATTCAAAATTTTAGTTGATTGGAGAGTTCGGCCATTGGTGAGTGTTGTCAAAGAATGGGCAAAGCGAAGAGATATCAATGATGCGAATCGTTCCTCCTTTACATCATATTCGCTTGTTTTAATGGTTATTCATTATTTGCAATGTAGGTTTTTATTATAATATACTTGAGTTATGCTCAGCGGCACATGGAACTCTGTCAAAAAATTTTATGTATAAGGATACGTCCTAATAAGTACGTCCCTGTAATAAAAGGGCCTTGTAGTTTGTCAAACCGGAAAAGTGGTATTCTTTTGTTATAAGCTGTCATAGATTGAAGTTAAAACAAATATTCATTCTTTTCAGTCTGACTTTTCCAGTTATTTTATTGATAATTTATGTAATTCCAATATCAGTTACGTTAGCATTTAAGAAAATTTAATTCCTCTCTGTTCTGTATTTTATGAATTAAATTGCTATTTTAATTTACTTCTTTTGTTATTCCTGTATTAAAGATCATTTTATGTGTAACGAACTTTCTTCGAATTCGGATCATTACATGAAGTATATACTTAAGCAAATCATGTTAACAAAACAGAAACAAATCTTAGTTCTTATGTTTATCCTTTATTCTGTTATATAAATTCCAGGTGGCTTGAAGCAGCCAATTTTACCATCGCTGCAGGTAGTGTATCCAAAGCGATTTAGTGCAAGTGCTGATGTACGCTCGCTTAATGTTTCAAGTCATCTAGAACCACCGCCTGGATGGGTGACCAATGAAACGATAACTCTTGGCGAATTACTTATTGGTTTTCTCGAATATTATGCGTTCAAATTTGAGTAGGTTGCATATATTGTAATTTTACATGGGAGAAATTTGAAGATCATTGAAATTATCTCTGTTCCATGATTTATGAAATTTTAACTAAAATATATGTAATGAAGTTACTTATTGAACTTTAGCGAATTTTTTGAAATAACACTTGTAGACACGTTTAATCAATTTTTGAAAAAATTCCACTACAGTTACTTGAAAGATGCGATATCAGTACGTTTGGGTAGCAAAACAGAACGTACGGTGGTCGCACGACAGCCTTCACCTTATAATAGTAATATTGCTCAGTGGAATTGCATTTGCATTGAAGGTTGTAATCAACTGGGTTTTATTCTGAATTAAGCAAAATTATCTCATACTTGATGTTATTATCCCACAAATTAAGAGTGAAAATATTTGAATTTGAATTCAATTCAAAAATTGGTTTTTAGAGAAAATGAATATTTTAATTCTAAAAATATCGGCTATTTCCATCAAATTATGTGCTAGAAATGAGAAAGATGTAATCCAGAAAATGAAGTCAATAGGTACATCTCACAGGTTTAATTTACTAGCACAATAGATATAAAGTTCCATAGTTGTGGTATGACGAAAGAATTGGGGCATGAAATAATGATCAGTAATTGAGAAAAAAAAGGAAGTAAAAAAGGTTTTAAAATCACAAATAATGGATAAAAATAATAGTAATGAAAAAAAAAAAAAAATAGACACTGAGTTTAACTTACAACATCCTTTAATTGTTAATCAAAAAAGAAGATATTTCTTTTGCTTTGTAACAGGTGTAGAACTAAAGGAATAAATTCATTGAAGAGTAAAACGAGTACTTTCACTAATCTATATGAATTTTGTTAATTTCTGGCGCTTTTTGCAGAGCCGTTCACTTTGTCAAATACTGCTCACTCTGTCCATAATCAGATGGTTTTTGATGCAATCCGTCAGGCATTTGTTGATGGTTGTTGTGAACTGGATAGTAATCGTGATCTGAGAGCATTCTTGGATGTTGGACCAATTAATGTCAGCATTGGATCATCAGTGGGGTAGTTCAGTTAGCCTTTCTTTTTATTTTTCTATCGAGAAACAATTTTTTTACAAGACAAATTCTAGCTCAAGTGCACAGCTAAGCATCCTAGCACAGTCAGAAGTGGGTTCACCAACGACGGCGGATTCTGGTGATGTGACTTTAACAAGCAAACCTCTATTGACAGTTTCACCGCAATCAAACAAGTTAGGATACCACTTAATAGGAAGAGATGAATCGCTACCGCTTGATGCAGAATCTGAAATGGAATTAGAAACGGCTGTTACTATTTCATTGGACGAGCGGATTTGCGTAGAACAAGACATGAGGTTTTTTTTTAATGAAAAAGTGGTGTAAGTTTTGAATGAGCTGCAATTAAATATCAGCAAATATTTAATTGCAGCTCATTCATTTTACTCTTATTTTTTTTGTTTAAGGGCTTTTGAGTTATAGAAATGAATTTATTTTTTCAACAGTTTGATCTCAGTCTTTTATTTAATCGCAATAACTTCAATTACAGCCAGAAAAATGCACCAGAGATTTGTGAGAATGAAGTAACAGATGTAGCTAGAAATGAGGGAACTCCAAAAAGTACTAATGTTAGTGCTCATTAATGCTTTGTTTTCTTTTTCTTTTAAATGAATTTGTGGAAGTGGGTGTTTAAGGTCGCGAAATTAAAATTTGATTTTAACAAAAGCGTTTATTTACGAGATTCGTGAAAACTACTTTTCTTTTTTCTAGGATTTCACAGAAAATGTATTATCATCAGGAGCAGGACTTGATACTACATCATCTATATTTGTTGATGGTCCTCCAGCAAATAGCGAGCAGATTTCTAAAGCCGTACTCTCTGAATGTCAACCAAAACAACTGCAGGTGGAATCTCATAATGAAAAGTGAGGTGTTCCCAGAGTTTGTTGGAAGATTGATTTGCACAGATCGTATTTATCTTCTTGGCGGATAATCATATTGATAGCAATAGAACAAATTTAAAGAAATATAAGTCAGAGTTGGATAGGTTATTCGAAAATATCTCTTTAGATTAATATTCGCAACTTCTGTTCGATTTTTGATTACTAATTAGAATTTGTTCTTTTTAGATTGCACGTTGATTCAGCACTATCATTTGAAGCCCTTACTAAGCAGAAGAGTGCAGTGGAACAACAGCAATTTGCAGGTAAAGTAATTGTTCAACGACGTCGTAAGACCAGTCGTCGTATGCACGGTTCAATGGGATGTGCAGGTCGGAATCGTTTGAATAAATCGAGTTTAGGACAACCAGTAGTGCGAATGAGTTATCGTTCTGGTACTGCTTCATCTTGACCACTCAGTTCAGGGTAATACATTTATGGCAAAATTGCTGATGCAATATTTTCGATGAAATATTTTTGGATATTATTGAAAAAAATTCAGAAAAAAAGAAATCTTTTTAGCAGATTTTGTTTTTATCGGTTTAATCTTATGTTCTATTTGATAATTGTTCCGCTGTTTTTCCTCTTCATTTTTAAATCTTCAGAAAATTGACACTTTTCGAGAAAAAATTAACTTTTTTTGAACACAGAGATCTCGTCGGCATCTGTATACTCTCCATATCTCGTCTTTGTTATTGTCGTTATCAGTGTTAATTTCCACTCCATTCTGCTTCTGATTATTCGTTTTGTGCAGATGTATTTTTGGTTTTGTTCAATCTCTGTCTTTTTAAATCACTTCTCTAACTCTGTCTTGGCACTGATCATGAATGTTTCCCATATTTTAGTGTTTCCAATACAATCTTTTTTGACATTCTAGGAAGATTCTTGTTGGAGAGAATTACTCGGGTTAGAAAAATTTCCATGTGATGAAAAAAAAACTTAACTAAGGTCGATGTTACTGTCCCATCGTCTTATATGGTTTCGGTTATTTCACTTCTTTTATTTCTTCCATTTATTAGTATTGTGAATGTGTGTTTATTTGATTTATTTGCGCTTTTTCTTTTTTTTTTCTTTATTAGAAAATAAATAAAATTATGAAAAAAATCAGTTTTTTAAAACTCTTTTATTTATTGTATCCTATACTATATTTTTCTTATTTCTTTTACTGGTTTTAGCTGCCTTTGTTTGATGATCAAAAGCTTTTTTCTCGTCAAAAGACTTTGATGGCCTCACTTTTTTAATCCATAAATTTTAGTGAAAAAATGAAGAACGAATTGCCTCAGATTATCTGAAATAAGTTCAAGATTAATATATTTCATTAAGTTCTGTCTTTACTATTTTTTCATTTTTATGCATGGAAATTCCTGGATTTTTGTTCATCCAACAAAAAAAAAATATTTGTCTTTCTTTCCTTTCCTTTTATATTGTATTAAAACAAAGGTTGTACGTTTTATTGCTAGCTATCATTTACTCGCATTGCTTCATTATCTTCTAGATCAACATTTACAGTGGAAGTGTTTCTCTATGATTGTGAATGTTCAATTCATGATTTTTCTTGTAATTTTGGCATTCACAGCATATAAGTATTGTTCTATAGATTTCATTTGCAGAAGTAGTCACTTTTGGTTCCGATCATTTTGTTTCTCTATTGTATTATAGTATCGAATGCTTTCTTATTTGTGATCCGTAACCTGCCAGATTTCCGCTAGTTTAGACTTTTTCATTCTGCTAGTAACCAGCCACGTGTGAATCTTACTGGTAATAAGCAAAAAACGTGTATTCCACCCCGAACTTTGGCCTCACTCTTTGTACGACATGAGATCACTAAATTTGATTGTTATAAGAAAAAAGAATTTTACTACATGGAAAGAAAATTGTACAAATTTTGGAGGACTTTTTCGTCGAATTCCTAGGCACTACTTCCGAGGTTTTCTTTTTTATTTTGTTTGCGAGCAGAATTTAAGGTAAGTGATTCCGTTGTAAGTCTGAGTCAAATTGCTTTATCAACATGTTATTTCTTTGTCTCGTCATTTTCTCATCAAAGAAAAATGCCTTGCTCAATGTTAAGCACATTTAGTGCGTGTTTTAATGGTGCACTCTATGCAACTTCACCGTGCTATAAATTTTAGAACAGTGTTCACGACATATCAATACGTTGTTTTCAGTATCCCTTTGTTGTTTTGGAAAAGTGATATCCTCAATGAAATTTTTTTGATGATGATGTATATGCATTTAATTCGAATTCGAAGATTTATTTGTGACATATAGAACGAGCGTGCAACACTTAATTTCCTTGTAATGGTGAATACTTTTCTCCGTAAGACTTCGAAAAATAGGTGAATTATTGATAGCATCATTATCCTCTCACATGAATAATTTCTTGTTTCTCTAGAAGGTAGAAGCTATTTATATCTATGGTCTACAAATCGATATATGAAAAATCTAGGCAAATTATCTTGATTAGATACAAATTTCATCTATTCCAAGAACTGCCTAGATCTTCATTCGATATGTGAACCTTTCGCAACCTTAGATGAAATTGAAGTTTACTCCCAGAATAAATAATATAAAAGTAGTTAACAATGATAAAAACTCGCCGACTCACTGAAATTTCAAGGAAATCGACTTTCCTCAAACCATACAGAACATTCACTCAGTTCTACTTCGTGAAGACCACACATAACACTGCGAAATTGTCGACATCACTAAAAGATTTTCAGGCATTTCATACAATAACCTTAGAATATTTTATTTCATTTAGCAGTAAACGGTGACATATTGACCCCAATTGTTGGTGAGCCGTTGTTCACATTACCATTGCACTGGCTTTGCTGGTACTGTAAAGTGTACGCAGTAGGGTGTATTTTGAAACCATACAATCTGAAATTATGAAAACTAAGTTTTCGGTATTTTTTTCGTTTTTGCTCTCTATTGCATATATCTTGATATGTTTTAAAGTTAGACGGGCTGGAAAACCCCTATATCCGAATGCATTAGACAGAGAGAATGATCACTAAAAAAGGGGGTCACATAATCAAACCAAGTTACGAACAAACTGATTAAAAGCGTTAAATGCTAAGAACGCATGCAAAAGATCGAAAAAAAAAACTATATAATTTCAACCAGATGCTATTTTACATCTAATTTCACAATACAGTACATCATTTCAAATAATTACTACCGTAATTTGAATTTAAAATGGCAAGCTTTACTAAAATCCGACTCAAACTTTTCTTAAAACTGCAATCTTGGAGCCGAAATCACGAATTATGAGACAAACAGTAGCTATTTGCAGTTCCAAAGGAAGCAACTTATACCGTGGAACGAAACTTGTTGCGGGTCGCTTTGGTCTCTCTTCCGGATGCACAAAGAAAAGCATGTGAGGAAATCCTGTACCAAAATAAGAACCATCAGTATTCTGATGCTTTGATGACTTTGGCACATAAACGTCGCAACAACGAGGACAGTAGAGTTTAACCATTGATTCGCCAGGTACATCCGAAAGACCTAAAATGAGATTTACATTATGGACCTCCAAAAAACAAGGATTGTCCATATCAGTTAAAGCCTTACCTTTAACCAATAATAAAAAAGAAACATAACCAACCTGACTGAGAAGAAAAGCTAATTCGTCTTAATAGCTTTACTACTTACAATCTAAATATTTGAATTTTGTTTGAACAAAAAGAGAAAAACGAAAAGTGAACAAGCTAAAATAGAGCAGATGGAAAAAAGAACAAGAGAAGAGATGAAGTAGTATATTTCAATTTTCGTTTGATCCAAATGAATCTTGCAGTTTATGAAACTGCTGCAAAGAAGCAAAAAAAAAAAAAAAAAGAAATTTTAAATCTTCAAAAAAAGTAAAATGAAATTGACCTATTGGTAGCATTGGTTGATTCTCGCAATAAACACGAGGACATACGCCAAAGTCATGATCATGCCACTTGTCAATCATTTGCTGGATTCCGCGATTTGTAAGAATATAGCGAGCATGAATTAATCCATAAAGCATTTCAGCAGCTTGCTCAACTAAATCTGACTGGTTCGGATTGTCTTCAAAGTCGTCATCTTGAAAAAAAGGGAACTAAGGCATGACTTGCAGCTTTCGAAAAGTTGATTTATACGACCATATTTTTATAGTTATAATCTCTTTATTAAATGTTTTACTCAGTTGTAAAACGAAAAATGGAGATTTCTGCAACTATTAATCGCTCCATATCCAAAAATTTCCAGTAGAATAGGTACACTGGCCACAGTTAGTGCAGATACCAAGTATTAAAAATTAGTTTTCATACAAGAAAACAAAATTAGTTTTCAGCTTATATACAATTACAATTTTTTAAAATCAATTACAATTTAAAAAAAAAAAGAACCTGGTTCTAAATCCAAAATCATATCAAGTGCTTGCCGGTAGTGTGGAACTTGCTCATTGAGACCAGTTAAATTAAACTTATCTTGGATATATTCCTCGTCTACCTGAAACATAAAAATACAAGAATACAACAAGTAAGCTGAGAAAAAACGCCCATAACAGAAGTTTTAATGCAATAATTTACAAGATCACGTAACAATGCGATGTCCTTTCAATTCATCGTACAGTACAGTATTCGATACTAAAGGAAACAGAACAATAACGATGCAATAAACCTAGAGAACTGTTTATTAACTACAACTGAATGAACCGAATTGCAGGCTTGACTTATTCCTCGTTCTTTGTACCACGCCAAACTCTCTATAAATTATTACGAAGACATTCACTAAAATTTTTAGGAACTTTTAATAACTGACCTCACAAAAGAACTCATTTCCTCGTAGGCCGCAAAACCATGTGATCCATGACACTTCCTCTGAACTACTCATTTCTGAACCGGTGTGATGAAGTTGCGACCTTTCCACTATTGCTCGTCTGCTAAATGCAGTTCGATTTAAAAAATTACTGAAATTATTCTTCACTGTCCTATCGATTAACATTTGCCAATACTCATTCTATGCTTAATTTCCTTCTTAAAAGTATTTAAGAATAGTTTGCTCAACGGCTTACTAATATATTGATTCTGGTTCGGTTCCAGATGAGATCATACACTGCACTATAATTGCTATCAAATAAGGACAAACTGACTTAAGTCTCCCTCCACCTTACTCTTCACCCACCATTTCACCTATTCCCCATACCCAACCCACGCCGTCATTTACCCAACTGAAATAAAACAGCAAACTCATGGAATTCAAAAGTGGGAAAGCATGGCCCGGCGAGATGGTAATAATGTAATATCGCTGCTTAGATGTGAGACAATTATAAGATTTAGATGCCTTCGCAACTACCACTGGTTATCAAAGTATGTCGCAATCAAATTATTATTTATGACCATAGATATGATATCAACTCATTACTTATGACTACAAATTTTTGGATGAAAAGCTCATCCATAGTTTACAGCGCAACTTATTGAATGTAAATCATTCAATAAATTGCTTATTTTTTTCATTCTTCATTTCATGCAAAACAGTGAAAATTTTAGCATATATTTAATATTTTAGTTTTTATAAAAGCTGCAAGAATGACAATAACTGAATAATTGAATCTTCGGTGTTATCGATTATAAATAGAAGAATCCTGAGATGGTTTGTGCTCTATTCCATTAGTATACTGCTCTACTCCTTTTTCTAATTGTAGAATAAAACCAAAAGCATATTATTAATGGTGTTGATAACAATTATTATTGGTTAGAAACACCTGATTAATTACTCCAAAAGGACTGTATTTTGCTACTTTCTCTCTATAGTTATGACCACATTTTCCTTTGTTTTTCATCAACACTTTGAATTTAACTCGCATTTTTTGTAATTCAAATAGTTAAATAGTATTATAGTGTAGCAGATGTTCCAAATTCTACCAGAACAATTACTTCACCGCAGGAATCTGAATTGAACAGAAGGAAGTCAGGTTCTAATTTGTTGATAAATGTATTTCAGAAGTTCATAGTTGGTCGTCGTTTAATTTGTTTCATTATGATTCACAGTGAATGATGTTGTTAGTTCCCTCTTACATTTAGATTCTTAAACCGTACTGCATAATGTTACCTCGCTTAATTATATTAAGTCATTTAGTTTGGATGAAATTAAATTATGAGATTAAAAAGCATCAAATTTATTAGCTAATTCTGGTTACACTGCGTAAGTAAATAATTTGATCCGAGCTTACAATATCACACAAAATGTAATGCCATACAATTCAAGCTATATGATGTATCAATCATGCCAAGTTCCGAAATGTCAAGCAATGCAAAGGAATTCTTCCGTCAATTTACGCTTTGTCTTAAAAAACCTTAAAACATCGGATAATGGGTATTGAATGTAAAGAACTAATTATAATATATCTTAATTTTAACTGTAATAACAAATTCATTTTCGTTATCAAGATTATTCCATCCCAGATGTGATCCACAAGTTTTAAGGACTGAGCCTTTACACCTTTTGCCATTGTTTGATGAGCCTTCAATAAAACACCAGCGGTAAGTTCGGTAGCAAATGAAGCCAAATTATTTTCATTCGTTCTTCGACAGTGCAACCTCAGTCATTGCATAATCAATTGGTTATTTATTACTGAACTTATGACCTCAGAGATTCTATTTACTTTGTCAAAATACAATTTATTGATAATTATTGGTAAGTGAAAAAAAAAACTGTTTCCAGATTTAACATTAATTTAATAAATGATAGTTTTGTGATGAGATAAACATGTACCAAGAGCACATTCCCGTACCAATGATAGCACAATATTATTGTATCGATTTTTCGAGATACAGTCAGACAGGAAAAGTATTGAATACTAATCCTGACGAATTAGTTAATAGGAAAATGAGACTTTTAAGACATCACAACATTTTTGTGAATTTATGGTTGTTGACTGTGTTCGTTACTCAGTAAACTAAATAGGCATGCAGTTAAAAATACTAAATGTACACTTCCCTCCATTCTAGTCCAAAGTCTACAAAATTCGTACAATAACTTGGTTTGTCTCGGTTTGGCAACAACTGAAAAAGGACGGATTGAAACTTATAAAACCAATCTTTTTTTGGTGTACCTGAACCATCCATCAGAATGGATGTTACAATACCGAAAGCAACGTTAACAGATTTGAAAAGAATTTAGGGTATGATAAAAGGCATTCCATTATTAATTAAGTGTACTTGAAAGTCAAGTTTCTAGCTAGAGATACCTCACTGAAAGAAATCAAATGTATCTACCTGACCAATTAGATTTATCCCTAACACTTATTGTCAAATTTTCACATTGACTAAATTTCAGCTGGGAATATGCACTCTCTCCTTTTCCTCCTCATCAGTCAACTTATCAATTAGAAATCAAGCATGCAAGAATATGTACAATTTAGACTTTTTCAATTGGCGCAATTATTCGTCGAAATATTCACGAAAATTTAAATTCGAAACTGGCGCCAGATGCTTGGAATGACAGCATGATCAGTGATTTGCTGAAAAGAATGAGTGTGAGGGATAAGTATTGGTTGCTTTCCTTGGTGGACGGGGTTTTATTTGTGGTGAAATGTTGAGGAGTGTCTTCCTATGAACAATGGGTAGTTCGTTTCATTGGTCCAATTGAGATGTAGCAATTCAGATCTATATGGCAATTACTGACCATTCATGCAAATCATAATGAAATATGCACAAATCTTCTAAAAAGGAGATGATCACTGCTAATTCCATTGATCTTATCCCTGATTGATCTTTGATCCTCTCATCGACAGAATCATTATTGGGTACGTTTAGTTGAGACGAACAGTGTGGAAGAAAACAGTGGAAGAATTGGGCGTTGTCTGTTAATATTTGTTTGTTAATCTCTTAGTGGATTTTAGATGGCAATCGAAAAATTGCAATCCAATGAATTTATAGTTAAGGTATTTTTTTTAATTACCAACTTTTCAATGTCACTATTATTCCATGCTGATGAATAGCTGATCTCAAAATTACTGATTTATAATTTTATGAGAGAAATCCTTCTTGAAAAATTCTGGTAAATAATTTCATAGAACCTTAAGAAATATGTGTTTGAAAATGAAAAATTTATTTATGCTAATTACAGTGTTAGTTTTAGGTACGCAGAGGCCGTATAGATCAGCCAGTATTCATGAAGAAAAAAGCCGTTATGACATTCAATCGTGATCAAAAAGACATCACTTTTCTGTACGACAACTGCTGCACCGTATGTTTTGTGTTTCGCTGATTTCTAAATTTTTACCTAATTTTAAGTTGATATGGTGCCTTCTCTTCTTACCATTTTTTGAACTCCAATATTTTCGCATTGTTCTCTTTAATCTTATTACGGCATAGGTTTTTATGGTTTTTTTTAGATAGAATTTCATCGAAAGATCAATAGTGAATTCTTTTGTAAAAGAAACTGCATGCAAATTTTGCAGATATTAAAAACAAAGTTCATATCGCAAGTGCCTTGGTCGCCGCCACGAGGATGCAAGCTGCGATTTATATCAGACATTCGAAATGACGAGGAAATGATTTTGGAATTTGAAAATCACGAAAAACTGATAGAAGCATTCTCAATTTTAAAGAACAAATATTTGGGTATTTGGGCATCATATCTAATCTTTTATAATTTTTTTTATAAGCAAAAATGCGAACTATTTATAGAGTTTGGTTTCAAACTTTGTAGACTTGCTGTCTATTAGATGATAAGTCTTCGGCTGAAAAACTCATGTAGAAAATTTTTTGTGTATAAGGAATGTAGTTTTGTGAGTTCTTATTGCAGAGCGATTGCAATTTGTATTCTCGAGTGAAGTGCACAGTGGTCGTGGTTTGCATACAACTAATGTTGGGAGCAGGACGGAAACATCTGCTAAGTTAGTTACATTTTCATTAAAATTATACTCCTGATTTTGTCTTATGCGAAAATTATGCCTTTTTCAGTTACGAAACACTTTCAATGCTTGTTGAGTCTCGACGAAGTCGCGTTAAAAATCGTTAGTTTTTTTTTTTTTTTTGTTTTGTTTCGGAACTTTCATTCCAACACAGCCCCTTTAAATCAATTTGAAATTATCGATCACATTGCTTGGTTAATTGAGTAGCTTAAACTCTGGCTGAGAGATCAGAATTGTTTTTTGAAACATAGATTGCATAATAATGTGATAATATGTATTTAGCATTCAAAAACGTATGCTTTTGTCATGTGTAATCTAATGATGTAGCTTATTTACGTCATTTCTATAATCTTATTCTTCTTTGTTTTGGATAAATCGAAACAACGTCTTATTTATAGCAAGTTAACTTAATGAAAGTAAAAGAATTTCCAAAAGAGCATGGTTAACATTCGTAATTAACAGCTTGATCTGCCAGAAAAATCACATTCGTGTGTCGAAGAAACAAAAAAAAATCCTTCTTTTTATATTTCATGATGTTGAAAATTGCCTAATTTTCCATAGTGCAAAACAATGTTGAGATATCACTTTTTAGTTATAGAAATGTTCGAACGTTTGGCATTTTCACCACCAACTTTAAAGCGATCCAAACAATCTGAACCACGAAATGAGTTGACAATAGAAGAACGAGTAAAGCCATCACCATCAACAGAAAAATATATTAAACCATTGTCTCTCCAGTAAGTATTTGAAGAGCAAAAGTGAGGTAAGCAACACCTATATGTTTATTTTTAGGTTTATTTTACAAGTCATTTTTATAATTGTTGCTTTAACATACAGATTTGGAGAATCAGAGGAAGTTAAGAAAAATCGGCGTAATCCAATTTTTGTCGAGTATAACAAGGTAGGGAATCTCTTCTTTTAGTACTTGCACTTTTCATCGTTTTGTCTCGGATTCGTGGATATCTATTGCAGAGAGAACATACTCCGGTGCAGTTAACACCAGCAATGCGCACATTGGATGATTATCAAGTCAACAAACCAACTACTTCCAAAGAAAAGTTTTCTGGGTAAGTTAATTTACTTCATAGTTAACGAAAATAATTCTATGCAGCACTGAATACATTAGTGATTAGTCACCATCTTCTTAATGTGCAGCAACACATCCCTTCATTACAACATAAAATTTGTGAACTGCTTGGTTTTTGTTATTCAGCAATTGGAAATACAAGTTGCTTTTAGCTTCTAAGATTTTTCAGATCCATATTATTTTTTGAAAGGATATAATAATAATGGTTAAGCTAGCTGCGAAATCTCCTACACTGTCCTTTTCTAGTTTATGTTTTCCTTCAAAAAATACAATGCGTGCAAAAGCTAAATTTTTTAAGATTTGCTAATCTCGGCAACACGTGCTACATGAATGCGATGCTACAGGGATTGTTTGCCATGGATATTTTTGTTAAGGATCTTTTCAGACTTTGTAAGAAAGCTCAGAATCGTAAAGTGAACTTGGATAAAGTAATGCCAATGAGTTTGTATGTTTTGTTTTTGCGGTTAATGGTAAAAGGAGGTCATCATCTTATAAAATTTTTCCAAAGATGTACTATTAATGGGAATGCAACGCTCAGTTTTGTTTATGACAAAAGTGAGAGCTAATTGTGGAGATCATTTTGTCAATATTTCCATTTAGAGCACTTTCGAGTCTTGCAAGTATACGAGACAATACCTCAGATCATCAAAAGCGAAAACTGTTGACAGCAGTGAAAGATGTGTTGCCGTTTAAAGGCAGTGCTCAGCAAGTTGGTAATTTTGTTTCAATCGAAGCCACGAAGTCCATTTTTCGATTTTTTTTAAAAAAAAGCTCTTCATGCAATACTCAAATCTCACTCATTTAGTAAATATCAACTGTAGAATTTGGCATAAAATGTTTAGCACATTAGATTTTGCGGTAATGAGATGTACAAAACACTACAATACGAGTAAAGGAATTTAATTGTGAAAATAGAAATACTCCCAAGGAATTCCAAATGAGTGCAAAAAAATATCTTTAAAAAAATACCTTAAATGAGTTCAAAAGGTATTCAGTTTAGGATGCCAATGAATTTTTGGTCCACGTGCTCAATCAAGTTCATGATGAATGTGATAATCTGTTGCGTGAACAGTACGGAATTGAAAATACCGCGGAAAGGCGCATGAGGAATCCAGTAATGGCAAATTTTGCTTTCACTATGCAAAGCACTATTATTTGCAACATGTAAGTTTTCTCTACCAACAGTCCAGCAATAGTTGAATCAGTTAATCAATTTTTGGCATAAAATATGCAAAAAATATATGCTTCATTGGAAATGATGAAGAATGAAGCTCTAAATGATCAGATAAATGCTAAGTAATAATGAGAACGCTTTATTCAGGTGCCATCATGTTTCACAAATTAACGAAGACAACATTATTTTACCAGTTACTATCAATATTTTGGATCATAAAAATGAACGGTGAGTAAGCAGGTATGAATGCAGTCTGGTAGTCTTGAGTTATTTGTCTTTAACTTTATTTATAAAAGCTGAGCGTACTTCTTTTCAAAGTAATGTGGTAATCGGGAAAAAGGAACTCATAAGCTATAGTAAGCATTTATTTTATTTTCTATCCTTTCTTCCTCCATTTTAGGTTCCCGAAAAAGTTCTCATGTTTTCCAAGTATGCAGACTTTGTTGGATGATTTTTTGAAGGCGGAAAACGTAGAGAGAAAATGTGAACTTTGTCAAGGAGAAAGTGGACAAAGAACACAAAAATTCGTTCAACTTCCACGGTAATAAAAGATAATTCATTTTAAGTAACTGATTTGATGTACTTTTTTATGAGTCATTTGCTATACCAAAATAAACATCACATAAGAAGAGAGCTTAGTTGATTTAAGTATGATAAAAAATAAATCTTTCAAAGATATTAAGGAGTGTTGTATGAGAAATCAATCGAATTAGTTTGGACAGTAATATCAAGCTTTTCATGTAAAATTGTACGAAAAGATTTGAATAAATGAGTAATTCCTTTTAATTTGTGTATTTCTGACTTAGTTATTACAGATGTCTTATAATACTAATCAAACGATATGTTTATGATGCATCGAAAAGTGTGAAGCGTACTGATAAGATTGATATCCCCTTGTATTTGACTCTAAATGGACATTGCACTGAGTCGCCAACTCCGTTTTTCGCCGTATCATTAAGTACAAAGTAAGCGTCCCAGACAGAAAACAAATTATTTGAGAAAAATATTCCACGACAAAAAGCGACTAGCAAGAGCAAAAAGTTCTAAATATCGGATGTGAAATACTGTTTTCCATTGCACTAAAACTGTTCAAAAATTAGAATTTATGACTGTACCAATAGTAAATTTTAATTCTGTTTTTTCCTGTTCTACGAATCAGTTCCAATCACCATTACATGTTCAGTAAAGTATTATAGAGTATAGAACTTCATTTCTTGACAGAAAGTTAATAGGGAGTATAAGTTCAATAATTAAGTTTCATATAATTAAACCGTAGTTAAGCACTGTATTTACGATTATGGACTGTATTTACAATTAACCTTAGATTTAATAATATTTGTTGCTTTAGAAAGATCGATTTTGCAATTGTGAGTCCGATTAAAACAGATTTAATAGCAATATCAGCCGGTGCGCCTTCACCGACCGGACGCTGTCTAGATTTGTCAGATGAGAGAACCAGTTATGATACTCGAAATGTTAGCGCTGTGGAGGAAGCGCATCATGCGACAACAAATTTCTACAGTCATCGTGTGGATTATAGGACAGGTAAGGACAGAAATGTAGCAGCAAGCTAAGTAGGAAAAAATTAAGACCTAAGACACTCATAATAATCAATTTGGATATTCGTGGAAATTCTTCGAAAAAATTTGAGATGGATGAGTTAGGAGGGAATATAGGTTAAGAATAAATTTGGAAAAACTGCAGATATATTGTTCCTTAACCAGTTAGTGATTTTGTAAAACGAAGTATTTTCAGTGCGAACTAATCATGATGTGGGTTTTGTTGTTCCCGGTATTGGTTCGGAGTTCAAGGTTTGTGAGTCAAATATATGATTTTTTTTTTTCCTTATTTAAAATGGTACATAAAACATGATGATATTATGTTACAGGGCCGAAATCAAGTAACTGAAGATCTTGTTGTACCGTGGAGCTCGGCGGAAGAGTATATTTCTTTTTTTTTTTAGTCAGATGCTGTAGTGTGTAGTTGTGTGTAGTTGCACTAGAATATCTTTTGCACAATAAACATTCTAGTTTAATATAGGGATGGTTGTACAAAGCCACAATAAGTTAAAAAAGCAATATTCATGTTACTCACTTGGTGTCTGTTTCAGTTTTAAAAGGCCACCGAGCAGCTTAGCATGCGAAGAGTTAAGTCGTATGAACGAAGAAGAGCAGCTGCAAGTGGTGAATATTGACTTTTAACATTTCAAAGCTTAAGCTAGTTGAAATCTAACGCTTCTTATAACGGAATCCTGTCTATCCATATAATTTCACAAGTAAATCATTAAAATCACTTTAAATATGGTACTCGAGCTATCCTGGAATGTTAAGACTGCCGGTATGATTGAAACCAGCTGCCATCCCGGATTTGACTATCCCGATTAGCACTTAAGGACAGTATATATAGGATAAGCAGAATATCTACAGCACCTTTGTAACGATTTGGCTTTGGGAGTTCATTCCATTGGAGTTTATTAAGATAATATATTGTATAGATCTAAAAAAACATAGATCAGTAATTATTAATTGTCGACTTCGGGAAATTCAATTAATTATTAGTTGTAGGTTTGCGAGCGAAGCTTGATGCAGACGAGCGATCAGAATAAATCAAGTGATTCATCTCTGTCTGTTGAATTTCCCGAAGTCGAAGCTGAAGAAGAGGTTCGAGAGAAATGTTTTGAAATACTTCTCTGTAAATGGTTAGATGTGAATAATGCCATTCGAGAAATTCTTAGATCCAACATTTTGTCCTTTTTATATTAGACATTGGAATTTTTTTAGAACGACGAGGCAGATATACTACGTGGGCAGGTTGATTATATTCATAATGACCATAAGGAGAAGCCAATTCCAAATATAGGATTATTTGAGAAAATGAGGGATGAGTAAACGGGAAGTTGTAGGCAAGGAGTTCAGTCTGCTAGCCAGCAGGAAGGCAGTGTGAGTGTCACGGAAACTAATAGTGAAGCTAAACTTGAAAATACGAGTTTTATTGTGAAAGAAGCGTAGTAGTTTTATGCTAGTGTGGACATTAGGCCAGTTAGGCAAGGTGACTGTGAGATAGAGCCTAAAGTAAGTTAGATTTGGTGTTTACAAAAACAATAAAGACACCTAATGTAATAATAAATCAAGTAAAGAGGTTTGTTCTATATGGACCACAGGACCATCTTAGGCCAAAAAAGAGCGATACGTCTAAAGATCTCCAAGAGCCAAAGTAAACTGTTGGAAAATTTGCCATTAAATGACAGTAAGAGTCAGATATCGATGTTCAAGGTTGCTCTTTTTAACAGCTTGTATATGTGTAACATTCCACGAATGGTTTGCAAATCAAAAAGATTAAAGTTTTAATTTCAGACTGGAGAGAGTTGCATGAAACCTCTCGCACAGTCACCAATCGCAGGTGAAATGCAGGAGAAACGAAGGCAAGATGATTATATTATTAAAGAGATCGTGGCGGAGAATTTCAATATATCTCACTTGTCACAAGAAAGAGTGGAAACTCTTACACCAGATGCACATGAAGGTAATGAAAAGTTATGGGTGTATGTTTCAAAGTTCACAAATTAAGATTAATTCCAGCACGGCAAATTTGGAGTTAAAAATTTTATACACTCAGTTTTGCTATTATTTGCCCAACTTTATGATCTGAGTATCCTTTTAGCCATTGAAGATAAAAGAGGACCAACTAGGCCATTCACACCTGTCCCTCCTAACACTCCGATTAGTATGACTGAGCAACATCAAGAGAAAATGTCGCGCAGAAATAGTCTGTCCAGTGATGATGTAAGTTTAGCAATTTACATCTGAAGTTATACTTTGCATTATTGCGTGATTTGCAAATGAGTTAATGTTTTTTCAATATGTGCATGAACCCAAATTTTTCTCTGTTGTTCTATACTTTTAGTGTACAACTCAACCGTCTTATAAATATTCAGTTCTTGGCAACCGAGGTTGTCCATATAGCTAAAAACATCCTTATTGCACAAGGAAGAGATAAAACATACAGTCGTAGAGTCACATACGCCACAGTCCGATCTTTTCTAGTGATATTGCTAAAGTAATTTAAAGTTGACATGAGTAAAGCTATACGTTTTAAATTCCACTGTTATTTTTGCATTTAAAAAATAAGTTGAAATGTTTCTTTCTTAAGGAAGAAATTTTGGAGGAATCTAGTACGCAACTGGTACCGTACAAACCGATATCTGCTGAAAAACGACGTGCTATTTGTTCTCAAATTGGTTTACTCTTCAATTATGATTGCATGTACGGTTTTTTTTGAATTTTCGGTATTTTAATTGAGTTAAAAGATATGTAGTTCTTATAAACTTTGTTTCATGTGAGATAATACATGACTAGTCTACGAAAAGTTGGATTTAAAATTAATTTTCAAAATGCTTAGTTATGTGGTTATTTTAACAAAAATGAAATTCCAGTGAAAAAGCCACTTTTCGCATAATGAGTACAAATGATCGTCCATCTCGAGTTGCTGATATTGTTGGTGACGGCAACTGCTTGTTCCGGGCGCTAGCTTTTTATTTCGCCGGTAGCGATATCGAATATTCAAGAGTTCGGAAATGTGTAATATTTTAAAGCCTTTTATATATTGATCCTAAAAATGTAAATTAACTTTAATTGTATAGATATGTGTTCCATCGTCTGCAGCACCATCAAATTTCAAACGAATTATTTCTGAGTCCTGTTGTTTTAACTGACCGGTTTTCCAATGTAAAATAGTTTACTTTCACCATATAGTTGTGAAGTTAACATCCATGCATGAAAACAGGATAATTTGCAATGTACTTGATGAAGTTTGGATTAAGTTTCATTAAGATGCATTGAAGTTAGCTTCAGAGCAGGTTTTGAATTTAGTTTTTTAATCACCATAGCTTGTTGGGCCAATTTTTTGTTAGTACTGAAATTATGTGACCAAAATTTCCGGAAATGGTGGATATTGTTACATAAATGCTATTTTACGAATTGCCAAATTAATATTTATAGATTGTTGAATTTGAAGCAGAGCACTGGAATGAATTTGCTGCTTTGAAAGATTGGTCGTCAGAAATCTGGAATGACCACATGAATCACTTGTTGACCGATAATACGTGGGGTACTGAAATTGAACTTTTCGCTGTCGCAGCAATGTTAAGTGTTGATGTGTGGACGTATTATGATCAGCGATGGATTTGCTATCGACCAAGATTTAGAGTCCAAAATGGTGATATTATACGTGAGTTTGTTTTATCGCTTCTTAGTGGTCATCTGACACTGATTTAAACTGAATTGTGAGGAATTCACAGATTTTTCTCTTATTCAAATAAAAATACTTTCGTATTGGTGTTGATTTCTTCTAGAAACTTCTTGCGGGCTAGAAATGTTACAACACTTATATTAACTGTAAAATGAGCAGTTTAATGAAATTAAATTTGATGCAGTACTGTGACTTTCACAAATATGATTGAAATGAGGTTTTCATTTTATTTCATATTAATGCTTACTATTATTTTCGTATTATTTTCAACTGTTATTAAGCTTGAGATAATATTGGGAAGTTTTAGGCATATCTGTTGATGATTATCGGGTGGGTAATAACGATGGTATATACTTACTGAACGAATTCAACCACTTTACACCGGTGCTTGAACCTTCGGTTAGAGTTTGTATTCGTTTGCATTGTTTCAGATCGACCAGGTTTCAGATAGCTTCGACATTTGAATAGTATTCTTAAATTAAGTCAATGATTTCATTCGGGAACAATTCAAGTTGTATTCTGATTACTCGATAACTTAATGATAATAAATTGATTCAGAATGCACTTCTTTTAATGGAAGGTGTTGACGAGCGAATTTATGATCTAGTTATGAACGCCAAGGTAAGTTTCAGACATAGTCGATTATTTTGGTTGTTAGCATATTTTAAGGTACAATAATTTTTTTTCCTCGTTGCGCTAATCTGATATAGCTCCCACCTGAATTTTGAAATGAAGTGTATGGCAGCAATTTTAGTTTAGTAACGGATATTTTTTCATTAAGGAAGGTTTCATGAAGCCATCTTATCGACTTGTTTCGGTTATCAGTCATCTCGGACATACAAGCGAAAGCGGTGAATTTTTTAATTCATTTTATGAACTTCATGGTCAGCTTTTCTATTTGACATTTTTTTTTTTCTTACAGAAAATTTCCCCGATAAGGAACTTAAATTTCTAACTTCAGAAAAGCAAGGAAACAATCATTTCTAGGCCACTACGTATGTGATGTTTGGTGCAAAAAAAATAGGGGTTGGCTGTTATGTGACGATGAATCAATTTCGTCTACTAGTGAAAGGAAAATTCGAGCCAGGAAAAATGTCGGATACATTTACTTTTATCTAAACAGGTGATTTTTTGAACTTTGCAAGCGTTGTGTTAGCTGTTGTGAATAACCAAAACTTCCAGTGCTTATGTTGTTTTCTATACCCAAAATTTTGAGAAAGTAGCATATTGTCTATTATGCAGCATAAGTTCACTGCATAGATAATCATTATCCAAAAGCCTTTTGGTTTTTTTTTTGACGAAGTCTTAGAAGAGTAATCACTTTCATATTTTATTCGCGAAAACTTCTTTCAGCGAACTGTTCGATAATAAGAATGCTTGACAGGTAAATTAATAACTAGTCATTATTTTATCCTGGTCAGCGGTTTGAAGATTTTTGGATTTTTTCTTAATTCTTTAAATTAAATCCTTGAGTTTTTTTTTTTTTTTCTTTTGGTACTTTACTCTAATATTACGATTTCAATATCACCTGATGTGGATGTGATGTTAGTAATTGCTGTGCGCTTATTTTTTAAATTTTTGATGGATACGGAGTTTTGACAAAGCTTTCGAAAATTCATAATTCAACAAAAATTCGGTGGAGCGATTCTCCCATATTGCAACGAGTTTTATGTGCTCTTCTGTACATTGTTTTCTTTGTTCTCGATCTAATCGTTCCTTAATTAAAATTGATATGAAAGGACGATGTTGTATACAATAAATGACCAGTGAAGTTTTGCTTGACATTACTTGCTAATTTAGTTTTTTCTGGTTAGAAATTGGTACTTGAAATGAGAGTTTCAGAAAGTCATGGAAAAAGAATGGTTGGGTGGAAGGGAGGAAGAAAAAGAAAAATAATGAAGGAAATAACTACTGTACTATAAATCTTATAATACCTACTGTAATCTTGGAGTGGACTGCTGGTAATGATCAATAATGCATAAAATGATTTTTCTTTTGATCAATATCGGTTTCTTTATAGATTTATCATCTTGAATTTTTTAAAATTATAACTGCTACTGCAAAGAGATGTTTGGGATAAAGAAAAGGACCGATAGAGAATTGTCTACCATGATAGTTCATGCATTATCGTTTCTGCGATTAACCAAGAAGGCGTTAGCAGAGCACTAAAATTTAACCAGTTCACGATGTTGAAATGAGAGTTGTTTGTGGCGCTCCTAAAGTAGAGAAGGACTGAACTGAAGTAGTTGTATTTCGTAAAGTTATTCATCAACCTGATCTCAACTAACAATTCAAATTAATCGATGCTTAGTCCAGATAAGCAGTGGAATTGATACCCGCAACTTCTCTCTCTCCGTTGCTGTCTATCTTGTTCACAGGTTTCTGTTTTATCGAATATCGCTTTTCTCCTTTGACAAGTGGATGTGTGCAGTGCTTGGATCTCTTAATCATACACCTGGTTAGACATGATCATTAATGCATAGAGAATGACTTATTATATTTTACGCTGTATGCTTGCTTGTTAGTCTTCTCCAGTTTATCATATAAAGTTAGATATTATTCCTGTTGTCCGACCAGAAGAAAAATTCGATATTGAAATGGCTTCTCTTCCCGATCGTAACAAGCAACGCACCCTGTAGCGAAACTGCCAACACAAACAACAGCAGCTTTGGAATTGTGTAATGATTACTTCGATTACTGGCCCATTTTGTTTAGTAAAATCTTGATCATTACTATTTATAGAACAAACTGCAGTCTTCGTTTTCTTTTTGTGTGATAATTAATTTCAGTTCTAAGTTTCTCGTAGTAACTTGGGACTTTGCTATTGCTTAATGTTATAGGATAGCGCACTACTCTCACTTTTCAGGAAGACTCTTTTCAGGAAGAGTAAGATATAGTCCCATCAAATCAATGAGTTTTGTTGCAACGAAACGTCTGATTGCTATCATTACAGGTACTCTTATTAGTGTGCTCATTTTTTGCTTTGATTTGTTCAAATATTCTGAAGTACACTAAGAAATAGCTATATATATGGTCAAAATTTACGTCTTTTATGTTCATTTCTTTATAGATGAAATCTGCATTTTATGCTTTATTTTTTATTTTAACTGATTTGTTTTTGCTTAGATATCATAAACTATTTCCCAACTTATTTTTCTTATCCACTTTCTTTTAAAATTTGAAGGTGCGAGTTCTGGGATTGGTAAAGCCACAGCAGAATATTTTGCTGAAAAGGGCTACAATTTGTCATTGAATGGTCGAAATGAAAAGGCGCTCGAAGCAACGGTTAAAAATTGCATGACGAAAGGCTTAAGCAAAGATTCGGTATCATTAGACGATATGTTTAATATGTTTATGGTAAAAAATTGGTTAATAAGTTGATCTAAAATAGGAAGGAAGCGAAGCTTTAAATTTTCATAGTAAGGCTGAAGAATGCTTGTCTTTTGCCTTATTTCATACAGAAATAATTTGATTGAGAACTGAGGCATATATTTTTTCTAACAAAAAATCAAATGTTAAACTGTCGAAACATAGATTTAAGTAAAGGAACATGAGTGAGATTACTTACCTTAATTTTCCTTTTTATATGGAATAAAGTTTGGATCTTAATATGCATGAGCGATACACGCAAGAATAAATTAGATTGTTGTGAGAGACGATGTGCAAGGTGCGTTCGAAATCTTTTTGCTCAGTGCGTCTGCAATTCGCACGATTTATGGCAGTTAGCCGCGTTCTTCATCGATTCACGAGCCGAGTAATCCATCGCTAAGAGTTAAAAATTAGTAGTAATGCTAATGAAAAAGATAATTACAATAATAATACGTGTGTGTATGTGTGTTTGTTATTTCGATTAGTAGTATAAGCTTAAATGCTTACTTAATTAATTGGGTTGTCGCTTTATCTTCATCGTTATCGACCGTTAGGCGATAACTTGAATGACATATAGGTAGTAACGAATTATCACCGTTTATTCATATTTTACACATATTATCATTATTACTATTTATTAATATTATTCGTTAGAAATGAATGATAACTGATGGGTAAGGATGATGTCCATTAATTTGAACCATATTTGTAACTAAACAGTGAGATAATGGATCTTTTTGTGTGCTTCCACTCCTGCTGTCTTTTATTAGCTCGCTCTACTCGACTTCAGACTTTTTCTTTCAGAAGATATATTTATCTAGGTTTAAAACTTTAGCTGTTACCACTCTCACATTGTAGAGTGACTATTGGTTTTCATCAGATTTATTAGAAAATATTCCAGTTAAATTCTTATATTATTTAGATTTTGACTACAACGGGAGATTTGACGGATGAAAAAGTTGTAAATTCCCTGGTCGAGCGTACAATGGAAAAATTTGGACGAACTGACTCGTTGATTAATGCTGCGGGAATCCTAATTAATGGTATAATTTCTGGTATATGAATAAGGATATTTTCGAACGAAGTAGAGTAATCAATCATTCTGAAAGGTAATGTTGTCAGCTTTCTTTGTAAATTCCCGTTATGTATCATCGGATCCCTAATCGAACGCATCAATTTGTGAAAAATTCTGATGTGTCTGTGATGAAGGATGCACCATTTAGGGAAAGTAATGGATTGCTCTATGCAAGATTACGATTATCTGATGAATGTAAACCTTCGAAGTATTGTTCAATTAACGCGGAAAGTTGTACCTTATCTTATCAAAACGAAAGGTTCAATTGTGAACGTAAGCAGTATCAATGGTCCATGCCCCGTCAGTTTTTTTGTTTTCTTTATCAAGCAGTCTAAAAATGGAATGACATTGGACTTGTACTTGTTCATTTTAGATTAACTAATGTATTTAATGTTAACCACCTTTTCCATTCTCTATATATAAGTGCATATAGTTTAAAAGAATTTCAAAAAAACTTCCTTTCAGTTTAGTGGCGTAGCATTTTACTGTGTGTCAAAAGCAGGATTGGATCAGTTTACGAAATGTCTAGCTCTTGAGTTGGGTCCTGAGGGAGTTAGAGTCAATTCTGTGAAGTAAATTTTTAAAAAATTACATCTGTATTTTTATTCTGAAGTTTCTCGGTTTGAATATCTGTTTAGAAAATAATACCCCCAACTTTTCAATTCTAGCCCTGGTGTGGTCGTCACCGATATACACAAAAGATCCGGCATGACTGATAAAGATTATCATGAGGTAAATTTTTGCTAAAGATTTCCTTATAGCTAAGGATTTCTTTAAAATTAGCAAAATTAACTTAATAACTTAATATCAATACATGTAAAAAGGTGCAAGGCAACAAATATAAAGGGAATTTTTGAGATGAAATTCTTAATTGTGTTTGTAGTCAACTGTCGTTGAGTTTCTGGACGTTTTGTAAATAACTATTTCAGTTTCTTGATCGAGCAACTAAATTTGCTGCACTCGGTAAAACTGGAACAGCTGTGGATATTGCCAGAGCTATTTATTTCCTGGCAAGCGATAAATCGTCATTTATTACTGGTGATCTGCTTAGAGTTGATGGTGGGCGAGGAATTATGCATTTAAGATGATCTTCATCACTTCGATTTTTAAATATATTTGTGCTTATAGATAATTCTGCTTACAAAAAAGGGGAAGCATGCTAACATTTCACATAGAGCTTATACTTTAATCCAGTATGTTCTGGAAGTTTTCTACATCTACATTTTATATAAATAGAATTTTGGATAAAGAGCAAAACAACGAAATAAATTTGTGATGTAGTCAGCATGTAAAATGCAGATAGATTTTCGTAATACAAATGGTAGTAATACATTCAGAAATTCCAGTAACATTGAATTCTTGATTACTGTGACTAGTTGGATAATTTTTCGATGTAACTGGCCAATTCGACATCTCTTTCCGACAAACCATTTACATCGTGACTGCTTAGAGTCACTTCAATCTGAAACTTGCTCATCCATGCCTTCTTTTAACTTTTTTCCGTTTCTTTAGTATTTTACGAGACCATTAATTTCAAACATCTAACCTTATTATAAACATTGAACCATTCCGGATGATGATTCATTTTCTCTGCACACATTGCTACTTGTGTCATAAAACCAAATGCCTAGAAAAGATTTTAGGATTTAATAACAAGTTAGACTTTTCTGGAGATTGAGAAGGAAGACAAGAGGAAGAATGGAAAATTTTACTTCACTAAAATTCTTGAACTGTAAATTCTTCCGAATGGCATCTCGACCTTCAACCATTTTCCATCCTTTATTGATTAGCGGTTGCAATAATTGCTTTCTTTGTTGTTCATTCAAAATCTGAATTTGAACATCGTTAATATTGCAAATACAGTTCTGCCCATATAAAGTTTACTACTTATCCAGCAATTCTGCTGCGGTTTTAGCGACCAAACTTGTTGTGACTACTGCATTCTACTTAACTTAGTTCGTTGTAATATGTCAGTTCTAGCTGACAAATAAGAACAGTGACTAAATGATAGAAAATAAGCAAGTACCAGGTGGGATTAAGCGAAATTCCAAAAAGGGTACGGAGCACATAAATTAGAATATTTAACAAGATGCGAGAGAAAAGTCAACACCTACCATAACAACTTTTTGAGAATGCGACGCGGTGTTCGCACTACCAGTGAAACGCCAAATTGCTGATATGGTCATAAGCTTCCCTTCCAGCCCTGCAATTCGAAATTGATTGGTACATTTCGCCCGTCCCTATTCCGATGAAAACGTGCTTTTCTACTTTTGCAAAACAGTGCCAAGGAGGAAGGAAGATAAAAAGATATTCTGTGAGATCGTTGATTGGTTATTATATGACAATTACCAATTTTGCAACATTTATCTCATCAAGCTATGCTTCGATGAATCCTTCCCAATTCTCGTGATTGCTTTAATTTTGAAAGCATTGCCTTCATCTTGTACTCATTACGAATAATATCTGCACTGGCCGGCTTTGCTGCTTCTACATTCTTCCTCTCATATTAACCCTATTAAACCCTCGATATAACTTACTGACAAAGACTTCAGCCTTTCTTCGACTTCTGCGCTGTTGTCCAACTCTGCGTTATATGCAATATCTTACTTGCTCTGCAAATCGTCCTCACGAACTCATGCTTATATAACATCTTTACTTAAGTTTGCGAAACCTCAAAATAATGCTTTCCAGCTTCTTTGTAACCAGGAATTGATTCACTCGCGCAATTTTCCAACCTTGTACACTTACTGCTACCAATAACAAGAATTTTGAGAACATGAAGAGAGCTTAAAGAGATAAAGCAAATGTTCTATAAAGCACTACGAGAACTATAAAAAGGTTAGTAGTGAAGCGAATCGGCAGAGAAACGACAACTTTTTGCTTGAGGAAATGACTAAATCTATTCCGCCTTCTTCCTCTTGTTCTAACCGAATTATGCATAACACATTAAAGATTTTTCTTCAAGCATCTGGAAATTAACAACTTACTATTTGCACAACTATTTCAGTAAACAGTCAAACATAAACAGCGTACGCTTGAGCACTACCGTCCAAGAAAAACAGCATGGCAGCACTCTAATCGATTGCTCCGGCAGTTTGTTGCATTCAGTTCGAATTAATACTTTTTGAATTCCAAATAAGCCTCAATCTGCAACTTCGCATCTCATTGTAATCAACTTTTTTTAAGTTTCGCGAAATCTAAAACTGAGAGTCGGAAAAATATACACGAATACATTCGTAAAGATAAGGAAATGAACACGATGCTAGTAAATGTTAAAGTGATCTAAGAACAATAAATAATTATTTTAATTGAGAGATGAAGTTTATTTTGTAATTGCTGGTATGGAAATTTTTGAAAATTCATAAAAGTGAAGGAAAAATTTAAACATGACAAAAAATTTTTGTGAACATTCGAGATCTATATGCTCTAGTTCACCCGACAATTCAGTGGCAGGTTGATAGAGGAATTTGAGGCACTTTCGATGAATAAATAAAATCCATAAAAGTCTCCACATTTTCATTTGGATTTCAAGAAAAAAGGACAACAGCATCCAAAATTGGCATATTTTGCGTTCAAGTCTATGCCAATTATGTTCAACATTTATTTAATTAATTATTCTGTCTTGTTCCTCGTCATCATCCACACATCAAGCGCATCCGAAAATTTTTTGAGAAAAGCTGAATTCAAACATTTAATTTGGAAATTAAAATGAGACATATTTAAGCACTTCAGTGAACAAAATAATTATCCCATAGGAAGTAGAGCACACCAGCAAGTATTTCACATTCGACTTGCCAAAACCATTAAGGATGCCAAGTTCTTAGTGGACTGTTTCCATTCTAAGCTACAATTAGAAAAGAAAATATCTCACTGAAGTCAGTCTGATTCTTTTTTACCTATACTATGCGCACACTTTCATATTGTCCTTCTTTTCGAGCATGCACCACTATAGTTCTTCAACATGCACACATGATATTTCCTCTATCTGATGGCCTTTATCTTTATCGATGTTTATAATAGTTCCTCCACTAACTCTCTATACCACAGTATTTCGGGAAACTAATAAAAATTTTCGTCGAAAAAAGATCATATGTTATCAGTCATATCACGTCTTCTTAGCTTTAACGAATTCATGCAGATTTTTAGCCCATTTTGTGTTTGTAGTTGTTCATTATTTTCATTATGTTGTTCCCACTACACTAGCCATTTGTCTTATGTTGTGCATTTCTCTGGAGATCAGAATTATAAAATACCTTTCAAATATCTAGTTATCCCAATAAAGAACCATCTTCGTTCTAAACATCCGGAATTAAGTGGCATCAAAAATAAATGATGAAAATAAACTGTTGTGCAGACTTCAGCTCAAAGCACTCTACGAACGCAGGTTGCTATAAACTTGAATGGAATTTAACGGAGTTACAAAAAAAGACAAAAATTAGTATTAGTTGTCGTGCTTACTGCTTAAAATTCAAATTTTTAGTTTCCCGCCTTCGAAACCGGAAGAGCTTTGACAAGTGCAGGATACTGCAGGCTACCTCGTGATCATGCTTCGCAAATTTTTTGATTTTCAGAAAGAGGAAGATGCGGAACTTCTAAGGTAGGTAAAGGTATAAGTTTAATGGAAGCAAAATTTAGAAAAAGTGGATTTATTCATAATGTTGAAAAGGTACCAATTCTTTTTCTTCCCTGCTTGTAAAGTAAACTGGCACTCTTGATTTTACGATGTTTAAATTTAGCAACGAGAACGACTTGCTTTCAGGATATTCTTGAATCAAGACATATTGCTTCATTTTAAATCTGGTAAAATCTACAAGTGCTATGAATAAAAGATTGTAGAAGAGCACAAAGTAGGGAATAAAGATGAGAAAGATGACAATGAATTCTAGTTGCAATTTCAATAACTGAACAAAGACTATAAAAAGTTCTTCTCGTCTTTCATAATTTAATTAACTGCTACAGTGTGCAACTTTATGGCTTTCATGGATTATCGATATCAGTCAATGAATAATTTTAACATGACTGATAGAAACAGAATTATTTTCGGCCTTTACACAACAACGATCACTGTTAGTGTCACGCATAACAAGTTGGGTGGATTATGGAAATAGGGATGATTACGGTTGTGCAAACGGCAACGGATAACCGGTTAGAATTAAGATACTAATGGGTCATCGGAAATCCGTAATGGTATCTGTCAATATTCAACTATTTGAGTGATATTAAATTCTAGCCATTCAGTGATTGTTTTAAATTTGATTTCAAAAGGAATTGCATTCCACTGTACTGCACAGAAAATTAACAAAAAGGATAAAAGGATATTAAACTTCAACCAGTTATCACACTTATTGATTAACTGGAAACTGTTAATTAAGACACAAGTAAGAGGTTGTTCCGCTGCAATAAGTGGGCATTTTCAAACAACGAAGACGGTCTTAAGGTAGATGAGGGAGTGATAGAAGGAAGGGTATACATAGTTCTCTGGACATTTCCGAGGGATATGGAAAGGGGCGGTAGGAGGTGGTGGGTGATTTTCCCTCTATTGTTGGGAAGTAAGTGGGGTTTCTGTGGTTTTGGTTTGCGCTTACGTGTTTCGCTTTAGTGAATTACTTTACTTACTGCGGGGGGTGTTGAGCTGCCTTTTTCACCGGTCTCTCATGGAATTGGCCAGTAAGTCCACTCAACACTGGTGAGCTAACATGCAGATGCAAGATGCAAGTTGAAAGTGTAAGTGCTAAAATATTTGCTATAAAATTCGTCTTTTTTTTTGAGCTGTCGAGATTTTTTCGAAGCTTTTTAGTTTGTTGCTGCAATAGCAAAATGGCGACTGGAACGCCAGCAGATGAGGGTGATATTCGCATTGAGGAAGACGATATATTAGATAATGGTAGTGATCTGCTCACTTCCACAGATCATATGAGCGAAGATCCAGTAAGTTTGGTTAAAGTTCCATCAGTATTTTTACGCTTTCTACAGCATAGCATCGATGTATTTTCAATTCTAATCGACATTTATTGTCCTCTTTTGTTATTGCTCAAGCCGTACTTTAGTAAATGAACAACAAGTAAGTATAAGTAGTTGATTGTAAGCTAAGCAATCTATCAAGCTGTTGTTGTTGGCTCCGTTAATGGTGTTTAGTTGTTTATTGATGAGATGCCAGGACTCTCCCTAAAAATTTTTGCGTCGACATCTCATAAGTAGTTTGTTTCAGATTATCTTTATGTTTAACATATGTATTTCAGGATATGGAGGCGCTAACGAATCGCATGAAAGAAATTGAGGAGGAAGCTCAATTAATACGCCAAATGCAAAGTGATGTTGAGAAACAAATGAATATGAGTACTGGCAGTAATACTTCCCAAAGCGTTGCTTCAATTGAAGATAAAATTGAAGCAGATAGCAGATCTGTTTATGTGGGGAACGTATGCACTTATATTTTCATTTTGTAATCTTTAATGTTATACCACTGTTAATTTTTTTAAGGGAAACTGGTTTTGTATGAGATTTAATCTTATGTATTGTCTCAGGTTGATTATTGTTCGACTGCGGAGGAATTAGAAGCTCATTTTCATGGATGTGGTTCCGTAAATAGAGTAACAATCTTGACAGATAAATTCACAGGCCATCCAAAAGGGTATGCTTGTTTCATATCTCGTATTAGTCAGTCTTGAATTATATAGATTTTTTATAGATTTTATACATTTTTTTATAGATATAGATTTTTTGGGAAATTTTTTATCCAAAAATATGTGATGACTTAAATTTTATTGAATTAGACTTTTTAGTCACTTCCGGAAATACAAGAGTGTTTTGATCAATTCACATTCTGTTACAACATAATATTTTTCTTTCTCTGTATTTGAGTAAACGTCAACCATGTTTTTAGGTTCGCTTATATTGAATTTGCTGATAAAGAAGCTGTTCAGACTGCTCTAGCTCTTGATGAATCATTGTTTCGAGGCCGGCAGATCAAAGCTAGTTTTTGCTCAGTATTCATTATGAATAGTAGATGGTGTATTTTTCTCCCTGTTCTCGAATTTAATGTTGATTAGTTTTTAGGTTTGTGCCAAGCGAACGAATCGGCCTGGTGTAAGTACCACAAATCGACCACCTCGCGCACGTGGCCGTGGAGGCGCGCGTGTAATCGTGAAATACATCTACGCCGGTTATCGGGCTAGGCGACCGCCAAGGTAATATTTAGTAGCTGTTATAGTTTGTAAGCAAATTTGCAGTTGTGAAATTTGCAGATGCAGATTTCATTACTCAAATCTTTCAGTGTAGTTTGGTTGCTTGTTTTGTACTGACATTTAAAATATTAGTAATTTTTTGACAAAATTCGTTTTAAATTCAATTTTTTTTAAATATATATCTTTGGTTTATTATAGGCGTCGTGGAGTTTTCGCGCCATACTAAATATAGGTCGATGTTGTCTGAATGAGCAGAAAAAACATCGAGTCATACCAATGTTTGAATTTGGCGTGTAGGATTTAGTGACGTGTTTTCGTTACAATTTGCTACCCATATTTTCCACACTTTGTTCGTTTGTTGTATTTTATGAATTAGCTGTTTCTGTTTTCGAGATTTTACTTTTGAATCAGTTTTGAGAGATCCAAATGAACTCTGGTATGGTTTTAGATTGGAGCTAATGGAAAACTACTTCGATCTTTATAATACATAAAGTGCAGGTTATTTGACCTGATTTAGTGGTAGCGAAATACATAAATGCTCCCGAGGTGCTATTTTGGATTCAGAAAACTAAATTCCTCAATTTAAAACTTAAGTGATTTGGATTATTAGTAATGCTTCACTTTTTTTTCTTTGTTTTGGAAGCTAAGAAGTACAAGATTTTTTGATTATAATTGGCAGCTCTATCTTTTATTTTTCAATAAAAACCATTACCTGGTTTCTTTATTGTAATACACACCTCATTTCTACCAACACCACAATCTACGGTTTTGTATTGGTCGGTTTTAATTTAGGCTATTATGCTAATGATTTTTTGTCATTGTTTTTATGAGAGAAAGGTTCCTTTTCTAATCTAAGGGTTTCAGTTTTCTTAAATTGTCTTCGTTCTTTTTGCAGTTTTGATAATTCTTTTACTTTTTATTGTCATATTTCGCCAGCTCTTATTGTCTAACAAATTGACCGTGGCCATTGTTATTGTTGTATGAGAATGTGGATGGTTTAAATCAAGTTTGCTTCATTTTACTCGAAAAAAAAAAAATCTCTCAAGCATAAATATTACGCACGCAAAATCTCTTATTTTTCTTTAGAGTCAGAAGAAAGTAACTTATACTCTTTTGGTAATATTTAAAGGCGAATTTTTGACAACACGTTTTATAAACTCTGAAGAAGCTTTTATTTCTCCAAGCTTTTTGTTCAAACTGTTTTTCAATATTTGTCATAAAACAGTTATTTTAGGGGCAAGGGCGTTAACGAATCATTTGAAATGATAGTTTTTTTTTTCTGAATTGTTTTCTCAAATTTTTATTGGATTAGAACTTCCTGCTTGAAGCTCGTGCGGTTGAAGTACCGATTAGATCAAATAATGTGCACGGCTTCCACTTTTTTAGGTGATAGGAGTCATCTTACTAGATCTTTTATTCGTCTTTCTGGATGATATCTTAAATCTTGGGGAACGTCTCATAGCATTAAAATTTAGTTTGGGAAATCAGATGCACTCACATAGAAAAAGATCCTTTGCTGGGAGTTTTTTCACAGGGTCTAAGATTGACTTATGGTTTTTTTAATACCAACATATACCGGTATTTTTTATAATTGCTCTTTCTCGTCATTAAATTTCTCTTAAACGACTAGAGTTTATGATGTGTCTCGAGACAGGTGAGGAATGTTGCATTAAATTTTATAAAAAATTTCTTTTGCTTTCAAGAAGTCTTTTTTCAATAATTAATCATGTCCGAGAGTGCGATTGCTGCTGATTTCTAGGATGAACAGAAATGGGGTAAACCTTATTTTTTTCCTGTAGAAGTTTTCTGCAATAAAATCTAAGGTTGAAAGTATTTGGCTTGAAATTGCCTTTACTCTTTATCTCACATTCATTAATTCTAGCACTGACAATTCAAGAAGATTTTTACATGTGTTAAAATCATAAAAAGCCGTCTATATCGCGGACATTACATCGTGGTGATGTTCTAATTGTTGCTATTCCAAAAAAGTCTGTCAAAAAACACAAGAATTCTTGCCCAACTGACCATAAAACTTAAGTGTTAATATCAGAAAACATTAGAGAAAATTCACACATAAAATTATCATATTGCTCATTACTAAAACACAGTTAACTTAAACAAGTTAATGGGTTATATTTTACATCATTTACAATGAAATGAATTTTTCTTAATGAAGATTTGAAGTTTTTCATTGTCAGTTAACTCTTTACAATTCTCTTGTATACAATTCTCCCAGCAGACGTTTCTTACGAGATCGTTCACTGTTACAAAAATGATCCCGAAATATTTTTGAATATTAGCTGAATAATTTCAACAAGATGATAATTTTATTGTCGTCAACAATTTGAAGTATGGTTACTGGAATGTCTGCTCTTCATTTTTATTGTTTTCTGAATTTTGCCCATTTTTAAACTTATAAACAGTTTTCAATCATTTCCTCTTCGAATTTCTCACTTCAGACATTGTTCTAGTCAAAATTCTGGTCGGATATAGTGATTGTAATCTCGTTCTTCAAATTGCTATCAGTCATTATTTGCATTTAAATTCAAGGCTATTAATTTTTAGATAAATATCCTAGTTCTACATAAACTGCAGTTGAAAATCCAACTCTAACATCATTACGAGAAACTCTAATTTCGAACATGGCAGTAATAACTTCAGTCACAAATTCGATGGTTTAAAGTTATGGTTCAAATATTTTAATCCAAATTTTGATCTCATTTCTTGCTTTTAGAGAATCCAATTCTAGGTTTATTGGCTACCAGGGTGTGATCCCGAATTTTTTACCAAGTAAAGTTAAAATCTTCAACAGCGTAATCTCGATATAGGTTTCAATTTCATCAGTTTTATGCGTTTTGTTCATCTTTGCTCTTCTCTAACTCATCTTATTATTTTCCAAAGCTTTAATTTCAGATATATTGATCGTTCAGTCTTAAATTCCTAATATGCCACATCTGAAAATCTAATTTTAGGTTTTTTTTCTTTTTTCTTTTTCTTTCTTTTTTTTTTTTTTTTTTTTTTTTTTAATAAAATAACTTATCTAGTTGAAGTATAAAATAATTTTTGATCAAATATTTAATTTTAAATTTGCTGTCACCAATATCTTTCCCTTCATATGATAATTATTGAACATTGCAAGCCTTTCTTCATCGCTAATCAAAACTTCAATTGCTTTACCGTTAGAAAAAACATTGCTTTCAGGAATCTGACAGTAGAAATTTGAGCTTCACTTCTCTTTTTTAATTTTTGGTCGACTATATTTGATTTTTTTCCAGTATATTATCGATTTTTTCTCGAAATATTGACTTTTCGTTCCTTATATGCTTCACTTTATTCCCATTTAGCTTAATCTTTTCAACTTTAATTTATTCGCTTTAATAACTTTGTGCTTAGCATTTCTTTCAATATTCCTATAAAAAAGATGCCTGCAAAGCCTTGCAAAGAACCAGTTAAGTACACTTAGTAATAGCAAACTGCATAATCCTCATTTGATTGCAATCAGTCATTTAATAGTATTCCTGTAGGCAGCTGTCAAAAATCATTTTCTGTTGCGGAAAAATGAAATCAGATTAATTATAAATCTCAAAGAATGATTGTTAGCAATGTTAACAAACACTGTTTTGTAATAAGAAATCAGTGAGTCAAACTTAACAATGACCAAGTTTTGGGCTACATATTATGATGGAGCACACACCTAACGCAAACTTTCAATGAAGTTTACCAGGAATTTCCAGTATCTTAGTGAACATCTAAGATAAGAGAAATCTGAAAGTTTTAGATAGTAAAGAACCGAAACCCTTGCTAAGAATGTTTGTTTTATGAAATTGGTGCATACATTATGCCTTAATGCTTCTAGCAAGAAAATAAAACGACATACTTGAATATAGTCAGTGCATACATGTTATTCCTGAGTTTCCAATGAAATTACGCAGTAATTGAATGCATGAGAACATATTTTGAAAGACTTAATAATCTGGAACAAAATTCTTTCTTATACTGTCTGATAAAATTTGAGGTGTGAAATACAAATAAAAATGTGAAACCCAACTCACTAAAAAGCTAAGGCTCCAAACAAATTTAAACATCCAGTATATCATAAAGGTTTAATTTTCAACTTCTCTCATTTTCAAAGTTGATTTCCTTGTTGTTTGATCCCGACTTACACATATTTTTAGAAAAATATTCACTTAGATTGATTGAAATTGCTAAACAAGCTAAATTTATCTTCTTAGCTTTCAATTAGAAAAGATTTAAAATCTTTTGTCCCAATTGTCAAAACTGATGCTACTCAATTGTGGTCATATATGGAATAAAATTTATAGGTCTTAAACTCTTTGAAAATTGCAGCTTATTAATCTTATTAATCAGCAATCCGAATCTGGCTGGTCCTGCACTCTCTAATGCAGTATCTTCGCGAGCTTTTCGAAAATTCTGGGCCAGTTGCATGATTTCAATAATTTCCATTAACCAATAGAAAAGTTTATCACTGATAAACATTCTATTAGGACAAAAAAACTTTCCATTTCATTAACAAATCTCAGTAGTCAGTTATCGCAGAATTATCCTGAGCCAAAAAAATAGTCATTGCCCAGGAATTTTTTCCTACCTGATCGGTTTATCTATCTGCTGAATTATAGTTCAGCTAGTCGATGACAGTGAGGGTTACAGTTCGAACTGATTCGACTTCATTTTCTAAATTGAAGAGTACACGTTGAGTTATTCTCTCAGTACAGTCTTGTTTCCCTCAGTCTTTTAAAAGTCACCGTAATCAGTCAGCCATTACTTGCTTGCCTAATAAATAGAAAACTCAACTAAAATGATTAATATCCAGTCTCTCAACAAACATGATAAATTCAGGATTATATTTCTAGCACAGGTTCTGATGTTCTACATGTACGACCTGGTAGAGCACTGAAATTTCCTTGTTTCCGCTACTGAAATATTCACTAAATTATTTTGCAATTAATCGTTATTTTGTAGTCTCAAGATTTCTCGATGACGACTGTCAGACCTTTCTTTAAATTTACTCAACTAGTTAAGATTGCATAATTTTATGACTTGATATGTAATAATGAATGAAACAATGTCATACACCGAACAAGTAATTCGCAAAGAACAACATTTAATCTAAAATACAGATTTGATAAGGACTTCATCGCATTTACTAAATTTGTATAGGAACTTTATGAAATACTACCTCGTAAATTTAATCTTCATAGAATTCCCAAAATACCATTCTGGGTGATTTCCGCAAAGTTCAATTCAATCTGAAACATTACAAAAGGAAATTAATATTTAGGCCATGAAGGTCTTCTATGCCTGGCCACACTGAAACATAGTAATGAAGATGAAATTGGATAATAGAATTTATGAAATGGATCAGAAAAATCAAGCACTTATGGTTATTGATTCAATCTTTATACTTTTTATTTCAGCAAATGAGAGATACGTGAAGTGAGTTGACCATCTGAATCAATAATTAGCAGCCAGAACATTAAAGTCAATATGCCACACCACAAACAATTACTTCGGCGTCTGTCTATTCGATTGAAAGAGGAATAAGAAAACCATTAATGAATTTATCGTTCAGAAATTAAACGTTTGGTGAAATACAGGAAAAGGTATAAGAAGTGAGTAATGAAGAATGACTGTGATTCTCTTCAAACGAATAAATTTCAAAAAGATTTCAATGAATGGACCGATCAGTCGAATGCTTGAAATTGCGCCTTTGCCTGACATTGGTCTCGTGGAGAATATGTTCACGAGTGAGCGTACAATTTCTGTGAGCGCTTCCCGAAACAGTTGTGTGGGTGGGTAGATGACTGAGATGTTGGGCAGTAGTGTGGTCGATGGTTGGGCAGGCAGGGAGGTTGCTTCCTATTTTGGAGTATTCAGTCAGCATGTGTAGAGGGAATGATGTGATGTAGTGTTTCAGATGATACTTTGTTCTCATCTAATTGTTTATATTTAGTGTAAAGCTTACATTGGGTCTCCATGTTTGTATCGATGAACATAAGGTTGAGTTATGGCTATTTATCATTTTTAAGAAAACATTTTGACTCCTTAAGGATTTTATGAGCATTCAGTCTTCTGAGTTTAATTATGAACAATCTGATATTGGTGAAGTAGGATACAGTGGACATCTTCAGATTGCCATGGTTTTGGATTGTTTTTTAAAATTTGTTTTTAAAAAAAAGTTGATTTCAGTAATTGCGGAAAATGTATTGTTTACAATGGCTAATTCCCGTGCTGCTTATACCTAAACATTGGCTCCATCCAACGTTCATTATTGACCAGGCTCTCTTCATGTGGTTTTATGTTGTTGGGTTTTTTATGGAAAGAAGGTTTGTTTTGTCAGCTTTTTACTAATCTGAACCATAAAACTTAAGGAAATAGCATTAAAGATCATAACCGCCGTCAGCGACCAGCAATGTTATTTATTCTTTTCTCCAGAAGTGCGTAGAGATTCGACGGCATTAATGAAAAAAGCATTTTCTGTTAATTTAGGGTGAATAAATTAGTAGCCTATTGGTGAAAGGTTAGGTAAATAGAATGGATGAGGCGAAGTTTCCGATTGATCTAAATTTTAAATCGTTAATTATCTAAAACATTGTTAGGCGACATTGTAGAGAAGATCTATATTGTTCTTGTTATCTATTGCACGACAGAGCTATTGCAGTTAAGCACAGTTCTGAGATATAATGGTTTCTAAGGTATAATGGGATCTAAATGATGGCAATAAACCATTAATGCTCGTCATAATCTTATGCTGGAAGTTTAACTTTGGCAAATATTTTACAACTTATCCATTCAGCTGTTATGTCGGTCTTCATGCTTCTTCATGATATTATGATACAACCGAAGTTTATATCTCACTGAGAAATGGTGGAATGAGTTTTACTATAATAAGGAAAGATAATATTTCAGAATGATTTTTTTTCTTGATTTCGGCTAAATTATGAGAACTCGTTTACAAAGCTTTTCAGACTGGATGATCTTGATAACTTGTGTATTGTAAGAATCAGCTTCAGCAGTTATTTCCTTTGGGTTTGGGTAGTGGCACTTCTTCCTTATCTTCATTTTCAAAAGCGTTCGGTGATTTCTTGAATTACGAGCTGTGGCTATATATACTATATTGATAAGTAGTTCCTGGACCAAATACGTTGCTGATATTGTGAATTGCTTCCCAGCTTGATCTTTAACTCATTTAAAGAGTCATTCCAGTTTTTGCTGATTATATGAATTTGTTCTTTGATTCTTAAGTTTTATTTGTTTTTAAAATATGTTTTTGTATTATAAATCTCATTCAGCGTTATACATCATGGAATGGAAGCTCATTATCCTGTTTAAAAATACCTCATTGAAATTCGTATCATCTAGAAAAGTGTTGATAAAAGTCTTACTACCTTCATTTTAATACTCAGAAGTTGCGAACTGAAAATAATTATTTGATTCTGGACAATATTGGTTAAGAATTTCATAATTTACTTAATTCAATAGCGAGCTTTCCGATGGACGTTTATTTTTCATTTCAGGCCTTGCTATATATGCTCCATAATATTTTTTACGGCTGTTGGATTATTATGTTGGAGTGATAGTGATTCTTGCATATTTTGGCCCTCCTGTGATACCGTTTTCAATGGAGAAATGTGCGCATATGTGCGCGAGAAAAGGCAATGGCTCTCGTAAAGTAAGAAAATTAATTGGAAAAAAGTCACTTCTGTATCTTGTTCTTTATTTTTGTGACGGGTGCTTTTGCTATTGATTGGAGCACTTGAATAGTTTATTTCATGTAATGCAAACTCACGAAACGAAACAGTTTTCACTATTCTTGTCCGTGGGATAATATTCCAATACCTTAAAGAATTAGATTCGGTTTTTGCCGTAAATTACCTGAGAACTACTTTAAAATGCCTTAAGATATTAGGTTCGATTATTTTCTAGCTGTTAAATATACAAAATAGCAGTTTTATTATTTATTGAGAATTTCATCCATATCCTTCTTTGCTGGTCAGATGAGTTTCCGGGTGCGAAACGTAAAACTTCGTTGTAAATTTAAAAAATCTAATTTTTTATCATCAATAGTCCAGAACTCAGAAACCTTTTCTTCGTATTCTTTCTGTTATTAAGCTTTTGTTTTGCTTGTGCTTTACGTTGTACATTTCTCTGACCTTATATGCGGATTTTTTTTTCGACCTGATACACCGTATCACAATTCGTTTGATGTTAAAATCAAAAAAAAAAAAAAAAAAAAGAAAATATTGACAATAGGATTGTACGTTTGCGGTAAATATTATAATCAATTTGGGAAGATAGCAGTGCGTTTCTACGAAAATTTATTACTTTTTAATTCGAAATAACAATTTGGTGCTGAACACTAATGACAAAGAAGGAAAAAAAGAAAACAGATGAGCAATGAAGTGGAGACGGAGAACTTGGGATTTCTCAACAATAGAAGCTAAAAGCAGCTGATGAAAAGTATTTTTAAAACTGCCAATTAAACAAGGAGCTGCAAACACTGCAGAATTAATCAAAATGAATAGATCACATACATGAACAGATAACAACTTCTGAGACATTTAAATTCCAAATAAAAAATGAACCACATAAAGTCTTTCCTTCAACTACCTCGTAAAATATATAAAATTTAGTTTTACTGTTCTGCAAAGAATTTCTTTACTACGATGATACACCAACTGTGATAAAAAAATCTAATAATTGATTACAAATTACCTCTGTTTATCTCTACATGACATTTTTAAAACGGCTTTTCCGCAATTTTTTTATTGCTGTTTTTTTTTTTTTTTTCATGTCCATTGACAAAAAGTGCAGCCAAATTTCCACATCTGGCATAAGGTAAAATATTGTTCCTCATATTATACAAAGTAAGAGAAGGTAGTACATTTGAAAACTTTGAATTATTCCTGTTTCCTGAAATATTCACTTTAAAATGGAACGTGAAATAAAAAATCAAGATATGTGAGAAGCCAAAACTTAAGTGCAAGAGATAAAGCGAATCGACAGTGCATCTAATCTAATCCTAACAAGGTGGTGGAAATACAATAAATTGTCAAGACAACGGAAAGGAAAAGGTAAAGCAGCAAAGGAAGGAAAAGGAGAAGTTCGCTTTGCCACAAAATATCCGTAAAATACAAAATTTGTTCAGAATTTAAGAAAATTTAAGAATACGATGCTCAAAGCTTTATGGCTAACTTAAAAGCTATAAATGATACGTATTTTACATAAACGCTGATGATAATGATATTTGGGATATGGTATGTTCGCTCAGATCATATGGCGACAGCAAAAACGTTAACAATTGTCACGACTGCTTTGTTTTCCCATCGAACTGTAAATGACACTGAAAGCAAAACTGTAAACAGCTTTAAGCAACAAAAAATGAACCTACCATAATGATATGATAACATTATGAAAATTGTGAATATGATTATGAACATTCCATATTTCACCATGAATAGTTCTTGCGATGCAAAAAACTGATTTAGAGAAAAAAAAAAAAAAACGAAAACAATTGTTTACGATCTGTTGCCTTGTCCCAATAGCAAGTGCTCGACACGCTGAGACCTGCACCGGTATTTGTCTGCATGATCACACAGGTTACTGAAATAAAATTTAAAAAACGAGCAAATTTATATGCTGGAGCGAAATTTCAAAAAATTTCTTTTCATCTCAACCTGCATTATATACCATCGGTACATTACAAATAAGTTGCATTAATAATAATAATAATATTAATAATAAACAAAAATATACATGCAATAAACAGGATCAAAAATTTCCCAAAAGCCTCGTCATCCTAGAAATCAACTGGTTAAGATGGCTGTGAAGAAATTTAAAAGAGAAAATCGATAGCAGTTAAATGGTGGAAGTATTCACCAATGTATTTATAGGGCTTATTGAGCTTTACTAGATTAGTGGTAATTGTTTCTACAGCTTGCTGACTCCACTGATTTGTTGTAACATGCCAATATGGGCTGTTACCAATTATATTATCCAAAGCCTAAAAAATATTTATGCACTTTATTAGATAATAAGGAATACTACAATGAATCAGATCATGTTTTATAATTTATGATCACCTATCTGCGAAAACTAAAAAAAGGGATAAAATTAGGCAAGTTACATTAAGCGGCTGACTATAACAGCTCACCCTGAAAATGCATTTGCTCTTTAAAAAAATTCCCAGTAAATTTCCTCAAAATGTTGGAAATTAGAACAAAATAATAGAGGATTACTAACAACAAGCAAAGTACTGTTGAATAAACCAACCTCTTTGCTAATAGTCTGGACTTCCTGACTGAGAGGCACTAAGTGAGAAGCAGAATTCTAAAATTAATAAATCACTAAATTCCTTTACCAACGAAAAAATAGGAAATAATCCAGAAACATGCACCAGAATTAAATCTTTAGCATTAATAGGTTTATTTAAGAAAACAGAAAATGAGATATCTTAATGCTCAAGGAAAATAAATACGACGAACCTCAACAGGATGCGTGTCACTCATCACTATCCAGGAGTTTATTATCTTATAAAATACCGAAATGATGAAACACGTTTAGATGGTTTCTCCTAAACAGCACTTTCATCCTGCATGGTATACAATGATTTTCCTAAAAGCTAACTCCGCCCTCATGAAACACATAGCGCCCCTTAAATTTTCTTCGCCTTTCTTCTTCGAAAATATAAGCTAATCCATGAAATGTGTGAGAATTGTTCTTTTTCTTTGCACGTTTTAGCTAAGGAAAATAAAGATGGTGTCATCACCAAAGAGGATAATATTTCAAAATATAAGGACTAATTACACTGTTTACTACTTTATTTGATGGATTAACATAGTTGCAAGTACTATGACACTTCTGAGCAACTGAACATAAACATAATACAGTAAAATATTTCTAGTTAAAATTTTCGATCAATTCCTTCTAATGATCATTGGACGATTACATACTTATGACAAATCATTTCTACATAGAATTATTTGCAGTGGTAATATTGGCAAAATCAGATGCATAAAAAAAGATGATAAAATGAATTCATCCTTCTTTGTCATATTCAACATGAGTGAGAGTTGATTTTATTGCTCTAGCCAGTTCAGGAGTTGACGTACAGAGAACTCGACGACCCATAATGTCAAATTCGGCTCCTATAATATTTGATTGCTTTAATTATTTAACAAATCAAATAGAAATCAAGTTACATGATTAGTTATTCAACAGTGATAATGTTAAAGAAAATACCAAATTTTTCACAATATCAGAATCTATTTGTTAGAATCTTGAAAAAAAATAGGAAATATCTGTAAAATCATCAAGCTATTTCGAGTCTGCCAACATCATAAGTAAGCTCAATTCTGAGAAGACTGATAATTAAAAAAGAAAAGAACATTTACCTGTTGGATCTAGTAATACACCACCTGCTTCTTTAACAATAATTCCAGCGGCAGCAACATCCCATGCATGGAGACCATATTCAACATATGCATCCAGTCCACCTTGAGCCACATAAATCATATTCATAGCTGCAGAACCAAATGAACGATGTCTAAATCAGGATAATATTTCAAAAGACAACGAGTCATGTTATTTTTTAAATCCTGTATTAAGGCCAAAACAACGGCTGCAAAACCTAAATCATTATTACAGATAGAATGATGAACAAACAAGTTTTCTTATATGACGGTTAAGTATTATGACTCTCACAAAAGAAACAAAAAGACTGGCCTAAACAAAATAATACAGAAAACAATACTGTCATCTGCTTTCCAGATATAGAAATTATCTATGAAAATTATTTTTCTCGAAAATTTACAGCATAGTTTCTTGCAACTATATTCAGAAAATTTTACACTGGAGTAAAACATGAAAAAAAAAGAAGAAATTTTAATGTGTTTTATTCAAAAATGAACAAAAAGATAAAATGTGAAAGTTACCCTCGTATGCCTGCAAGACATTGCCGGCCATGATTATCTAATGTTATTTTTAACCACTTTTCGCCGAATTCAACCAAATTATGAATCCCATGAGACTGACCAAGTAGGCATCGACTTATTTCTGTGGATATCGCAATTTATAACCAAAAAGACAGATCAACATCATATCCACTTTTTCAAAAACTCAGCCTGCTAGCAGAACTTAGCAAAAAACTTTCTACTGTAAAGTCAAGTAATATTACCTTTGGTAGCAGAAACATGAATTGGAAACCCATTTCGAAAAGCTCCTCGTCCTGATTGTGCTGTATAAAGCTCTTTAGTAATTGGATTATAAACAATTCCGGCGCGTAACTGCTTCTTGATAGCCAGTCCTACACATATAGCGATAATTGGAATTCTGAAATTGAATGTTATTGAAAGTCATTACTCCACTAGACTTTTAAAATAGAGAAACTTCAAAATGTAGCAAAAGATATGTTTAATCAAATGCGAAATTGAAAATCAGCTCATTAGAATTTCGACAATGTATATTACCTATGGACGAAGTTCGTGGTGCCATCAATTGGGTCAATAATCCAGGTAGGAGCATCAGTGTAATCAATTTTTGCACCACCTGCCACAGATTCTTCACCAATAAACCTGTGAACAATAAACTTTATATAGTTACTTTAACGTTAATCATGAATTTCGCTGATTGTTGTAAGAGATATCTGGAATTCGTCATAGCACTAAAATATTAATTTTTCTGCTTATACAAAACGAGATATTCTTCTGCACTTTAGTAACATTCAGAAAAATATTAGAAGACTAATAAGAACTAACTTATGGTCAGGGAATTCTTTCGAAAGATTCTCGATCAACATTTTCTCAACCGCTTGATCTGTTTCTGTTACCAAATCGGTGTCTGACAATTTCGTATGTACTTCTGAACAAGGCTGTTCAAATGCAGCTCGTACAAGCTGCAAAAATTGAAATGGATATATATATATATATATATATATATATATATCCACTGCAACATTTCTTTAACAACATCAAAAACTTACTGTTCCTGCTTTATTAACAAGTTTCAAGGCGAAAGTGAAAAATCTGTCCTCATCAGGATGAAGTAGCTCACGACTCATATTCTTTCACTGAAAACGTAATCCAATTGTATCGGTGATTCGGTGACCACAAGATGAAGCAAGATAATTAATTACCCTTGCAAAAAAAGACAAAAAGTGGTAGCGTTACCACAAACCACTGCCTCTTATGACTGCTAAAGAATGGAAGAGAAAAACAGCCACAAGCTCCACACTAATTCATTTAGACTTCTGCCAACTGAAAAAGAAAATCGATCAATAAGTGTATTATAAAGCTTCACGAAAAATAATGTTAGTGCATTCAGAAAAGAGGAAATAATAAGGTAAACAAATATTAGAGGCTTCGAATAGCAAACGGCCATGACATTAGTCTTTTGAAGTTGAATAATAATAATGTCATCACTCAAAACGTATTATGATCTAACCATTTCAGATCACTCATGTATGAATGCAAAAACTTTGTACTGTCAACCAAATCGAGAAAAAAAATTGGACAATTTAGATAACAGGTGATTTAGCACCAAAACTTTCGTAAAAAAAAAAAACGATTCCAAAGCGTTTACAATGAACGCCATAACATAACCTTCCCTTTATAATCACTCATCTTACACCATTATTTGTTCGAGAAGGCTTCTTGTCAGTTTCTGAATAGTTCTTTCATCACACTGATGAATTACTTATCCTTTAAAATAAATCATCAAAAATGATATTTATTGCATTACCTGATGAAGCATTCGCTTCACAATTATACCATCTCATCGTTAACTCTTACTGGTGCAGATACTGTACGGCATATTAATTGTGGAATTAAAAGTTTATGATCAACAAGGTCCTATTCTGACAAAAAAGACACCTCCGTACCGTGTCACGTAATAAGCCTCGTGTTACACAACCCCACGCAACTCACGCATCCCACCAAACACTGAAGCCAGCATGGCACGTCCACTCATTTCCCGCCCACAATAGATAAATCTATGCGTCTCCATCACCATCTCATATTGTGCTGTTAAAAGAGTAATTCGTTGCAGCGTGATGCAGCTCTCTTGCAAGAGTAAAGTCTCCCGTGAGCATTGGATGCTCGGGAACATGCTCGGGAACGTGCTCGGGAACGTGCTGGTGTGTATGGGTTGCTTGGGGTGGGGTGAGCAGACATTTCGTTTATTGTTTACTGTTACTAGTCATTGAGATGAGGAACTCACTTTTTCTAATGAACAATTCCATTTGCTATGATGAAAGAAGTCTCTCTCAGCTTAAATGCTACTTTCACTTTAGCGTTCAAGCATTTGTTTATTTCATCGTACTTATGAATTTACATCTTCGTCTTCTCTGATCTTCGGGTTAACATCATACTATAAAAGTTCATTTATGAGATTCCATCTGTAATTCGTAAAGTCTATGAATTATAAAGTTTCCAATATGTAAAGTCTAAATTACTTCACTTTTAAGTATAAAGAAGGTTAAAGATAGATAAAGGAAAACTGAATTGTGAAATGGAGACAGGAATATAGTTCTGGAAGCATCTATAGGCAGAGACTCAATCCTAGCAAGAAATGACAGGCGATGTTGTTTTCAGATTTGTCATTGTTTAACAATAATAAACAAGTTATCGAAACTAAATCCTGAACCTTTTACCTGGGCATTGCAGAAAGTTTGGATTTGTTTCAAGTATGGACAATCAAACAGGTTTGTTTCTATCATTCAAAATACTCTTAATTTCATTCTTCCAAATTAACTATCACATAAATTTTTCAGACGAAGGTGGAGATAAGGAATCTAAAAATCGTGTTGAACAGAAAGAATGGTTGGCTGAGCAGGATTTGAGCAAATTGGATCCAGAAATGCTCACACCACTGACAGAAGAAGTAGCTTTACCATTGGTGTTTTTCGATCTTTTGAAGATATATCTGTTAGTGATTTGCGGAAGAAAACTTTTTCTATTTTCAGGTGATTAGTCGACAAGCAACAATCAACATTGGGACGATAGGACATGTGGCGCATGGTAAATCTACTTTAGTAAAAGCGATTTCTGGTGTGCATACAGTTAAATTCAAAAACGAGCTGGAACGAAATATTACTATCAAATTAGGATATGCTAATGCAAAGATTTATCGTTGCACAAATGAATCTTGCCCGAGGCCAAACTGTTACAGGTGTTTTATTTGATTAGGATGTATCTAATTTATATTTGTGTGTATTTTTTTCATTGATAATTTTTGTCTCAAAATTTCGTGTCAGTATATATAGAGATAAAGAATCAGGGAGTGATTTGCCTTGCATTTCATTGCAATTTAGTTAAAAGTGCAACTATCTAAATATTTTAGTATATACTTAATTATGCAGCCATCGACATGATTAACAAAACTGAAAAACTTCGTACTGGCTATCTTCAGTGACCATAACGACATCTGTGCATAATTCGAATGAAGAATTAGTCGTTATTTCATTCTAAATTTTTTGTATAATTTCAGGTCAGCAGGTTCAAGCACTCCTGATTTATTTCCATGTGAAAGACCCGGTTGTGGCGGTGAATTTAAGTGCGTTCGGCATGTGTCATTCGTTGATTGTCCTGGTCATGATATTCTTATGGCAACTATGTTGAATGGAGCAGCTGTTATGGATGCTGCCCTACTTTTAATTGCAGGAAACGAGTCTTGTCCACAGCCTCAAACTTCGGAACATTTGGCTGCGGTGGAAATTATGCAGCTTAATCATTTGTTAATTTTACAAAATAAAATAGATATTATTAAGGTGCGTGTTGTTTCCTTGGGAAAAAATTCCTGAAATTAAAGTCCACTTTCTGTTCATTATTTTCCTAGAACTTTACTTTTTTTTAAAGGAAAGTCAGGCAAGAGAACAGTATGAGCATATACGCAGTTTTGTGCAGGGTACTGTAGCGGACGGTGCACCAATTATTCCAATATCAGCTCAACTAAAGTATAATGTTGACGTATGTATTTCACTTCATAATTTTTTCCCCATTGTTGTTTGAACTTCTGTAATTCCTTTTTAAAGGGGTGAATTACTGCGAATTTCTTTATGATGTTAAGGTTGTTTGTGAGTATATTTGCAAAAAAGTGCCTGTACCTCTGCGAGATTTCTCATCTGCTGCTCGATTGATTGTTATTCGTTCTTTTGATGTGAATAAACCGGGTTCAGAAGTTGAAAATCTGAAAGGTGGTGTAGCTGGTGGATCAATTTTACGAGGTGTTTTATTTCTTACATTGATTTATTTTTATACCTCAATCAAAGCTCAAAATTGGATGTGAGAAATTTACTGCAGTTAGTGATTTGCTTCTTTGAAACGTTGCTTAATATGCGAAAGTACGATAATTTCAAATTTCAAAACTTTGTGCTTTATGCAGTTCTTAATAGTGTTTTGCCAAAATTTAGGTGATCGAATTTGCTTGTAATAATGCTTGTAATAATGCATACAGCATTGCTACTAAGCTTGCATAGTGTTAAGTTGTTTTGAATACAAATAAATCAGTTTTAATAACTTGTTTTCAGGTATCCTTCGTATCGGACAAGAAATTGAGGTAAGGCCAGGTATTGTTTCAAAATCAACTGATGGGAAGGTGCAATGTCGGCCTATATTTTCACGTATCGTTTCATTATTTGCTGAACAGAATCAGTTGCAGTATGCTGTACCTGGTGGTATGTTCCCATCAAAGTGTTAAAATTTTTGGGACTGATTGAAAGCGCTGAACATTGAAAGTTTCCTCGTGCTTTACTACTATTCTCTTGAAATTTTTTTTCGGAAATGGTAATAATACCAAAAATCTACAATAATACTTTCCGAGACATTTTTAAACTCAAGTTTTATCAGACAAATTTTTGAAATTTTAAATAGAAAAATTCCTAGATGCAGATTTATAGCACAGGTTTCTAATCAGCTGTATTTTCAGGTTTGATTGGTGTTGGAACCAAAATTGATCCAACATTGTGCCGCGGTGACCGATTGGTAGGTCACATTTTGGGTGCTGTGGGGACGTTACCGGATATATTCACAGAAATAGAAATCGCGTATTTTCTATTGCGGAGGTTGCTTGGTGTACGTACCGAAGGTGGCAAAAAAGCTGCAAAGGTACAAAAACTCAGTAGAGGCGAAGTGCTGATGGTTAATATTGGGTCATTATCAACAGGTGGTCGTGTAATTGCTGTAAAAGGTTGTTACGATTACTTTTTTCCTGTTTTGTTTGTCTCTTGACCTGTGTCATTCTGATAGTGCTCGAGCAGTTTTTGAATTCGATTTGGAATTTTTTCAGGTGACGCAGCAAAAATCGCCTTGACTGATCCAATTTGCACTGAAGTGAATGAAAAGATAGCACTTTCACGGCGTATTGAAAAGCACTGGCGTTTGATTGGCTGGGGAACGATACGGCGTGGAACCACCATAAAGCCAACATTGCCAAATTCAAATTAAATTATGATTGCATCACTCTGTCAAGTTGCTCATCGGTCGTCATTGTCTTTCCACTGAAATCTGGGTAATGTGGGAAGATGTTCGTGGTCATTTCTAAGTAGAAGTAATTTTTTCTTTTTGTTAAGTGATCAAAAGATTATGAATCCGGAAGCTATAAACATGATATGTAAAGGTGGAAAAGAACAGGAAGTCTTTGAAGTACCCGAAAACTAAGAGAAAACTAGCTTTGGTAGCTTTTTTGAGTAACTCATTGAGATGTGCTGCTTTACGTTCGCTTTTTTATTGGATGACTAGTTATTGTTTCTTCCTCTATCTCCTTTGATGTATTGTTGACATGTTTTTAAAAATGCATTGAGAGTTAAAATATTGCTGTTTGGAATGTTGTTACCAATTATATAATCTTATCGAAATGGACGGAGTGTGAAGGGAATTTGTATTACTTTGTGGATGTAGTATTCCAAATTGACGGAGAGTGTGAGAGGTTATGCCGCTTATTCACATTTTGAAAATACTGATATATATAAGGGTGTATATCAGTCTGCTACACTGAGCTGGTATCACCCAAATCCGAGATGTGCTAGATTCATCATCATAGCAAGGAGATAGTTACTTCTGCTTGTACATTTCGATGAGTGTCGCCAACCACCTGATAAGGGTTGTACTCAATGATATCATAATAAATAATAATAAACGCGGCATAAATTAGGAGTCGATTACTAAAGTCGACTGGTCAGAAGTCTTTCAAGTTGTGAGTGACAAAAATATGTAGATGAATTATCATTTTCATCTTCAACTGAAAATGAAACTTTATTTCATATTTCCATTAGAAAATTAGTTGTGTAGAAGGGAAAACATTTTTATATTTTTATTTAACTTGACCATCACAACAACAGTAATGAGTACATACAGATATGTAACAAAGTGACGAATAGCAAAAAGAGATCAATACCGAAATAAACGGCAACAGAAAATGAGATCATAAAAAAAGGCATTCAACAAGAAGCTGGAAATATGAAAAACAGATCCGAGAATAACTTATGTATCAAGATGGTCGCTATAGTAACGCTATAGTAACATTTAAACGGGGTCTTCATTTGACAGGATGGTCGCTATAGTAACATATAAACGGGGTCTTCATTTGACAGATCAGAAACACGTACAAAGCAAAAAGAATAACTCTCCGCTATGTAATTCTAATGGCAGGAAATCTCACACGAAATGGACGCTTGAAAATGCCGTGCAAGCATCGTTTCAAAATGACAAATAATACACCCTCAGGTAAAAGGAAGCCAGTTAGCATGCAGTAGTGTACCAATATAGAAATAGCCCAGCAAGTAAGATAATAGCAAGGCATGCATCCAGTGTGATCTTGAAAAATTGGTGAAAAAAGGAAGGAAAGTAGGATACTGTACATCATCTAATGTTACTAGGGGAGTTCGACGGTCCATGTATTGTGCTATGATTAAATAAATAAATGGTGATGACGAAAACAGAATTCGGGTGAACACTTCCACGTTGTACAACACCAAAGCCAGAAATGTTAGCACCAACGTATGAATTAGAAACGGCAGTATACTGCTCGCATTCTGGAGTGTGCCAAGAATAACTCCAAATAATGATCTATCATGAAAGAATGGTTTACGTTAGAATTTACAGTTTCCACCTACATTTTCACAGCTTCGAACCATTAATATGATAATATGATATTTTTACAACATTTTTACGATGCGGCCCTAGACCGAGTAAGGAAGGAATTTAAGGATGGGTCAATAATAATAAAGTGTAGAAACATTGATATATTCTTCGTTAATTAGGTGATTCAAACAAAGTTTTCGTTTTGATGAAAACAGTTCAGATTTACTTCATCGAAATAAGCGCTACTAAAAAATGTACAATGCAACGTACCCATGCATTCTTTTTAAAAGATTAATTTCGAACAGAGAGCCATATAAAACGATGAAAATCGCTGGAGCGGCCATTATGAAGCACGGCAGTTTTTTCAACTGCCAGTAGCCAAAGGGCTCAACTTGCCAGTATTTCTCTTGAACATGATAATAAAATGAGGGAATTGGATATAATATATTTCGTCCTTTCCTACAACGAATAACCAGTTATGTTTTCCTTTCTTTTTCAAAATCATAAAGTTTTCCAAAATTTCTTCTAAAGAAATTCTAGACGTTATTAAGACATACAAATAAACTTAAACAGTATCCAACATATTATCAAAAACAATATAGACCTACACCATACCTACACCATATTAAGCTTTCCAAGTCATGAGGAAGAACTAGTTTGGATTGCAGCGCATACTGATATACAATATCAGGCATTTCTTTCGCTCTACTGTGAGTGGTATTTCGAGAACAGAAACTGTGATGTATTCTTGAGCCATGAGACACCACTTGACTTCCAAATATACCCCAGCAAATCGTAATCAACATGATGAATCGAAATAACTGGAAAATCCAAAAAATAAAATACACAAAAATCTGATTGCCGGACTTGAACAATATGCATTCTTCATATCACATGAGCTATTATACACACAGAATCAAAGATAAACGATAACGTAATTATTTTTTAGCTTTATTCAATACAACAAAATGTTGATAATATACATATTTTTAGATCCTATGACAATATTTTGTGAAGACATTTTGTGCCAACAAATATTATTTATGTGCAAGAAATTCTACCATATCAGTCAGCTTCAATTAGCAAGCAAACTTTTACTCATATTCAAACATAACTCCTAAAAACGTGCGACATTAAGAGACTGTGGAAAACTACAGTAAACGCGATTGTGGTATGTGTTGTTATCTAAATAATAAGCATTTTGGACATAAAAGCAACTTGTTAAGTTCCCAGCCAATTCAAAGTGAACCCATGATAAAGCTGGAAAGTGGAAACCTTGTATATATATATATATATATATATATATATATATATATATATAACGCACAACAACAGGAGGATATTGCACAACAACAAAACGTCTGATGATTTCACACCTTCAACAACACAGTACCACAATCGCGTTCCCAGATGAATTTGTGCAATGTCACCGAGTAGACTGTTTCTAATGTCAACTGGAATATAATGTAACCGAAATTGAAAATGCCATTTGATCTGAAAAAAATTCAGTAGTCTTAATATTTCTAATCATATTCGACTCCACAAATGAAAAAAAAAAAAAAAAAAAAAAAAAAAAACATCAAATAAACGATGAAGTCATATAGTTGTTCATCATTACTTTGCTTATTTTTCAAAGAGTACCGAGAATGTGAAGCCTCACTGAAGTTACATGATACAAACGGCATTAAGTAATGAATGATTTACGAAAACTAAATTATAGTTATCCCGAAATAATTACTTTTCGATATACTGGATAGGGAAAGCGATTCTAAATCTGAGTATTTTAGAAAAATACGCCACATTAATATGAAGGTGATTACATGATTTGATGATATAACTGAAGCCAAAAAAAATTTCCAAACTTCCCCTTAACAACTGACCAATCCTTTTTCATTTCTAATTTGTTAAAATAAAAAAGAGAAGTATAAAAAACTAACCTAGTTGCAAATGCAAATGAGAAAAACAGAGCAGCTATAATGTACCGTACAAACGAAAGAGACGGATCCGCATAGAGTACGAACATTCCACAAAAAGTTAAAAGCATATACACACTTTCGGAATAAACAGCAGAAAAGAAAACGCTAGCCGGATTTAAAGTAAACACAATGCAAGCGAGCAAAGCACGTTTCGTCGACTTAGTGAGTATGAGTAGCAACGCATACAATAGTTGTCCACACAGCGCAAAAGCTATCTATAAAATTTTATAAACATGAGCATCACTACATTCTACAAGTTTCCTTTTACATTATTTATCTAACTATTTTACGCCCAATTTTTTTTTTTTTTTTTAACTTTTACATACAGAAGGTACGAAAATCTTACAAAGTTGACAATGACAGCGGTAAGTATAACAGCTGTTGAAAAATGAATAAAGGGCAGTGCCCAACTCCAAATAAGTGTGAGAGAATAAATCAAAGTCGGATAGAGAGGAAAAAAGGCAAGATTGCTCTCATAAGTATAGCCGTACTGAGCAATATGCAGGAAATGTACCGCATCCCATCTTATTAGACCACCAAAAGCAATTTGAATCCAACGATCAACTTGGGACAATTCCGCTGTAATATTTGGCAAATTAAACTGACACGAAAAAAAATAAAAAAGATCATACTACTGTAATCTAGTAGCTACCAAATATAGAAACATCGTAAAATTTTTAATGAGTATTTCGAGGCTAAAATCATTCTACAAGAACATATTCGATTTTAATCCTAAAACCAATTTAATGTTATCAATTTAATACAGTCAGATTAATCACAGTGATGCCTTCCCAATCCTGATTTTTAATGAAAAGACTGTAAATTAACACAAAAAATTGTTTTCTTTTACATCAAAAGACCTTATTGGCATCTAAATATTCTGTCTAAATATGTCTAATAGATCTAAATATTATATGAAATACACCTAAATATTCTGTTATTGCCATAATTTATTGTATGATTTTTCGATAAAGTCCGACGCCAAAACATTTCGGATCCGCCAATGTATCAAAATATAATAAATATGAAAAGTTACAATATGATATAACAAACCTTAATAAATAAACGTAATAACACTACAAAATGCTGAGATATTAACCTTGCGGGATTGGAACTCCTTGGAAAGCGTCCGAAGGATAATCAGTTACTACAACATTCATTATAAACTGTATGATGAACATCAGTATACGACTTATTATACACTGTTTCAGGACAAAAAATGCGAATTCTGCATCCCATCGCCATTCTTTCTGCAAAAAATAAAACTCTATCCAAATGTGAAAACAACTTTAGCTAATAATAATTTGATGTACGAAATATTTCTACATTCATATTTCAATTCCATAGCATAAGCTTTTACCAATGGAAGCTAGAACTGAATTTCTTGAAATTGAAGAATGCTGGAAGTTGTCTCCAAACACAGTTCGATAAGTGTCCAAAAAAAAACGGAAATTGGTTCTGTAAAAAATTTCCTCCCATAAATTTCTTTTAAAACTCAACGAACCGACGAGTCACTGCTATTAAGATGATCTCTGAAATTTGTTAAAAGAGTACTGGTATTCACTTCTTTTTCTTTCTCTATTCCAGTGGCCATTTCCTGTGAAACGATAACAATATTTTATAGCTACAGGTTGCAAATCACATAATACCAATCATTCACTATCTAAAATACAAAGCATAAATTTCATCATGGATTAAAATAATTTTCTGAACAGTAATATGTGTTAGAAATTTTTGGAAAAATGAAAACTTTTGGCAAGCTGCACACAGCAAAAAGAAACAGTACTGAAGAAGACATTCAGGACTAGGCTACGGAAATGTAATTAGAGAGGAAGAAATAACAGATCCTGTGAAAAACAAAGTGCTAAATAAGTAGGAAAAGTATATAATTAGAGAATAACTTCACAACAACACGAAGAAATAAAGACTCTAAAGATATGAAAACTGAAGATTAGTCCTACTACCTGTCATTTCTCCAGTCATCCTTCCTAGCGCACAAATCTAACGGACTGCCTTTGTTGACGACAAATGAAATTGTTACGTTTTCGCGATTGGATACACAACTGATGCAACACGGGAGTGCTTCTGTATCGAAGTATTCGAAGGATTTGCAGTGCCGATCATTGCATCGGCTGAAGCGCGAAAGACCTAGCGATGCACCACAAGTCTCGAAAGGCGTACCTTCATATGAAGTCACCAGAGTTGTGGTAAGTTTTGTCTATAGTAATGTTTATAATGTATATGTTTTTTCTTTTTTTCTGGTAATGTAAGCTTACCGAATTAAGGGAACCTTCATTTCATGAGAAAGTTTCCGTTTTACACAGCTGAATTTATTTCCGTAAGAATTTCGTGATCGAATTTCGTGAAGAAACCGCTTAATATGAAAGCTTCAAAAAATTCGGCAACATGATATCCTCCACATCGATTAACTGTTTAATAAAGACTTAGAATAGTTGCAGGCTACGGTGTCATCTTCAACAGTATCGGATTCAAAGAGACCGCGTTTACATTCTTTTTCCAAAACTCAATCTGAAAAGTTGGGATTGAAACTATCTGGTCGAATCTCACATGTGGTGCTGGAAGAGTGCCTGAAATGCACAGAAAATGGCGATAAGTTGGGGTAGATTCTCAATTTTTATTTGAATTTTAATTCTTATTAGTGTCAATGGTTTTCTTAATAGATCCCTTGCTCTCCATTTAGGGTATTTTCACGCTTGCGAGAATTCTTCGGAGAACATTTGTCTGTTCTCAGTGTTGATTCAAGGTTTTGTTGTGCTAAACTTTTGATTCAAATAGCAAGAGCTTCAAGAATTGTGGCCATAACTAATACTTGTTTACTATACGCGCTTCATATTTGCAAATCAGTTGACATGAAGCAAAATATATGGGACGAAATCGTAGTACTGATGGCCAATGATAAGGATAAGAGGGAAACAAGGTAGGTACTGAATGAATTCCAAGTCTTTTGTCTGATGGGTAGAAAAATGGGAAACTTTGTATTAAAAATAGCACATTGGTCATTTAAAAATTAAGAGGGAAAATTCATCAAATGATTATCCTTCAGCATTATACAAGATCTCATGCGCAATGAAATTTTCTTCAAAAGATTTTGAATTATATTTTAGTTGAAAAGTAATTTTATTTTTTAATTGAACTGTTTGATTATTAAATAGCGTTCTCATTGCAACATCAACATTGCAACTAAAGATGCAGCTGGTTTATAGAATAGTTCTTAAATGGACAGATATTAAACGTTTTTGTCATTGCTTTTAAATTGTTTTTTCTTATTCAAAAGCGTTAAGAGTTATGTTTCAGTTGGATAGTTTTTTTTGTGGAAGTCATGTTTCTGTATTTCTTTTACTTATTACTTTTCTAATCAAAATAACTTTGCAGTATATTTCACCGACCTGCTACATATGCATCATTGTTAGCTCTTTTTGAGTGGGCACTATCTGAAGGCTTAAAAATGGGTCAGTATATGCAGCAAATGAATTGTATGGCTGAAGAGAGTATGCGCTCAACCGACCAAAACAATCGTATCGCCGCTGTTAATTTTTTCGTGACTTGTTTGTTAAAAAGTACAATTTATTAGATTTTTTTAACTAATTTTTAACAGCGGTGAATTTTCAGCTATCCAAAGCGGGCTAAGACGTGGACAGTAAAGCAGTAAAGGAGAGAAAAGTAATGACCGGTTAGCGAAGAGGCTGTTATTACCAACAGATTTAAATATGTAATGACTTTTGGTATGCGTTTTTAGGTAAGATGCAGTGCTCAGTACAGGAGTTTCTATGGCTCGAAAAACTTTTATCGAAAATGGCTGAAGATCGTGATTCTCGGGTGCGAATAGCTGCAGTTAAAGGTCTTTCGACAATGGCTGCCAGTGGTCGTTTACTCAGTTTTTCTATTTATCAGCAAGTGAAAAATGTATCTATAACTTTAATATGAACTGAGCTCCATATTACTAAAACTTATCTACAATACGTTATTTCAAAGCTTAAAAATGAGTACAGAGTTCTTGTATTTCCAAAAGGTCAAGATTAAAAGTATCTCTTTCTATTTCAAAGTTCTGCCATAAACGTGAATAATCTGAATAAGAATATGAAAAGAAAAATTTATCCTTTTTGGTTGCAACATTCAAAACTTTAGTGTAAAAACTTATTTATGTTTCTGCCGCTTTATTATCAACGTTCACTTTGACGTGCTCTTTTTAAACAGGTTTGATGAAATTAAGATTGCATCTTTTTTTTTTTTTACTGGTACTTTGAACGTACATCGAGAAGTTATTTTCAGTTATGTGAAAACTCGTCAAAAATAGTTCGAACAGAAGCATTGTATATATTAAAACTATTCGCAGATCATCGTCCCGAAACGTAATAATCAGTAATCAATAATGATATTGTTTTTTTTTCATCCGTTATGCTTTATGAATTAAATCAACTAGCAAATTTAATATTGGCTTACTTTTACATGAAAATTTCATATTTTTTTATGAATATTATTTTATAAGGAAAAACAAAATGTTAAGGGAAGTCATTGGCCGAAATGGTGCAAAACTTCGATTAGTTGACGATGCATTTGCTGCTGTGTGCCACGCAATCAATGATGTTGAAGTGAGATAAGATGTGAACTTGTCAGATTGTAATTTCCTTGTAGTAATGCTTTTGTATTTTTTCGATAAAGGAATTTTACAAGCAGTTCAAGTTGTATGAATTAATACTTTTTTTATTTTAGGTCACTGTTCGTGCTATTGCTGCTCGACTTTTGGGTGACTTCCAACAAGTTTCCGACTCTTTTTTGGATCAAACTCTTGACAAGAAACTATTGAATGCTATGAGGATAAGTTTTTTTTTTTTTTTTTATCAGATTCGACAAGAATTCTGCGGTAATGAATTTATTTATGTACTTTAGATGTCAAAAACACGTGATGGTGTTTCAAAAAAACCTCAAGCATACGGATTACGACGTCGCCGTTTACAAGCAACAAGTGAATGGTCAACGGGGAAGAAACTGGGAGAAGATGTTCCAGTAGAGAGGTTCGATGAAGAACAAGCTAGCATCATTTCTTCGGGAGCTTGTGGTGCTTTCGTTACAGCATTGGAAGATGAATTTATGAGTATGTTTGGTAATATCAGTATTAACTATGAAGTTTCAAATTTTCGAAAACATTACTATATAAAAGGGCAGTAAAGGTGAATTTTTTGTTAATCACTATAGTAAAAGTTGTTTCATCTGTTTTGCTCTTTTTTTTGCCGAATTCTTTGAGCATGATGTTCTGTACTAGCTGTAAAATTTTCAGTTGTTCGTCAGGCTGGTGTTTATTCTCTAGGCCAGTTAGCATCTGCTCGTCCATTCTTAGCTGCTGCTGCTTTAGATCATTTAGCTGATATGTTCAACGATGAGATTGAGCAGGTTCTGTAGTTTCATTGGAAAGCATTAACTTTGATGCATGATATATTTTCAAGTTTTTCTATCAGTTTTCTTGATTCCATTTTCATCCTTCTGTGTTATTTTCTGTCAAAATTGCACTTGGGATAATAAAATAACAATTTGTAGCATTAGGAGGCTGTTTACATACGAAGCAGATAATTTCTTTTCTAATAAAAGATGAGAATTAAACGTAAAATCTGGACTAGTTTTAGGTGCGCCTAGATGCTGTACGCGCCTTGACGCCGTTGGTTGTTCATGGAATATTACAGAAAGAGCAACTCGACACTATATTGACCGTTCTGGATGTCAGTATTGTATTGTTTTTATAATCTTTTCTTATTATTTTGCAGTACAAATGGTTTGGTTTAATTTTGTTTTGTATTTTTTGTTTTTTGTCATTATTGCATTTAAGGATGCTTTCCCAGATAGTAGAGAAGCTTTGCGTGTACTTTTATCAAGATCAACGTTGGGTACTCCTGATTGCCTTCTATATGTTGCCAAAGCATTACTTAATTGTATGAGAAGATTCCCGATTGATCGTCAATCAATTTTCAAGTAAGTCCAGTCTTTTATACCATAATCTAGTGCTTTATAAGGAATTTTTAAATTTACTGTACTTTTCAATAAAACCACTTCAGAATTTATATTTTTAAAATTGTTTAGATGTATGAGTGATCTTGGCCGTCATCATGCGACATTCGTACAACTTTTGTCAGATGAACTGCTGGAATTGCATCCTGTCTTCGATATTACAGAACCAGCAGTTGATGATCAGTTCTGTAAGTATTTCATTTGAGCATATTTTTAGGGCTTTAGAAAATGTATATAGATCATTCACCTATTGGCATAAACAATGAACAAACTAATATACTTTTTGCCGTATTTAATTCTAGAGGCTATCAGAAATTCGCAGATTATAAAACGGTTTGAAAATAATAGAGCTAATATTGCATTTAAGCTTTAGGATTATTGGAAAAGATTTCTCTTTCCTTAAATTTTTTTGCAGATTTGGCGAAGCTTATATTAATACTAAATGCGGCAAGTGTTCATGATCCCATATGTTCGTTATTGCCAGCGTTTGCTGTTCGCCATTATAAATTTTTGCGCTGCTCAATGCCTCTTTTAGTGCCTGCGATTGACGTGAGTTTTTAGCTATGAGATTGAATCATATTATCATAATAAGTCGAGAAATTTTTCTGTAAAATTCTTGTATTTTTTTAGGCATTTTCGGATGATAATACTTCGAACACAAATAATATTTCTATGAATAAAAAATTGGCAGAAGCTGGAGAGCGAACTCGTGCCATTCTGGAGCGTACATATGAAATGATGCAAGAAGCTTCTCAATCCCGATCTTATCAACAACGAATGATTGAAAAAAAACTTTTACTGAAGTACATTTTTCAAGCGATGTGCTTAAATTTTGAATATGGCACGAATATAACGCGAAAATAATTAATTGGCGGCTACCAAAGAAATGAAAAGCTCTAATATGTATCTCTAGTTTATTACATTAATTGGTATTGGATATCAATGTAGCCATTAAAGCCAAGTTAAAATAGTTAATGATGGTACTTCTTACGAACTGAGCTTCTTGATCTGGAAATATTTTTTCAAGTTTGAAGAAAGAGATTTCAAATTGATGGTGAGGAATACCTTCACCAGTTCTGATCGTGAATTGAAATTCCTACGTGAATTGAAATAATTCTTATTTCTGCAGAGATATGAATGCATTGTGTGAAGGTGATGAAGGAGTAGCTGGTACGGCACAATTTTTGTCTTGCTTATTAAAAATCCTCACGCAGTATGAACTCAGTGTTAAAATTCTTTCATATGGTGGTGATTTAGAAACTGCACTCAACGCTATTGATGAGGTAAAAATTCTCATGTTTCCACATTAGTTCCTTCTTTTCACTCAGAAGTTCTAAGATGGTCTTAATTTTTTTCTCTGCAGGGTTTTAGACTTTTGGAGCATATTGATAATAACTTTTCGTCTGTGGATAAGATGATGTTAGGCACACTGGAAGAATTTCATTTCCAACTTTCAATTTTACGCCTGGCAGCATTATTTGATATAAAACCTGGAGCTTACACAAATGCAGCGCAGCTTATCGAAGTGGAAGTGATTCGATTTAAAGAGTATTCCTTTTTGATATCTATACAGTTGCTATTTTTTCGTTTATTTTTTGAAATTCTTCAAGATGCCGGATATTCATTTTTTGTAATCTGTAATAAACATTGGGAAAAATGTATTGTCATGTTATATGTAGATGAATTATCCATGTTCTTCCCTTACAGTTTGTATATTTAAGAAGATGTCGATCACTGACAGTGTCTCCAAGTGAATCCACTGCTGAAGTGTTAATTGGTGTTGAAAAGCTTATTGTGGCAACACAAGCGAAGAAATTCATTAGCGGTTCAAGTCTAACTGCTTTATTGCAATCTCATGCTGTTCTATTGCAGAAGAAATTTGCATCGCTTGGCAGCATTTCTGTTAAATGGGCTCAGGTCCATAAACTTTGTATTAGAAGATATTCTGGAATGAAAAACTTTGTCGTTTTTATGCAACATAAAGCTTTAAAGCATTTTCCATAATTTTATTTCTTTGCGATTGAATTCTCAACTTCCTATCCTTCTTTAAGTATCTTTTATATGGGTTTTTAGATTGTTGAACCATCGGAAACTCCCAGTGAGCCAGTGTGTTTTGTCGCTGGATTGCCACTTGGAATCCCCATGAATATTCTGTTACATAATTTTAGCAAAAATGATATTTCTCGATTCAGAATAAAGGTTGGTTTGTCTAAGTAAATGCACAAGAAGAGATAATAATGATATTATAGACTGATTACTAGAGTTTGCAAGGTATTAAGGAATATTTGAGAATAATTACCATAGTGTATTACCGAGGAATAATAAATGAGAATAATTTCGACGGAATATTTGTTATCTAATAACAACAAATACTTTGCGAATTCGCAAACTAGCATATTAGAAGATAATATTAATAATGGGAAAGCTTCAGACAAAAGTGTTGAACTGGTGATTTTTTTTAATAGGTTAATATGAGGAAATAAATTTTGCAGACAGATTATCCGGATCGAAGTTCAGTTCTATTCTGCCCTCGAGAAAGTGAGTTCAAAAAGATTGCTGCGCAGACTTATCGACTTCTCTGCAAAGTACTAGTTCAGGCAGATAATATATGGTCAGACTCAGCTCGAGTTCATTTTGGATGTGTGCTGAAATCTCAACAATTTACGGATGCGATGCCATCATTAGTAATTAGCTGTACTCGTTCACTGTGCATTCCGGTAGCGGAATCACCGTTTACAAACAAGCAAGCAACCATGGAAATTCCCATACAGCCTGTTCAAGCAAAAGCTAGTTGCTAGAAGTGTCGTTGGAGAGCGACTTTTTTGTGCAAAACTTTCCGGATCTTTGAGGCGATAATGTTAATTTGTCCTAATTCTTCACTTTTAGTCACTGCCTATTTTTTGCTGGATCTCATTTATTATCAGTTTGGAATTTAATCCAATGAATTCCGTGTTGTTAGTTTAAATGAGGATTCATACGATAAGTAGAATGGAAAAAAACCCAAAAAGAATTGGGCCGTGATATAATTGTAGTAGGTAATCGTTCAATGTTTTTTTTTTTTTTAAATCCAACTGTATTGAGAATAAAATTATTTGCCGCTTAAATGTTTCATTAGTTTCTGTTGTGATTTCCATGTTTCTCTTTTAGTTCTATTTATCTGACAGTATATTGTATTCTTTAATCCCTTTTTGTTGTTGTAAAGGAACATATATTTCAAGATATTGGAGATCTACGACGGCGATTTTCAGTTCTGGACCTAATATAATTTGTCAGAGAAGTCTCGACAAACAAGTTGCGAAGAATAAAAATGTGTTCTTTTGAGTAGATAGCGACTTCGAGTGAATGAAATTGGATGTGAGCATTCACTAAAAATAACTTCTTCTTTGCAAAAGAAAAGAAAGCACAGAGTTATGCGTATCCACTGAAAAAGAAGAAATGTGCGAGGATGTCAAATTAAAAAAATTTAACTCGAACTTGTGCTTGGCATCATAACATTTCTTTGTTCTTCATTCATTTCAGCTTTATTTATATGTTTTAATCTGGACTTAAGTTTAATTCTGATGAGACTCACATAGCACGTAAGCAGCAACTTTGTTCTAAAATCTGTTTGAGCGCAAAGTTGGTTGAGAGATTAGTTGAAAATTTAACTGTGTCAAAAGCAAAAGTCGAAAAGTATATTTTATCATTTGCAACTACTATATTAACCTAATCTATAGTAACAATAATCAAATGCTTTTTTGGACACGTGATATAGGCGTTTATTATCCAGCCATAGTGTTGGTGCGTCTCCAATGAATCTTCAAGTCAGCTCTCATCTCTTTTAGAAGTTCTTAATAATTCGAATCAGTTTTGTTTCATTAGGAACTGTAGTTTGCTTTCGACAGCATGCAGGAAATCTTGCGTATTCAGATAACTGGCTTGTGTTGCATTTTGTGTTCCGTGTATGCAAATTGCCAAGTCTTTTGTCATCTTCCCTTCTTCAATTGTTGTAATGCATGCTTTTTCTAGCGTATGTGTAAACCTAATGCAGAGCAATGATAGTACATAGCAGAATAGAAATTCATTTTCTAATTATCGTAGTTTCTTCCAGTGTTAGTGGATTATCGTATACTGAGCACATTTAGATTACTACGGTTTGTGCTTTTTTTTTTTTTTTTTCATAATTTTATAATAAATTAGCCTAATCTGTCACATTTTGATTGTTACTTGTTTTCAACCTCTCACTTTAGTCGTTTACACTAAGGATAATGCAAACGACTCACTTCTGAAGTTCATTATTGTTATCCAGCTTACCGCGATGACCCAATCCTCTTGACCAAGCAAATATGGATGCGACTGGATTTGTTGATGTTGGATTACCCTTCAAAAATTTTGGTCAGTAAGTTTAATCTCATATGTAATCAATCTTGAAATGGATAATAATTGTCCATTTCAAGATTGATTACATTAGACGTTATTATAATATATCAGAAGTAATAATTACTTTTTGGTACTCTCGATAATGCCGCGTTACCGTACCATGTGCTGCTTCTGTTTCAATTGTTTTACCATCTGGGCACATCAGTACTGAAGTCATCAAACCTAGCGACCCAAAACCTAGGCAGTGACATATTTAAAATTGAAATTTGGAAATCTTGAAAGACAGATCTGCAATTGCAGCCCTGAAGAAATCATTAAAAAATGATTTTCAGATTATTTTCCAACCTTGAGCAATGATATCTGATTGTACATCACCATCATAATTTTTACATGCCCATACAAAACCGCCAGCACTTTTTAGCACCTGAAACAGAGAATCACTTTAGAATTGAAGAATTTTTTTTGTTTAAATTAATATTTAGAAGAAATTTCAACAAAAAAGATGCAAGAGTTCAGTACTTGAGCAACCATGTCATCGATCAATCGATGTTCATACCATATATTTAGTTTCTTGAAATCGTTTTCGTAATTCCTGAAACATTAAAACACCATTATGCTGTATGAAATCATCTAATTTCATACAGCATAATGGTGCAACGTAAAACAAACATACTTAAAGTAAACATCTTTAAAAATATCCTTGAAACGGCCGTCATATTTTTTCAATATTGTATTCTTCGTACTCAGATAAAGTGGGAGTTTCTTCGATATAGCATACTGGAAACAGCAGTGCGCGAAATCAGTGATACTCTGAAATACAATACAAATAATATTAAACACAAATAAATGCTGAATTCTCTTATTTCATGTTCACCAATATAAAAAGGATGTAATTAATGAACAAATAAGACTTTTCCAAATAAGTGCCCAGAAATTTCCGCAGAAGTAAGTGCTGAGACTTTCTGGCTAAAAATTTTTCTGACTTCTTCCTAAGTGCTCCTATTTGATTTCAAGTTATTGGTTTTTCGTCTTATTCATTTTGACAGGACCATTTTTAATTCTTGTTTATTCGGGTTTTAAAGCATAATTCATTAAACATTTCCCTAATGCTTAACTATCACAGATTTGTAAAAAATACCTCATCGGTGTTATACATTCCCATGATAACACCACCGCTTTTAGTGAATGTGAATACGTCGTACCGCTTATCTTTTCTGTCAACGATTTCACAGAGTTGAAAGTTCGTACCCTTTTTTACGATGATATCCGTCGCTTTATACTGCAGAATATCAGTGAATGAGAAACTCATGGATTTGCTAGAAATATGGAAACAAGAATGGTGTTCTTCTTAGCCAAAAAAAATCGTTAATTTTTTTTTTTTTGGCAGATCAATGAGCATGAAAGAACTCTCATAACAAGTCGAGCCAACTCCATTTAAGAGATACATCAACGAAACAAACTATAGCTCGCCTGATCACCAAATGCATGTCGTCCAATGATGATGGATTCTTTCCAACTAGGAACAAGTCTTGGTATATTTTTACATAAAATTGGTTCACGAAAAACAGTTCCGCCAAGAACATTTCGTAATGTACCATTTGGACTTGGCCACATCTTCTTTAAATTGAACTCTTTAAGTCTGCAAAGGAATTCCACTTTATAATTTTTTATTTTAATATTTATGAAAAATACATTAAAGCAAGAAGGGCTAAATGTTCATCAGAACATTCACGTTGTATTTACAGTGTATCTGATGAAAAATACAATTATAGAAAGTCCACCTAGCTTCATCAGGTGTGATTGTTGCACACTTAATTCCAACATTGTATTTCTTAATTGCTTCAGCGGCTTCCAGTGTTACTCTATCATCAGTTCTGTCGCGGTTTGACAAGCCGAGGTCATAATACTTTATATCGATGTCCAAGTAAGGTAATATTAGCTAGAAAAACTATAAAATTTTCAGTCATGGTAGCACTTCCTAATTAGCAGATACATATATAAAGGCGAATAGAACAAAACCCAAATCAACGGAAGAATGGGTTCTGAAGTTTTGCCTTTGCTGGTCAAATTGACCAGTTTAGGTTCATCAAAATATATTTCATTTTGTCATAAAGTATTTTAAACATAAAAATACTTTATGACAAAATATTTTAAACATAAAAATTTGTCACCTTTTCTTTAATTTCCCTCCAAATGACCCTTGTCATTTCATCACCATCCAAATCCACAACCGCGTTAGCCACTTTGATTTTATTCATAAAACGGTGCATCGTTGCAAAGCGTCGCATATGTCTATTTGTTAAAGAATTCAATTTAATCGACATTATCTATTTAACTAAAAAACAGCATATACTTCGCTTAGCAGTAGTTTCAACTGAATTTAACTGATTTGTTATTAACCATCTCCATTATAGGATGGAAAGAGGATTTCTAAATAACTATATCATACAAACTTGTGAATATCATGCAGCAGGAAAAATAACTCACCTCTCAAGCCTGTTCTTTTGCACTTGCAGCTTACTTAAACAAATTTACTTTTCAGATATTTGATCAGTTTTAAAATTATATACAAAAATATACATACACTACTGTCACATAATGAACCAGTACTGTAATGATTCGTGTAAGAAAGAAGACAAGAATTGCTTTACCCCTCAAGGATTCATTATTTCGAGAGAACTACAAGGAATAGTTGAAAACTGAGGATGACGAAAAAAGTTCCTCCTCAACAGAGTGAACAACTCAGTGAAGAGAACGGAGTGAGAAAGAGAAGGGAGCAGATATGTCAACTGATTAATCTGATCGTTCATCTGCAGCCTGAATTTCTCGTCTGCGTATCATAGGCATAATGCTGTGCCTTGGCATAACTAATATCGAGAGAAAAAGGCCACCGAATTCTCACATTAAGTCGAGGACTTTGATTATTTAAAAGAAAACAACAAATATCAGTGTAGAAATTAGATATGCACTTAGCTAAGAACATCTTCGATCTAGAAAGAATAAGGTAAAGATGTTCAGAAAAAAGAAACAAATGCTTAAATTCATATGCTACAAGGCATTAAATTTAGTTTTTTTTTTTTTCTGTCATTTCTTGTCCGTATAAATTCTAACAGAACTAAAATCCTGACAAAAAATGCATAACTCATTGTTAATTCTGTCAACCCTATTTTGTCGCAAGATCTCGAGACAAAATACCAGATATGACCGAAGCGAAGGTTGCTCTCGAAAGAATAACATGAAAACTGAATATAGAACTGAGCACTGTAACGGGAAACACCAGTTTTGCTTTGATTTTTACCACATGTGTTGTACATAAACTATTTTGATAAATGAAGTTTAAGATTAAGATATTAAAACCAGAGCCAATTCCAAAAAAAGTTCCACCACAAGTTTGTGAGACATATCTCCCGCTATATTCTGATTCCATATTTCCGAGCTATATTCACTACACCCAAAACGAATTTTATGGAAAAACGGATTTAATTTTTTTTCTAGACAGCTTAGTTACGTAACTGTAAGTTTTAATCTAGGAAATTCTATATTTAGCATTGAACACAATAACCTTACACACAGAGTACGAAGACAATATCAAAAAGCAAATATATGTTATTCATTAATTTTAACAGTTATTTTAAAGCATATTTTCTAATTTATAAGCATTTCAATGTTGCTGGCTTGATGAGACTCTGACATTGACTTGTTTCATTGGAATTATTTCAAATAAAACTATTTGAAAATCAAAATCGTATAACACATAATATATCCAAGTACTTTAATAGAAAAAAAATGTCAAAAACAGTTAACAAAACTTTACATTACTTTTTAGCGTAAAATATTCTTCAATTAAGCTTAACAATATTAACATATTGCTTAAAGTTTACTGACGAAGTATAATTTAGCACTGAATACTCAAACATTAAATGGAGTAGACTTACAATGTTTTAAATTTCTTCAATTAAATACATAATTCAATAAAATAATTTCAAATGTATTAAGTAGAATAACAAAAGCAAATAAATGGATTCAAATATCAACCACTTCTAATGCAACTAAAGAACCATTTTTTTCTATCGTCTTGATTTTTTTCCTTCTTTCATTCTCTTTTCACCTGCATTTTTTAAAGATCCAATATTTCTTCGCTTGGGAGCATGTGTCAATAACTTTTTTCTTTCTTTCCTGAAAATAATAGCGGAATGGACTTCAAACTAGTAAATTGAATCTATTCACAAAAATGAAAGTGCTGTGTGCGACAATATTACTTTGTCGGCTTTCGAATCCTTAATGTATATTCTGGAACTTCAAAACCGGCTTGTTTAATAACTGTTGCTATTGGACGGATAAAGCTCAAATCATTTTCGGTAAAATATGTGATTGCATGTCCTCTTCGCCCAGCTCGCCCTGCTCGACCTATTGACAAGATTTAATGGATTATTCGATTACAAAAAATCACACTGTTGAAAAAAACTCCCTGGAAAACTGTATATTTTTTTAATAGTATAAAGTATTTCTAGAGAATAAAGTTGATGCGTAGCAACTTAAAATCGAGAAGTAAATAAAAAAAAAATCATTTAAAAACAAATGTTCCATTAAATAGCATCATTTTCATGTTGCCTTTTCTAAAAAAAAATTTCACCTATTCGATGGATATAGCTGATAACAGAAGTTGGAAGATCGAAATTGACTACGAGATTTACTCCGCTTAAATCCAATCCTCGACCCATCAAGTCTGTACAAACTAAAATCCAAATCTGTCCATTGCGAAATTCGGCAATTGCTGACTCACGCTACAAAAGCAGAATAATTTTCCAAACTGAAGAACTCTTTAACGAATTATTATAATAATCGACAACAGATAAGCAGCCGTAGAGTTATGTCGAAATGAAATTTGAAATTTAAGATTACCTCAGCCTCTGTCTTTTCACTTGAAATCATTTTTACTGGGATTGGTGGTTGAAGTGATTCTATAATTGGTACCAATTGTTTTGCTCGCAATTTACTCTGTCAAAAAACCTTATTATCATACAAAAGAGATATTACGCAATGAAGACATGACTAGTTTAAATTCCACTCACGTAAGGTATGAAAAAAAAAGTAACAATTCAAACGAGACAACTTACAAGAATAAATTCTCGAAAATATGGAAGTTGTGGAAATATCGAAAAATTGCCAGGATAAAAAACAAACAGTAAAAAAAATCAAAAAAAACCTGCACAAAAATGAGTGCTGGAGGTTTGAAACTGTTTTGAAATAATGCTTTTAGACTTGTAACTTTACCATGCTCTGATCCAGCAAAAACCAGCTCTTGTTTTACGCTGTTAACTGCTGAATTTCTAAAACCACTTCATTTGTAAATTTTTAAAAATTTTTTTCTAGTCCTCATTCACAGCTGTTTTACTAACAGAATGAGGAAAGTTATCCTGATAATAATGATAACTTCAAATTTCAAAATCAAACTTAAAATATCTCCAAATAAATCGCCGGATAAATTCGAACTTTAGGAATTCTAGAAATTTAGACAAAATGATTCCATAAAATTTTGATAAACTACAAAACCATTGACCAGTGAAATGAAAGATATTCTCACCGTGAGCCAATACAAATCATAGCTACATCGTTAAGATTCTTTTTGCACCAATCTTCAACTTCATATGAAAATGTTGCACTAAAAAAGGCACGGCGCACAGGACTTTCACTGCATATTTGATATATCTTAGCAAGCTGCAAATAATTTATGTCTTACAGGAGATCAGGAAGTATCAGTGAGTGCTGTAACAATTTTCTAAATCTGGATCACATTTAAAACAATATAATTATTTTCACCTGACTCCTAAAGCACCTGTCATCTCCTTCTGTAGTGTCGAAAAGTCTATCACTCTCATCAACGACAAGCCAATTCAGTCCATTTGATAATATCTTGTTTTTCTTCAAAGCATAAACTAGTTTATTTGGTGTGGAAATGACGATGTTTGCTGTAAAAAGTTAAAAATACTAGTTGAAGGAAGGTGCTATAACTTAAATAAATGTTGGAGTCAACTTCCACTAAACTAATTTAAATACAAATAAACAGCGTCCTAAAAAAAATGCTTTACCAGTAAATCAGTTGATGATCATTAGTAGACAATCTTCAGGTAGTTATAATAATGGGATCAATAAAAAACAAATACTGTTTTAACTCAAAGCGACAAGAAAATCTCTAGCAATAGCACATAATTTAAATGCTTAAAGATAGATACCATTTTCCGGGATTTCGTCTCCCTGCAGAAAAAAACACGAGACGGATAGGTTCTGAGAAAATTTCAGGAACTGGACATATGTCTGAAAAAATTGATTTAGGATGAAAACGTAATTCAATTACGAAAGAATATTGCCATTAAATGACCTGTTTAGCAAGTTCATGAGTTGGTTCAAGTACTACAGCATTCAACATATGGTATTGGCCTTCTGCTGCATGATGTTTGCGATGTACAACATTAGAAATAATCGGCAGAGCAAAAGCTAATGTTTTCCCAGAGCCTGAAAAACAAGCCTTTTCTTCAAAATTGGCTTCCTCCACAAACATGACATATAAAAACAATAAATTCGAAAAGTGAAAGCAAATTAATTAACATATAACTAATTTTTAAGAAGAAGAAAAGACAAGACTACTGAAGAAAATTCTTGGAGGAAAACAAGCCTGTCGGAGCGCTACATAATAAGTCTCTTTTCTGCATCATTACTGGAATCGCTTGCATCTGGATTGGAGTTGGTTCCGTGATACCAAATTCTTTTAAATTATTGATAAGTTCATGTGATAATCCGTGAATTTTGTTAAACTGTATCACAGGATCAGGAACATTATCACCCCAAACGAAGATGCGATTGAATTTGCGCAAACAAGCAATCTAAATATAGATAATCAGAAACTACAAAACCATTCAATTTCAATTTATTGAAATTTTCACAGAAAAAAACATAACCCTCACCTGTTCTCTCTTTACAGCTAGACTTCTGCATTTTTTCTTCCTTAAAACATTTTTAAGTCCTCCAAGAATTTCAGGTTCTGAATAGAGAATTTAAAACAATGTAACATATAAGCTATCAATAGTAAGTTAGAAAAGCAACAAATAATTTTTATGGCAAAAACAAATAAAATAGATTTATGGAGTTTCTGGTATAGTCTTACAATAGTTTTTCAATTTCATTCATACACTCAAGCAAAAAATTTGGGTAGTTAATCTCGCAAACTTCTGAAGCAAATTTAGCGTTTTGAAAATCATGCTGATACATATCTATATACCACTTAAATCAGTTGGCATACAAAGTCGGAAGAAATTTTTTAAGATTAATAACCTTTTCCAGATGTTACTAAACCGCTGCCTGACTCACTACTTGCTCCTTTATTTCGCTTGTATTCTTCTTTGTAATTATTTGGCAGGATTCGTAAAAGCGACAAACCGTGATCTGCTAAAACTCATGTTAATAATTTGTAATAATTTCAAATCTGTATGTCTCAATTCTTGTTTTTTTTTTAACCTCACTTAAACTTTCATCAATAAATCTCAACTATAACCAATATGAGGAACTCCAATCACCCTTTTGGTCTCTATATAACAATGTCTCTGACTAAAGAAAATAATAAACTACACGTACTTTCCTCCTTTCTTTGTTCTAGCCGGCTTTTTTTAATTCCAAAAGTTAACTTCTTGAATAATTCATCTCTAGATTCTGCTCGTTTCATCTGAAATTGACAAAGTTGAGATTATTATCGAATCAAAAAAACACTGGTCACTAAAAGAATAAATCACCCTCAACACCCAGGCTAAAGTAAAACTAAAAAATAATTAGGCTTGATTAAAAGAATATTAACATAGTGCAATCACTTTGAAACAGTTACAATGATAATAAAGTATTGGAAATTAAACTAGACTGGCAGCTCAACATATGTGCAATCCCATTATATATTTATTCAAACATATCCATTACTCCATAGGTACAGTCCAAACTAAAAATTTAACAACATGAACAACAATAACAACAACAACGATGGAAAAAACATCGTATCTGCTTGACACTGTAAACCCAAAAGACATGTGGAACTCATAACAAAAATAAAAATAAAGGAGGAAAAATTTTCAATGAATCAACAACTTGTCACATTTCTTGAACACTTTGCACCTTATCATCAGTTCCGTTGAGACCAGCATCGCTTGGTTTGTCTTCTTTTCCTTTTTTTTCATTTTTTCCTGAATGCCCATTGCTTAACTTTTTTGCTTCTCCTTCAATTCCACCTGACTTTTCTAGAATTTTGCGCTTCACTGCTTTGTCTCTATCACAAACTGCTTTCGATTGCCGTTTGGTCCACATAACCTCTTCTTGAAGAAATTTACTTTTTTTTGGTTAATTTCTTTATTGACAGTATATTTTCACTATAATAGTGTTAACTTAATCAATGCTTATGTCAATAGAGGAAAAAAAAAGACAAAAAAAACAAAAGGGAAGAGAAAAGAAACTAACCAAATTTAGAGGTATCGCAATTAAGCAAACGCAATGTATGAATTTTTTCTTCTCTGCTAACATACGGCGCAAGAGTCTTGACTCCTACCCAAGCACAAATAACTTGTTTCAATCTAAGAAATACGCAGTTTATTAGAAATTTCTGAACGAACAGTTAATTAGAAAACTTCTCAAACAAATTATGAAGGAATGAAACTTAGAAATTTAACAATACAAAATGTTTTGGTAGGAATTTACAGCACTGAAACATTCATACATATTACATTGTTTGAGCTTCGATGGAGCAAAATTATTTGAAGAAATCAACAACAGAAAATACCCATTATATTCTGACACAAGTATGACACTTCCAGATGAAATGCCGCGAAATTTTTTATCACATTCCAATTCGTATCTTTGACAATTCCCATTTCTATCTTCAACTTTTAAAATTTTGCACATATCTTCTACGCTAATTTCAACTGTCCTTTTTCCCAGATATGGCAAAATTGTTCTGATACCCTGGAAAAGTCAATTGCTTTTTTCTATTACTTTATGGACAAAAGATTTTTCTTCCCAATAAGACATATTTAAAAGTGTAAAAACATTATAATTTTACAAAGGACAAACGTCTTGCAGTATCCGAAATTGACATAGATTATATTTGCTTTCTACTCGCCCAAACATACGAATCCCTGCATTGATCACTTTTACCTGAAATCTACACGAATATCATAACACACAATAAATCGATTCCAAATCAGACAGTCTCGCCTTGAAATGTCAATTCTCGAAAGGTAAAAAAGTAAGCTCTAATGTATTTGATAATTAATGCAATTAATTTCGAAAAACTGTGAACCGAAACTGAACAAAGATGAAAACAAATGAAAAATCAAAAAGCCACCTTATCTTGATTACAGAGAAGAAACTGCTTAACTGCACTGTTTACGAAATATAACGTCCGTTTTTTACTTGGTTCAGCAGTTCTACCCAAAAGATTCTGATAAGGGAACATTTCAGATATTCCGTAATGACTCCTGAAAAACTATCCTAACTGACAAACTGGAGATTTTGTTCTCCTGAACACAATTAGATTTATCATTTAAAATCGTGTTATATAATTTCATGCCCAATAATTCAAATTTAAGAAAACAGAAGCAGGAGGTTTTAATATTATCAGGATTATACTGTTGTGTGAACCAACGCAATATCTTTCCATCTGCTATCGTCTTTTTCAAGAAATACAAATGGATCTTCCTTGAATGTTTGATGCCTTTTCATTGACGGCAAACTGAAAAAATCCAAAAAACTTCCCCAAATTCATGAAGCAACAATTTCCATACTAAATACTGGTCTAAAATGCAATGTTCTATAACCAACGCATTTTTTAAAGACTAAATCTAGTGCACTCACAATATTCACCAATTTGCATCCATGAAGAAACAAAAAGTACTTCTCGACAAGAGTTACATATTAAAAAAAAAAACTCACTTGAAAGCAGTTTTGTCAGTTTGGTTAAGCGGTTTTAATTTTCTCAGCACTGCAACAAAAAATCCTCCAGTATTTTGCAAGTGTGGTAATATTCGAAAACTGAAAACAGGAAAAACAAGAAAAACTGTTCCTTCTTCATGAGTCTATTGCTTGCTTTTAGAAATTTATCCACTGTTTAGTGAAGCATGAGTTCTTGTAAAAAATGACAATTTAAATTTCATAAACAGTCGAGCGAGTGCAAACAGTGCAGTTGTGTTTTGCTGCTGCTGTATAGATGACGCGTTATTAAAGTGTTCGTCATTTTATTGTAATGGATATCGCCGATTTTTCATTTTGCATTAGACCAGTACACATGTCAACAATGAAATCAATTATGAATATACTAAATTCACGGTGAAGTAGCTTCACATCTAAGACTTTAGCATATATTTATATAAGACACATACCAGCGTTCCAAATGAAAATTCCGAATTTCGTCATCGTTTGGGGGAAACATCGATGAAGTAAAGTAGCGCCTTTGATCAGCGATTACATCTTCAAGAATACTGTACTCACGCATGGCTTTATCAAATACCTAAAAATATACACTTGTTAATGCATTAACAACCAAAATCGTATTGCAGACTACAGTCAGCCAGATGCAAAATAAAATATGGTTTGATTACCCTCCACTTCGAGAGTCCTGACATTCGCTTCAGCTGAGGCAACTGTTGAGAAACATCAATAAGCTCCAAGGCACCAGCGTTAGAACGAAGTAAGGATGCAATAACTGCTTCGTTTTCTATAGGATTTAAGGAACATGTTGAATATACCATAAGACCTACACCAAACAAAAAGTAACAATGTAACATCGATTATATAATCTTCTTATTAACACAACAAAATCAAAATCCGCTGCTTGAAAAAAGCGATAAAAAATTAAGACGTATTTTCATGTAATAACATTTTTTTTTTAAACGACATTTTTAAAAACGACAAAAAAATCACGAAAAATCCACCATCCACCGCAAGTAGCTGTACAGCACGTTGAGCAATGTTAATCTGAAGCTTATGCAAACCCAAACCCTGAAAATTTCCTCAAACATAAATTTTTAACCTATTTGACGCCACAAATAAACGAATGTAATAGTCTTTAAGGATAATGATAAACCTTGACAGGATTCCAAGATTGCCACATATCTGGACTTTTTCGGAATGTTCCATCACCACTACAAATTACATCGCAAAGTACTCTATCAAACAGTAACGGTTCTGATGTTTCCTAGAATGATTTTTAAAATTAATTGGTAGGACTCCAGAATTTTTAAAATTTAAAGTAAGGGTGAAAATATTTTAGTCAAAATCAAAAGAAATTCAAACAACAAATCACAAATTTTCAAAATTTTGAAAATATAAGGAAAATTATTTGTAACGCATCAAATATTTACAAAAATGCAAACTTACTTTATCTATTAATAAATTCGGCAAAAACGCGGCATTCTCATTGATTACAATACAATTTGATGTTGGCATTCTTTTCAGAGCCTGATGTACCAGCAAATAACAACGTGAGTTATCAACATCATTTGCCACAATAAGGCCTTCTAAAAAAGTATATTGAAAAGGTATATGCGAAATTTATCATCAGTATACATTTTTTACATTCGTAGTAAAGAATAGAATTTCTAACAAAATAAAACCGTACTGAAAAAATACTATTTCATACTATGTTCCATGGTGTTAGATTTTGTTTTATTCAGCAATAAGAGAAATGATGATACATCAGAAATGTTATGCTATCTTAAACTGAATAAAACTTTTTAAATTTGAATCTCGAAATACCAGGTATTTTGTCATCGCAATGCATCATTTCTATAATCTGCGTAGTTTTACTTCCGGGTGCAGCACACACATCAAGAATCTTGTGATGCGATTTTATATCAAGCAGAAGTGGAGGGATCATGCTAACCGCTTCTTGTCGACTAATATTACCCTAAAAATGCATTCTGGAAATTTTCAAACCGTTGATGCGATATTTGTATTAGAGTGAGTGTTGTTTGCAGTTAAACATTCAGTTCTAAAAATATTTCTAAGCACCAATTTCATTTCATATAAACCCTTGCCCAAACCTGCATTAATAAAATTAATATTATTGTAATTATGAATATTGAAACTATCGTACCAGTTCAGCCTCGGTGATAAGAAAATTGTGGAAGTTTTTCAGCAGTGGTCGACTACGTAATGTGGCACGTGATATTGGAGTCTGGAAAGCATATGGATGCCAGGAAAGCTGCTTTGGTATAAACGTGTCGCCATCTTCCCATTGTTTCATGGGCTCGAAATAATGGCTATTCATTAATTCGATCAAAGATTGTGCTTCGCTAAAATTCGTTTGGGTAACTGCCCTCTGATTTAGAAAAAGAGTAGAATGATTTCAAAAACCTAACAATTTAGATATGAAAGCATGTACGAAAAATATTCTACTACACTAATGACTCATGTGAATAAAATTTCAGTGTTTTTCTATCCGAAAATAAGGACTTAACTAATGACACAAGCGACAAGTCTAAAACTGTAGTGTAAGTTACACCAACTTATTATACATTTTTTTTTTCAAAAGAAAAAGAACAAAAGTTATCATCACGATACTATTATAAAAGTGACTAGTTAAGGAAAGAAATACATCCCATAAACTTCAAGCACTGTTTAGGGATAAAATCAACAAGTGACCCGAACAGAACAAGAGTTCTTAAATTTCAAAGCAAATTTCAAAGCACACACTTGCTTCCTTTTCTGTAATTATAACACTGAATATTTTTTCGTTGAATCCTTATTAATAAAGAACTAATTAATGTATGCCCAGTTTGGCACGTTGAATAACCGTTACATAGTACGTACACAATATGTACGCACTCCCGTAAACGGTTTCAACGAAGTCTTTTGTGTTTTGTATGAGAAACAGTTAGATGAGTTGAAAATCTGACAAGAAAACTGAAATACTTGCTGCTTCCTTGGATACGGAATGACGTCGGTAAATCGTCTTTTAAAGCTGCTATGAATGCATCCCACTCATCATCTTTTACAATTCCCTGACTTTTATAATATATGCAGAAGTTCTCGTTTCTTTTATCAAATTCAGCCAACACGTAATTTTGAGTTTCACCCTGCGAAATTCAAAGTTTAACTCTATCTGGAACGGAAGAATATAATATTCCACTTATCTATTCAAAAAGAGAAGTTTGCCTTTACCAATACAGAGCACCCCAAGTCATTTAGAGCGTTTCAAAAGCAATGACCATTAAGTAGTCAGCCACTTTGCGAAATGAGATCTCAATGTTACATTAGCTGTAGTCATAACTAAAATCAAAAAGTCCAACCTTCTTCTTTATAGCGATACTATTCCTCTTTCGATTTCGGATACCTTGTTTAACCATTCCAGAACACGTCTTTCACTTCCTAAACATTTTTTTCAAAAAACCTTAAGCATTCTTCAACCCAAACTGCTCATACACACGTACAATTCAACCGTGCACTCTTCACTTTTGTTCATCCTCGCTATCCGCTATTGGATAAAAAAAATTTTTTGTTTTAATATATAAAATTTTATGCTAATGGTGTAACTTGTCTAGAATTTCAAAACTTTCTCAATGATTTTTGTTGAATGTCGTTGCCCAATGTAGAAAATTCGAACATTCAAGTACCAAAAATAAGAAAAGATGGAATAATGTAACTCAGGTCGTCCGTAGGTCTACCTCATAAGTGCGATATTCATATACCTTTATACCTACCTGTACAGCTAATCATCTGTATATATCCAATAATCTTATTGGTTCTCAACTAATAAGTATATAATAGTAATCTCTAGCAAACTTGAAGTTATTTAGATAGTGATTCACGAATAAATAACCAGAGCTATGTTGATAAAACGTGTTCATATTTTTCAAATGAAATGCAAAAAGTTGAAGTCTTCTGCACATGTCCTAAGTCTCAACAGCACATACCATTCTCAGTCGAAAACATGCACTGATTTACCTATGCCCTCTTGCAATTTTGTCACAAATAACCCTTCGAACTATCGAAAGCAATACTTATGAATTATAAGTACATCACTGATAGTCATACAAAACGCTGTACTTAAAAGTACGACTCGATTTTACTTAGAAAAAGACAAGATTTTCGAAAAATACGGCACAAATGTAGGGAAATAATGTAATGAAACAAATAATAACATAGCAGATAAAATGGATTACTATGCCAAAATACGAATTTCTGAATCTTATGAGTATTCAAGAATTATGAAGAGAATGAAACACGGCCTTTTTAAATGTAACATACTAAATTCAACTTCATAAAACTACGAAAAATTCTTTCTAAAAAATTTTAACTTACATGCAAAACACGATAGAAGATAATAATAAATTATTAGCGACAAGAAACAATACTATTATAAATTAACTGAACTGTAGTGTGGAATGCCTCCTTAAAATAGTTCAATATGCTAAACTCCTTCAAAAACTGCTTTAAACATTGTCCTGAAACAAAAAACAAAACTCCTTAAAATAAACTATAGCTGGTTTAATATGCAAAAGAGATAGTTTAGTTGAGTAGGGATTAGCTAGTACAAGGTTTTCTTTGATCTGCTAGAACTATTTATATTGTAAACTGAAACACTCAAAATATCTATCTAGGATTTATGGTAATCACCACTCATTGTCAGTTCTATATTAAATAACCTGAAGTAACCTAGAGTTTAAATTATTTTTAAATAGTGAATCTCACAATTACCATTATCAAAAGATATACTAAATGTAGTAATGTACTATCATAAATAACAAAAAATGAATAAATGATCACTTAGTACATAAAAATAGACGATCATTGGAACAGCATTTCAGCAAAAAATTATCATTATTGAGCGAAGCATATCTTTCGTATAATTGTACTCATAGAAGAAAATTTTCAGCGATCAAAAGAAAAACTTCATTTTCAGCTTCAAATAATTCATTCCATAATGCCTTCTCGAACGATTCGATATTAGTAGTGATTAACCGAAATACTGCTTGCTGGATGTTAACCCAACTATTGGGCTGTGCTTCTGTTTTACTGATTGCTTATCCAGGAAATCAGCATTTTACTGCTCCAGGCCTCATATAATCATATGCTTCTGTTTTTGATTAATACTGGCTTACATCACCGAAATTATAATTTTCCGCATTTGCATCTTGTGACAGAAAAAGTGATTCCATTTGGCTAACCAATAATTGATCCTGAAAAAAAAAAACTCTTAAGAGTAAAAATACAGTAAAAATAGTGAGTATCAAATCTTTTAAAAGTTGAATCCCAAATCTGTCTTACGCAGTTTTTTCAGAATGTGACTTATTGCTATGGGATTCAGAATTAATTTCGATGAATACATATTAACCAAAGCAATCAACTTTTAAAATTGGAGGATACATACCAGAGAAAGACTATTCTTAACTCATATGATTTTTACGTTGAAAATATTTCTGGACAATACAACAGTTATTATTTAACTGCATTAATGCGTATAAAAATCAAACAACATCATGAAATTTTACCTGGCTGTATGGAACACCTCCTTGAGAAGCACCATGCTGTGTCTGAGATTGCGTCCAATCCGATACATCCTGGGATATACCTGAAAATGCGTTATTTAAAGAAAAATGCAATTTAGCCAAGATTTGGACTTCTAAAAATAACCTGCAAATAGAAACGAGACTCACCAGACATTTCACCGAGCTGCTGCATATAAATGGGATCTTGAGACTGTTGCGAACTAAACATATTTATTCCTTCTAAATGTTTACGATTTCGTGTCGTACTATCAACAGAATTTAAATCGCCATGACGTGTATGAAGTGGGTAGTAATGAGGTGGCGGCTGCACAAACATCTGTATTGGTACTGGGATGTTGATCCCATTCTGAGGTCGCAACTGACCGTGAGTAATAGCTGCGAATGGATCTTGTATCGATCGCAAATCTCGATTACGAGTACCAAATGCATTACCCTGCATATCTTTCGCCAGAACTACTCCACGTGGAATGAAACGATTCATCTGCAAAATTGAACAAGTAATTTTTTGCATATTGGATTATACAGTTTACAATATTACTCATACATTCCAAAAGCAACGACCCATTTTCACGAGAGCGTCGATACTGTAAAACTTTGAATTTCTTACAGTTTTATTTGAACTTTGCAAACAACTTACACTCATAATATTAGGAATACGACGCGGTTTGGAAAGTGTAATTGGTGACGGTTTCAAATTATTGAGAGGCCCTTCAACGAGGCAACCCTTTTCTTTGAACATTGATAATAAATAATTCCAAAGTGGATGTCTCGATAGTACCTTTGCATTACCGACTATGATAAGACCAAATTTAGCACGTGTTAGTGCAACATTTAAACGTCTGGAATCATTCAGAAAACCAATGCCTTGATGGTCATTAGATCGAACACAAGTCACTATTATGATATCCTTTTCACGGCCCTGAAAATTTCTCTTCAGTCTTTTAACATTCTGAAGCAATGCTCACAAAGTTATGGAAACATTAAAAACATGATGAACATATCTATTGTAACATGATGAATTAACATCTGATATCCGTTGCATCTTTCTGGTAACCAAACGCACTGCATGAAAAAAACCTAACTAGCAGTCATCTTGATTACCACAATTCTACCGCTTTTCAGTAACCAAGGCTTGCCTTTAAAATCTGGAAGCGGATTACACATAACAATGCTATGAGTAGCAAACGACATTAATGTTACCTTTTGCAAAAAATAAACTGAACATCCGATTAATTCTAGCGGTAAGAAGTTAAGTTTTCCTTGAAATCGTTGATAAGGTCATAAAAAATTTAGATAACCTAAAAGATCTAATTGGAAAGATGAAAAAAAAAAAAAAAAATAAATAGAGCTTAATATCTAGAACTATATCATTACTTTCTTTTTTTAGTATATGTTCATCGGAATTGATGATTTATCGATATCAAAAAAATATGATGTTAGAAAAAATAAAAGAAGTACCTGAAAAGCATCCACATTTGCAACTTCCATTTCCAGATACAATTTACTATGCAAAGCACCCTGTGTTTGCATGAACTGCACAATGTACGATCTTTGTCCTTCATAAGGAGTAATTATACCAATTTGTTCCGGTTTTAATCCAGCTTTCAGAAATCGAGTGGCTAGTTTCTCAACGTTAGCTGCCTCAGTTCTGGAAAAAGATGGTAAAGAAGGCTTTTCATAACTTTAACACTCTTTCTGGAAAACATCCATTATACTATGGCAAAAATATCATCAATCTATCAAACCGGTTTAGAAATGATGTGCCTGACGAGCTAAGCTCTTCTTGGCCATAGCAACTCCAAAACATCATTGGTTTATCTGGCACTGGCCACTGCCAATCAATCCCAATTAATTGTCGCTCCCCTGAAATAAAACACATATGTGATAAATTTATCACTTTCCTGAAACAAACAACAAATAAGATAACACCTGAGTTACATAACGTAAACTAAAACTGTTTACTTTCCCTTTTGTTCCTTATTTAAAGATTTAGATTACTTTCGTTTCATAGATAAATGCTTGCCTTCCGTAACACCATTTTGTAAACTTCCTTCGTAAAAAACATTGCTTGGAAATGAAGAAAGCGCAGGATGCATACGATATTGCACCTGTAGGCGAATTGGACGATTTCCGAGCAAAACAAGCCGTTCAAAAAGTGACTGTGATAAACCAGCTTTAGCTGCCTTAAAAGAAGTAAAGATAAAGAAGTAAACACAAAATTAAATTAATATTGAATTTTTCCTAAGATATTTGTTTACCTTCTTACACATGATAACAGGACCCAATTGACAATGGTCGCCAACAAGTACCAACTGCCGAACACCACAAACAACAGCTACCATTACTTCAGGTTCCGTAGCTTGGGTTGATTCGTCAATTAAAACACATCTTTAATTCACACAATATAACAAATAAGCTACATATATTGATATATTTGTGTCTGCATTTACATATTAAACTGATTTACTACGCATTATACCACAGAACACTCACTTAATTCTCATATGTGAGAGACGGCTATCGGCAGCTGAAACACATGTACAACAGATAACATCAGCAGCAGTCAACAGTTGGCATTCCTTTGCTATACGCAAAGCACGAAAGCGGCGCTCATCAGCATCTGCCAATTCTCCCATTTCTTCCTGCAAATAATATAAATCAATCTTCTTCACAAACTTACATTTCACCATTATGCTTCCCATATAATAAACCATTTCCTTTTATAAGAATAATTGATTAAAGCTCCCTATATCAACAGACATTACCAAAGAATCCAACAAAGTCACATTCGCACTCAAATGAGTTCAAATGAATAGTGGCCTTGTAAATGAGTATATGTTAAAGAAAAAATGTTATCAATTTTGAAATGCTAAGCATTCAAATAGTGAACATGATGCCAGGTTAGCTTTTAATTTTAATCTAAAATGTAACAATTTGAGTTGTGTACGAAAATTCTAAGAACTGACTTTCAACTGCTGCAACTTATGCAACTCAGCTGCACCATGTAAGGCTCTCAGCTGATTATGTAACGCGAGAAAGGCAACAGGACTATCAAGCGTTTCACGACTTTTTGCACACAGACGGACAACCTGCAACAATAGAAGAAAAAAAGATAAGTTACGATAGCACTTAATTAAGGAATTCCGAAACTAAAAAGAAGACTTGGCTAAACTTAAAATTGCTAAATTCAACTAAGATTTAAAAAAAAAAAAAAAGAAAAAAGTAATAAAAGGACCACCTTTAATCCTGTACGATGTATTTTCTCAGCTAACTGATCAACTGCAATATTTGACGGAGCACATACAAGTACTTGACCATTAGTTTGCTTTACTAGATGATATACGATTGTAGCAGAAGTCACAGTTTTGCCAGTTCCAGGTGGTCCCTGCAGATAAGCCAAATTGTTACTTTAGCTGTGAATCTGTTCTCAGAGTGTGAATTCTTCGATATGAACAGTGAGGAAGGGAAACCTCTGGAAAATCGAAGGTAAATTAAAATGAGAACCTGAATTAGTGATAAGGGTCGTTGTAAAACAGTTTTGACTGCATGCACTTGACTGTGATTTAGCTCTGGCAAACCCGGTACGCTAAATCTCTTCGGCAAAGATACTTTAAAAATAATATCATCGATATCGTGGCCCATTAACTTGTGATAGATAAACTGTGAAACACAATCTTCATCTTGACCCAATAAAGACAACGCTGCCTGCATTCTGAAATCAGCGCCTTCAATAAATAAAATGAGCAGATGAAAAACGCAAGTCACAAATCAGATGAAGGAAGTGAGTCATCCTCAGGATTGATAAAAGCCTTGCGAAGAAGTTACACGCGACATGACCCAATTCAAGAGGAATTAGCACTAGAGATCAGCACTGAATACCATCAAAATAGAATAACATATTAAAAGAGTACCTTTCAAATGATGTTGAGTTCCAAACAAATTCACATGTAAAGTTCGTTCGTGTATCCGTGGGTACATTCTCTGCCTTTAAACGCATTTCGATCCCAACCTCATCATTATGATCTGAAGGAACTGCTGAATAATTTACTTATATCCCAGAATCTTAAACGATCCAAATACAGCCATTAATATTTACTTGAAATAATAGTATGATAATGGATAAAAGGCCTGACAAATGACATATTAAACATTATTTCAGTACGATCATCTATGTCCATATTGGGCTAATATTTCCATCCTCAAGAAGAGATTGTCGTCAAAATTCGTACTAATTTATTCTAATTAAAAATCTGTTGAATATCTTGGTCAAAAAAATGTTAAAAAGCAAGTGATTTTTACACATACTGTCGGGAATTTTGATAACACATCCAACCGAACTCCATTCACCACCTGCAGTTTGAGAATGCTTCAAGCGCAACTCATCTCCCAACATCAACTTCATACCTGCAGAATTTAGAAACGATCTGTATAGTATAGATCTCCAAAATGAATATAATAAAACAGATATCCCAGTAACTGAATCTCCAGCACTGCTCGCTTTTGCTATATCGAGCAAATATTATACTAATAAAATGTCCACTCTTTAACTGAATCCATAAAGTTTTCACTGACTTCCTTCCGAAAACTTTGGCAATTGGAAAAAAGCTTGTGGTTTTCGATTGAGACCAATATCCCAACGAACATGACCAACACTCTGTGTTTGTGATTCCTTTTCTCTTCGGTCATAATCAGCTTCAGCTTTTACTAAAGGTTCAAATACACGCTTATACTGATATGCATCTTCATATTTTAGCTGCACATGTTCTGGTTCCTCATCCATGCCTGGCCTTTCCAGATCTTCAAACACAGCTTTGGGATCTTCCTGAAAAATTCAAATAACATTTCAAAATCTTTTAGTCCTCTTTTAGATATTGTTGATTTATAGTAAAGTGAAGAATAAAAAACAGACTTTCCAAAGTTCTTCAAGTCGGTTGATTTGTACAGCACTTATCTGACGAGCCCTTAGTTGTTCCTGCTCAGATGGTATCTTTACAAGCCAAGACAGCAATTGTCGATCACTGATCAAAGGTTTCCACTCATCCACCTAAAGTGATAGAAATGATAAAAAGTACTTATTTCTTTCTCAAAAGGAACGTACAGTTAGAAATTAAGCTTTAAACAACAGCAGCCTAAAGCGCTGTTAAGGGAAAAAGTCAACTCCAGCAAAGATATCAATTAAACAATCATATCATCAATAAAACCAAAACTGTAACCTGCCAGGAATGGTCCTTCAAAACAGCTTGATTAGCACAAGGTGAACGACAGAGCACCACTACAACCGTGTCTGCTTTTGCAGGAATATAACCAAGCATAAAAATGTTCCTGAAATCATAACACTTCAAAGCATTTAATGCTGAACTAAATCTTCTAGTTGAAAGAAACTAAACAATTTGCCTCAAGAGACTTCATATTTTCTTATGAGCGGAGTGTTGCCTAAAGAGAAACACTAATACAAGTTGATGTTTGTTTTCGAAAACATTTTCAGCACTCACCAATAAAAGAAATAAATGAAAAGGAATCAAAATAAGAATTCCAAAAACTACAATTCGTTTGTAGTGCAGTAATTCTTATGATCAATTATCCTTTAGTAATGACACAATTTCACATGCATATAATACTCTCTTGTTTAATGGAAGTGCTTGTAACATATATCAGGTTTTTTGCCTAAGACATGTTTTGAGATTTCTAGTCGTGAACAGGTTAAGGCAACAAATGGATAAAAACAAACTTCGAACCACACTGATAACACTCCAGGACTGTTTCACCAAGCGCACCTTCTTTGTGTAGGGAAACTTCTTTGTGTTGCGAACGCACCAAATGTATGACTATATGACCAGCAGACGTACTTCCACGTCCATTACAAAACCATTTCTCACACACCATGCACATCGCCACTGTAGCTGGGTCATGTATGCCGCAATATCTAAAATCAAAAACCCCAAATTTTCGATTTTTTGATGAATATTTCGACATCTTTGACTTCAGAAGAAAATCCTTTTGCGAAGAATTCTTACCAATGTGTTCAGTACTGAGTTTTAGTAAGAATCCTTATCGCAAAAGTAATAGATTTGTATTGCCAAAAATACCTGCACGCATGTGTTGGTAGTTGTCCTGGTACAGAAAATTCTTCTTCATCTACAAATACCAATTCCTGCGATTGGTCACCGCCAACTTCAGGAAGAGTACTAGTCCATCCTTGTGAAGGAAGTGTAAACTGTTGATCAAATTCAAACTGTGAATCCTGAAATTTGAAAGACTTGAAATAAAATTCATTTTCAGAAGAAAACTTCACAACTAGAAACTAAAATGATATAAAAGTTCCTCATAACAAAACCTGAGTAGCTCCATGAAGTAAGGAGGAATCGCCATCCGGCGTATCCACGAAATTCAGTGATAAAGATGGAGTGCCGTACTCATCTTCCAAAGAATCCACCATTTTGAAACAAAATTATCTGGAAAAGAATCTGAAGTACTATCACGTCATTTTCACTTTAGTCATGTATTTCAAGAAAATTCGCCTGTATAAGTGAAGGAAATGACAATAAATGCAGTCGTCAGTAACTATAACTTCCTAAACTGTGGCTGCGTGTTAAAGGCAAAGGCAGCAGTTAGACAAGTAACCTCTGCACATCCACCCAAACTCTAGCAAACCCAGCATTACCACGGAAATCCCAAAAGCGATAAACAACGAGGCAGGCACCCTTGCACGCACTTCTTGCACCCACACTCCCATCACCACTCTTTCACTACACTATATCACCAATCCTAGTTGTCTCCCTTCTCCCCAACATTCTCATCATATCTTCCTCCCACCCAACTGTGTTATGCCTGGCCATAGTGAAAACTGTGGGACCAGTCGTCCAGGTATTACATACTGCTTTGTGATTCGGTATTGATTCTCGCCGGTTCGGAGTCAAAAGGGGAAGCAGAAATTGAAACAGATAAAAGTGCTGGGAGTACTTACTTCTTCTCTGTGTATGAGTCTTAGTTTGCCAATGTGTCCCACGGTCCTTCATTAACACCGAGGATTGTTCGGGTTGTTTAATTTGCAGAAAATTCTGATTTTTTGATGATATCGAGTGATTCAGCTACCAATGATACCACTCTATAACTGTTTTTTCTCCTTTTTCTTTTCTACTAAAATTTAATATGTAACTTTCTGATTGAAACTAGTTGTAAAAGTGGACGTCAATTATTCTCTCACAAACTACACACAGAATGATGGAATTCTTCCGATTGCAATCAGTTATGAATGTCTAAATGCAACATATCTGTTTATATTTATCGACATTGTAAAATAAAATTTGAAATCTTGAGAGATTGGCTGGAGAGTTGAGCGACGCACTAATAACTTTTCACTGAACTGGATTGAATTAATTGAAATCATCTTGAAATGAAATAATGGTACGCAAATTTCATGTATACTAAGTTTAGGATTTTGACTTTGAACTGGAGTAGTAACTATTAGAAAAATACTGCTACTGAACATTTTAATCAGATATTTCTTTTAAGTGGAGATAGAGCTCTCTTTATTTCCTTTCCTTTTTTGCTTCCTAATGTCATTTCTTTTGACTTAAAATAACAATTAGAAGCAATTTGTTACATTAAATTTCCCAGCTGACATGGCTTTCTTCCCAGAGGTTATTATTCATTCACAAATTCTCATCAGGTAGTTTTTACTTTTTCAGAAGTTTCATTTTGTTGGTGGTTTGGACTGCCCGGAATGGATCGTGGCGGAGATGACCTTTTTATCAAAACTTGTAAGTTTGTAGTTTCCATCCTCTTGCAGAAATCTTATTACCAAGGAATATTGAAAAAAGCAAGAAAAGGATCGGAAGGTGTTCAGATGTGTCTTTAAAACACATTTGATCGATTATTCTTCTAATGAAGTTGTTCAGTGTTATGCAGGGTTTGAGAAATTTTTGATAAATGGAAAGTATGACAAAAAAATCTTCGTCTTACTTTCCATTTATAGTCTAATCACACATCTTGTGCTCATCCTTTCAGCCTGTATTAAAATTCAAAAATTGGTGTTTGAGCTGTGTGGACTGTCTAATCAATGGTAGAACCGAATGGAATGATGAACATTTAACAGTTCTCAATGTTGATAAAACTCTTGGTAAATGTTCCTTAACTTTCTCATGGCTAAAATATTATAAACAGAATGTATATTTTATATTTAGACAGGAGAAAAGGAAGCGGTAACGTTTCTTACGCGTACTTTTTTAAGGCTTTATATCTTTTAGATTTCTTGTTTTATAGATCTGTGCGTCGGACTGCCTCTGCGTTAGCAGTGTTTCCTAAAAAATAGGACTGTCTCCGTATTTCCGCTTGAAGGTGTTTTTCTTTATTAAAGATTGTTTGTGAATTTGGCAGACGACAGTGCATGTAACTTTTTGAAAAAGATTTAGATAATTTTCTGTACTTGTGTTTGGTCGTCATATCACGTTTTCATGTGTGATACATGCCTTCAACTTCTTTCATTTTTTCTTTTTTGAAATCTCTTAGTATTTTTTTAGATGATGAGTCTTTGAAAGGAATGTTAGCAGCGCTTACATTCATTTTGGAAAAAACCACGAAAAACGCATGTTCAGCCCGAGATCTTGAATTGGAAATGCAACAGTTGGGTCTTCCTGCAGGTACATGATTTTTTCATTTTAGCCAAGTTCCACTTTTGCGTTTGTTACTTTGCAACACTTCAATTTAACTAATATTTTTATCAACCTATTAGTTTTTTATTCTCCTTTTTTAACTCTATTTGTTCATAAAGTTTATGCGGTGATTTTGGAACAAATTAAGGAGTAGTGTTCATTATTCACTGGTTTTATGCTTTAGTAGTTTTTAGAACACTGTAGGCAATTGGCAAAGGTTTATACAACAAATTTGGAAAAATTAAAAAGTGCTTTATTGTTCAGTTTTTCTCGAGGTTAGTTGTCTTTAAATTCTTTACAGAAATTTTGATGTCGATTAATTCGTTTTAAAAAAAAAGCACTGCGAAATGACTCGTTTTAAAGTTCTTATATATTGCCATTTTAAACTTCTGAAATCTTAAACATGGACATAATCGATAAAACAGTTTGTCTAATTTAGCATCATCTCTTACGATTTCTTCAGTGGATGCCACGGAAAGAGGAAATGGAAAGGTATTTTCTTTTGTTCCATTACTTTCTATCCTGGAATTTCTTTTTTTTTAGTGGAGGATTAAATTTTCTTCTTTCAGTTAATTGGTCTTGTTGTTTCTATTCTTACTGTTCAGCTCCATTATTCGTTTTACTTTAATAATTAGGTCCCAAATTTTTTATATTCTGGTGAATAAAACCTATCGGTTCTAGTTTTGAATTTTAGGTATATATAATGAATATGCGTTCTAATGGCCAAGAAAATACATCGATAGTGTTGGACGATGCAAAACTAAATTACTTAGTGCAAGGTGATTTGCAAACTTTTTTTCTTGAAATTATTGTTGATTCACTGATAACCGAAAATTATTTCTTGGACTTTTCAACATAAGATTAAAAAAAGATTTTGGTTATTGCAGGGCATAGTCATTCATTCATGAAATATCTTCAGATTTTTTGTAGAAAGTGAAGGTTGCATATATCTTATGTTTTACCGGAATATTTATTCTACTAAATAATTTTTTAAATATTATGGTTTTTAATATACTTCAAATTTTCAAACACTTGAAAAGAAAAAAACCCCAATTCTAATAGTAAATGGAACCATCCAGGATTCTTGTAGAGATCGGCTGGTTAGCTATTAACTTACTAAATTGATTTGAAGGTGGCTAACTCAGGTTTTGTTTTGCTGGCTTTATAATGTGCAAGGACGTATAAATTTATGTTATTCTAGAGTTATCGAAAGCAATGGATATCATTCGACCATTCGTTCGAAATACCGCAGCTGACACTCACTGATCTTTAAAACTTTCATTCAGTAATATGAAAATGTTTAAGAATTAAAATTGCTAGTACCATACTGTTCTAATTATCATACTTTTTATTTAGAGGACAAATTTTCAGTGCTTAGATTTTTCTTATAATTATGTTCTCAAATTTAGTATCTTTCAACGAAGTCTTTTTTTTTTTTTCAGCTTTTCTAAGCTTCGTTAAATTTGTAAAATTTTGTAAGTCTGAAGTCATCTTTTATATAAACATTTTCAGTTGTGTGTTGTACATGCTTACGGTTGCTGACTCTCAGTTGTTCACTAAATTTTCTTTTAACATAATTGGGCAATTAGTAGAAGTTATCGGTTATGAAGCACACGGTAGTTGCCAATTATGGACACATCGTTATTTCATGCATTATTTTGAGGCGCACTACTTCAGTAGAGCTCTAATTGGCATAGAGATACTATCGTAGTTCATAATTATTGATCTTATTGAACAAGGTATTCAGTATGTTATATTTGTTTATAATGATGTCTTAGACATTTTTTCAAATAATTTAATGGACTAAAGTTAACCGATAAGGTACTACATGTTGTCATATATTATTTCAATATGTTAGATAAAGGTGCTAGCATTATTCAAATATTTTGAACTTTTCTACCGTTTGGAGGACTCCCAAAATTCCTTATAGGGAAGTAAATGGACACAACCTATAATAATAGTAATGCGTTTGGGAAAAAAAACATTCAATGATGAGACAAAGAAATACGATGCTACAATTATGTGTCTTTAATGACCAGATTAAGCAGAGAGATGGATTGTGCAACAATCTTCTGAAGATTTATATGGTACACCTATGAAGTAAATGCTTCTCTGCTCTATGCCATCACTAGTGATAATTTTTAATTCAAATAACGACAACTGCTGAAGGAGGTGCGATAGCCAGTCACTTACTGTTATTGCAGCACATTCGGTGATGACAACTTTCTAAATATGCTGCAAATAGCGAAATCGTAATTACATTGTTCTCACATCTGTTAAGTTTGAGATGACATACCTGAAATTGATCGGCACCATTATCATGTCACTCATGTCTATTACATCACCGAGTAGGCTGGTACTATTAACTGCATAAAATACTGTTGATAATATATAAAAAATTCTCTCACTCTAAACCACATCGATTTACTGCTGGACCTTGCTTCTAGTAATTTATTTTGAAAAGCCTGCACTAAATTTTAATATTTTAAACATCCCTTGGAATATAAGAGGTTTTCATTTTGTTTTTTATTTTTAACAGTAGGCTGGTACTACTAATATACAGAGATATGCAGGATACAGAGTAATTTTTTGTTAATATGCAGGATACAGACTATTTTTTCGTTACAGAGTAATTTTAATATTTTTTTGAAAAAAGATTCGATAATTCTCAATAAATTTGATTTGATCCTAAATGTCGATTTACGAGAATTTGTTGGCTCGTTCCATTTAGTATGACTCTTTTAGTCTTTTGCCAAATGATTCCAAATTCCAAATCATTCGTTTTTTGCAGCGCAGAAGTCCTAATTGCAAAAAATATTAGTATAATAATATCAAAGAATCAGTCATAATTAATTTAAATTTATATTCATTTACTGTTTTTCATTAAATTTTTTTCTCTAAAATGTTGAAAAACAAGTGTTGACGAATGTATCATCCAAGTCTCTGCGACAAGAAGCATTTTTAAACTATGATAATTGCTTTTGAGGTCGCTTCCCGAGACAGCTGTTAGTATAAGAAATTCGTTGATTCATTGATACAATGAATAAAAAGAAACTACTAATTGGATTGACTGCTGTTTTTTCGTCATTATTGCATTACCCTTCGAGAAGAGTCAAGTGTAAGTATGTGTCCACTCAGTGGGGGGTCACTTTTTCTCACACAATAACCAATGGATATTCATCTTTTAAAAAAAGAAAACGGACGAACAGCCAAAGCCGGCATTTCTCCGTTCGGTTCATCATTCCACATCGGTAATTTGTTGCTTGCTTTTGAATTTCCAAAAAAAAAAATTATTTTTGGCCGAGGAAGAAAGAAAGCGAATAACAGATATATGAGTTTTTTGATGAAAAATTGGAGGAGAGAGAATGAGGGTAGGATGAAGCCAATTAATCACTTAACGCAAGAGGGATGCAATGAAGTGGAAAATAACAGGGTAGGAACATTGGCGTGGATCAGATCGGGTCTTGGAACAAGGAATGCAAAAAAATGAGAAGAATATCCTCACCAGGTGCTACTATTTTCCTCTCAAATTGAGCACAATAAATCCTGTGGTACCACATCGCAGTATGTGCAAATAGACTAACATTTTGTTTTCTCATTACGGTAATCCTCTTCTTCTCCCTCGATATAATGAACAATAAACAAATGCTATTTACTTCTCAGATAAGGATAATTTAAATTCTTCCAACTTCATTGAAGCAGCAGACGACAAAACCATTAGACGCTCCTTCATGAAACTTGAAAAATTATAACGATAGTTTATTTGCGTTAGCAACTGAAATTGTGACGATAAGTGTTCTAGCACATAAGTACGAAATAATTTGCTCATCAAATGCATCGAATGTAAAATAATCATACAAACACTTAGGACTAAACGTGGAAGAACTAATATATTGACTACTAAATTTATTTAATTTTTCAAAATTTGTTGAAATGATTATGCTTTGTTTGAATTAAATTTGCATTTGAGTTTATTATTGCAAGATAGGATTCTCCCGAAATTATCTCGCAACCTTCTAATTGTTCTAGTTATTCCATGAATAATTGAGGATTTCCGTTTAACGTCGTAAAAATATACAATCACGAAAATTTGATATTATAATTTATTGGGGGGGAAAACGCTTTTGCTATTACGCAATGATAGCCATTTTCTCGTCACATCCTCCCATTTTGCGCTCTTCCCCACTTACCATTAGTAACATCAGACAAAATGGCGGCTTCGTTGTAGGAGGAAAACTAGAAGGAAGTTGTAGAAAGACGACAATTTGAACACTCGAGTTTGATTGTATCAATATGCGCATCTCTTTTACCTTTCAGAGTGGCGGCAAGGTACTTTCGAAGTCCAATCTGAACTTCCGTTCACTATTTCACGCAATAACATATGGCGACAAATAGTTTGGTATTTATACTACAACTTTAGGAAACTAAGATAGTCTAAAAAAAGTCTTTAGCAGACCAACAATCATATTCGGCAATCAGTCTTCAAAATAATAAGTATCTGAAAAATCAAAAAGTGGTTTGTGTTTTCAGTCAATAATTATATTCCTTAAAAATCTAAGATTTTGCTCTTGCTTAATGATTTCACTTCATAAATTGGAAGAGAAAGGCCATATAAGTAATTACTTTTTACACCAATTTAAGAAAAACTATTTATTTACGAAATTGAGGCTAAATTTCAATTTCGAAACTAATAGAATATTTTACTAAATAAACAAATTTGTGGAGGAAGTGACTTTGAATGATGCAAATCAAAATTTGAATACTAACTGCTAGCAAAGTTGCGAATCTTATTTTTAAGACAAATTGATAAAGAACAAAACCATTATGCAACAATTTTAATGACCGTTTGATATGTAAAATTTTAGAGTTATGATTTATTTGCGTTTTTTGAAAGAGGAAAAGGAACATGGAATTAAAATGCTTCATTTATGATTTTAATGATTTATTTTGATTTAACATTTCAGGGTATAGTATTTCAAATTTAAAATGCGAATATTCGAATAAAGAAAAAGAACTAGCAAGTAACAGACAAACGAATTGTTGAATAAACTGTTACGAAAGCTAATAGAGAGGCATATTTTCTGCAATAGAAGGAGAAAATGCTGTGAAATAGGGAAGATGGAATCTGATACCTTCAAAGTCCTTCATAAAATAGTGCAGAAATGATTGCCTTGTTCAGGTCACTTGTACAATTTCAACTTCATGAAGAGGACAAAAAAGATATAACTTTGGAAATCTATTTCCTTTACACTGAATTTTACATTGAACTGATGGTTCGAAATACTTGCTGGAACCGAGATGATAAACATGAATTCGATACGTTAGTTGATCTTTTAGAGACGTTTCTTTACAATGACGGGAAACAATATAAAGAAAACATCGAAATGAAAAAAAGTGAGTCGTGGGATGGATACCGTATACTAACACTTGACAGAGAGGAGGTGGAGAAGAGAAGAGACGATATTGAGGCTGTTAACGAGGCCAGGACTGTCCTCGTCAGGTTGAGCAATCGACAGCAGCTATTCCAAGATGTAGAAAATAACGTTATTAGAGAGGAGCAAGGCGGGGCTCAGCACTGCCTCCTGAATTTAACATTTTTCTTTCCCGATCACTGCTCTAAATGCATCAATTTCATTCAGTTCCTTTTCATTATCATCATCGTCATCATTATCATTATCATCATCATCATCATTACCACCATCAATCGTCATCAATCATTATTAATCATCATCAATCATCATCATCATTATCATTATCATCATCATCGTCATCATCATCATCATCAAACATCATTATCAATCATCATATCATACCATTATCATTTTTGCTATTATTTAGAATGATTATTTCTTCAGTAATTTAAATCCTAAAGAAATTACGGGTTAATACTTATTAGCAAAGTAGGTAACATCGAGAAATTAGATAAAAATTTTTGCAAGAGTAATTATTAATTTCTCCTTCAAGCAATGTTTTATTTTGCTGTAACGATATTTAAGTTTTTCAAGCAATTGCTCAATGATACTATCCAATTTTACAATGAGTAGAACTTTCTCAGTTATGTGTGATATGCTTCTGATATTATAAGTGTTTTAAATTGCTTTGCTTCATTGATTATATGTTCTCATTATCATATTTGCACGAATAGATATATTTGCTTTTGGACATTTACATCTTGAATATTCTCTGTGTTTCTCGAGATGAAATAACTCATTTTCAAAAGCGGACCACGAATTCTATCATTTTGATAACATAAAAACTGCAAGATCATTAAGAACTGAATTACAGAAATTCAATAACTGAACAGATGTTACGATGAAATCTGCCTTACTTCATTAATTATATTACAAACATTCTCGTTGACTGAGGTGCAGAATCGGTGAACAAACTTGTAAATTATCTTCCAAAGCAATATGGATTCTCAAAGTGATCTGAAACCTATTGTACCACTTGCCGCTGCTGCTGCTGCTGCTGGAAGTCTGATGCTATCAAATTGTGAACAAAGCCCTCTGGGTAAGTTGATGGAACAATACAACCGATTAGCCTCAGAAAGTCGTATTACTGCATCGGTGGAAGAAAAATTATCTAAAAGAGAGTCAAGAACTACCGAAACAGTAGCAGCGGCGGCAGTGGCAGCAGGAGGCACTCTGGTAGACACATTGCCGCCATATGCAAGTACCACAGCCGCAGTTTATCCGCCATATTCATGGTCAGCAGCTGCAACGGCACCGTGGTGGACAGCAGAACCAACTGGAACCTGGCCTCCGCTACCGTATTCACCGGCAGTGAGTACTGATACTGCTACGGCAACTTATTCTCCCTACCTGGGGCCACAATTCCAAGGACTACTATCAGCTGCTACCGTATCAGCTACTGGTCAGGTGGTATCGATATCTAATCCAAACTCTAGTTCTACCGGTAATCCACTGTCAAAGGTCTCCAGCAGCTCAACAGCACATGTAGGAGGCGGTAAATTATCTACTCGATCTAACTGTGAGTGTCCTAACTGTCAGGAAGCCGAAAGATTGGGTAAGTCTTCTTTCTTAATGCATTTCGTTAGTAAAATTTAAATAGCGACGGGAAATAGAACGATGATTGCAGAATAGTTCATAAAACAATGATGAAATATAGATATATCAAATGAATTAGTTTCTCTCGCGAGAAGCAACTGACATAGTTGCTTACTTCCTGTAGAGACCGTATCGTTCCTTCTTCTTCGATTTTTGAAAGCATCATAGTTGTTATTAAAACTAATTTTTAAAGACAGATGATCTACCTATCATAGATACCATACCTCTGGTTTGGGTATATAAGCACCCCGAAAATTTGTTAACTCCTATAAAATTTTAAAACATTTCTCACAGCGGTTACTATGTAGTAAAAAGGTTAAGGTAAGTAAGGTAAGTAAAAGTACAGGATCACCAGATCAGGAGCAAAAAGAAACAATGGAATGAAACTATCGGCGGGGAAAAGGGAACATGAGTGGAGAAGAGGAAAATGGATGTTGGTGAGCATAGAAGATAATAATAAGTTATGGTATATGTTTAGCAGTCATTGAAAATAGCAATTACGTTCTCTGCTTCTGTTTATCGAGTCTGAAATTCTACAGCTTCATAATACTTCACTCACGCAGCGGTATTAATTTTGACGTCAACCTGACAATGAATGGCAATAATCTGTTGCTCATTTCTTAATTCTCTTAACTTATTGATACTTGATGTCTAAATCATGGCATATATTCTCGTATAAGTCGATATACCATGATTACAAGATTTATTGAAAAACTCAGGTCTATAATTTCTCCTAATTACTGTGCTCGAGAACTAACAGTTATAAACTTCTTTACCAAATTGAACAAAATTAAGTTTTCCGCAATAATATGTTTGTGAAGGTTATGAAAATTGAATTAGAAAAAATTAAACTGCGAAAACGATAGTCATGAAAACTCATATATCTGAATAGGATATGTGAAGGTCCTTTATCTTTTACTGATTTCAGACAATAAACTATTGGAATACCTTTTATGACTTTCCTTTTTTAAAAAACGATTCTCACAAAAATAAGATGGCGCCAAAAAATGAACCCATTCCATTGTCAAATTAGGGCATAACGGCTTTCGAATCATTTGTTCGCTTTTGAAGTAGAAAGAAAGGTGTGTAGACAAATAAAAGGAAAAGCAATGATGATTAGACGCTTCTCTAATCAATAAAATTTAACCTTTTTGAGAAAAGAAATTGAATTTCGAATTGAAATTAGAAATAATTTTGAAAAGGTTTGTTACTCAAAGCATTTCAATGCCTTTTCCTCGTCCTTCACAATCAATCCAATAAATATTTTAAATGTTATTAATCATTTACAATGTTTTCACTCCAAAGTCAGGTACTTTATCATAACGCTTCTCTCACTTTCATATTTTTTTCTACTGCTAATTCTTCATTAATGTTAAAGACATCATGAGATTGATCATTTCGTCTAAGCTTATGATAATGATGACCTTTAGATGAGCAGTGCTTTGTTCTTATTCATTCACTTTATGCTGAAAACAACTGCCATATTCTTTTAAATTGATCTCATAATCTAACCAAAAAATTAAAATGTCAAATTGAGATTGACAAAAATGCAGAGCATATGCTGTCCTAGTGATTAATTGCTTGTGTCGAAACTAAATCTTTTACCTGTTCTTCTTCTATCATTGTTCAAGCTAAGCTAAGTTGGTAACTTCGAACTTAAAAAATGAATTTTTTTTAGCTACTCTCTCGCTGATTTTGTTAAGATATCGATTTCGAGCGTCTAAATATTTCTCTAATTGATCTTGAAAGTTTTGGCAATTATATTTGATGCAAATTTGAAAACTACATTTAAATAGTTTAGATTTCTGATAGGTATCAAAACTCATAAAACTGCTTAACTAAGAATTTCTCTCCAAATCACTGCAATATAATTGCAAGCAATACCCGCGTCTGATTTTGAAAAGTCTACGTATGGCATAAGAGATCTACCGTAATCAGAAGAATGCATGTGAGAAAAGAGCAACCGCGATTTCGCCAATTACATCTCTGGCAGATGTTTCGCTCAAAATGAATTCACGAAGTGTAAGGCCCACTTTTTCAATGATTCACAGTAGGTTATTTCAGTTGTATAAATTGGTGTAAATAAGACTGATAGAACATCACCAAGATAATGGCAGATCGCTCGTTAAACTGCATGAATCACATTATCTATCTTCAGTTCCAGTCCGTCATTCTATAGATGAGAGAACGGCTAGTTTAAAAACTAATTTTAACGTTTCAACTAATCTGAAGGAATTTTTCTGATACTATTCAGTATATTTTATCTATGCAACCAAACATATAAAACACAATATTACAATTGCCTTACCAAAACGGAATGCAGTAGACAGTAGAATGGCCCTGAAAACGGCAAATTTGAAGGAAATTTTTTGAAATGGTTAAGGGAAAATCGAAATATAATTGACACTTTTCACACTTCAATGTATAATTTGTTGCCTCTTTTTTATGACAACCCCCTTTAAAACAACACGCGTGAAAGGATTTTTTTCCCTTTTTACGAATTCGAAATGGTTTCCATGACAAATAATCGCTTGCAGTCTGCTCTTCACTTCATTCCCAATCACTATTTCTTTGAAATTAAGTGGAATAAGCTCTTATTTAAATTAAAGTGAACCAAGAAGTTAAAGCAATATGGTCTATGGTAACTGCACAGAATTCCACAGTTGCTATAATTTTTTTCCACTTTGCTTCGACCTTCAACAAAAAGAAAAACATAACAGCAGCCATTTTCCACTGTTAAATCTAAGATAGTGTCATAAATCTCCATAATCAATCCTTCCGGAGGAAAAGATAAGGATCAGAAAAGGGCATCAATCAGAATCTCGAGCTTAAGTGATTGTGCAATCGGGCGTGAGAGTCACACAGGGTTAATTCTTCTCGTTACTCAGCAAACAATCAAACTTCTTAATCTAAATACAAAAATACACAGTTTGGAAGAACTAGAAGCCACTAAAATGTAAAAAGAAATTATAAAACTAATTATTGCCAAAGTTGTCACTAGTAGTCACTTTAGTTGACTTTTCGTACTTCACGAAAATATGAAAAGTTCATAGCTATCAATATTTTTATGAAAAACTGGAAGAGACCTAAATAAATGTCACTCAGACTTTGATTCCATCAACTTTACTAGGTATTGCAAATCTTCCGGCAAAAATACGGGGGATCCACAACTGCCACGTTCCGGGATGTGGTAAAGTATACAGCAAAAGTTCACATTTGAAGGCACATCTTCGATGGCATTCTGGAGAACGCCCCTTCGTAAGCTTTTCTCAACATTCAGTTTTACTAAATAGAGACCAGTTTTTAAGAACTCATAATTTCTTTTATTCATAAAGCTCTTTTTGGATCTTCATCAAAACTTTTAGAAACGACGGCTTACAGAAAACGGTTCAAACTCACGAGGAAGTACGACAAGTTGAACTGCAAATACTTGTACCTCGCAAACTACTTTTTTGCACTAAGATATTTGCCATTAGGATTATGTACCCATTTTCAATATTTGAGCTTTTTCAAATAACCCTCAGAGATAACCTTTCAAATAGCCAAATATTCCCTTTAGAACAACAAATACGTCTCGTGCACATATTACTATGTTATCAGATTATCCATTCATACTTTTTCTGCAAATCTTTGTAATTCATTAATAATATATGTTTATTGTATGTATTACATTGGATCTGTGTTATTTTATAAAGATCTATTAGCTATAAAGCTATTTGGAAACTACACCAATCCAAAACTGCTCATACAAGATTTCCTTCTTGCAATACAGCGAGTTCCCTTAAAAATAAATGATCCAGAACTCAGACAATTAATTCAGCAATTGATAATTCGGCATAAATCATTCCTCAATCTTTCACGAATTTATAAAAGTTCACAAGTTTTTATTACAGTGTACTACTTCATACAGCTTAAAAGAAATGCTAAAAGGACAAAATGGAGCAAAAGCATAGGGTAAGGAGGACAAACTGGAGTAAAAATATGGAGTAAAGATGTATAACACAAGAATATGCATTACTATTATGCAATCACAAACCAAATTTGACAGTACATGTATTTGGAGCAAGGAAATAACACAATGTGAACATACGAATAGAGCTCTTGTAAATATGCTCATTTGAATATAATCCATATTTCATTTCATAATCACATATTAAGCACCACCACGTAGTGCAAGTACCAAGTGAAGGACTGATCCACCAGCAACCTGCAAAAAAACTACAATTGAATACAAAGAGTTAATAAATGTTAATCGCTTGCATAAAAAGGAATCGGAAACTTAAAAACTAATATTGCAAAGAAAAACTTCTGGAAATCAGTTCTCCCTTTAAGCCAAAATCTTGTTCATCCTGAGAACAGATCCTCCTTTTCCGCATCGTATGAAGTATTTTCTTCTTTTAGAAGTTAAATTACTTAAAACGAACAAAACTTTTGCTAAATAAAACTTCCAAACTTCTTTGAAAAAAATAGATCTGAATAACACCAAACTATTTTAAACTTTCTTTCTGCAGCAAATGCAACACCTACATAAGTTACATTCAGAACTATGGATGGCGAATAAGGTAAAATTAAGAGACATAGACTTCTAATTCCACTAAAAAAAATAGATACTTTTTAAGAAGATTTGCTAGACTTCCAGCATGTTTAACAAGCCGTAGCTGATTTGGAACGAAAAATCAACCACTCTCGCAATAGTCACAAACAAAACATGATTAAATCAAGTCACTATGTTTGCTGAAGTTCACAAAAATTACCTTGTAATCTTGTGCTGTTTTTTCATCATTCATTTGCTTTCCGGCGAAAATCAATCGCTGCTGTGGTGGAGGTATGCCCTCCTTCTCTTCTACCTGAAAACTTACGAGCAAAACTCAAATCTTTAAAGTATTTCAAAAAGAGAATATTTTCACTTTGCTCATGTGCAATAATATCTTATCAAGAACACCTAGTCCGAAACGCCTAGTCACTTCTATTCAATTGAGAGGACGCTGTGGAAAAAAGGAAGATACCAGGCAATGAAGCCAAAGGATTGACAGTTATTTAATTAATTAAAGAAGAATTCAAAAAAAAGGAACCTTTTCCTTGATTCTTTCCACCTTATCATTAGGTTCAATATCGAGCTCGATTTCCTTCCCAGTCAATGTTTTCACCTTGATTAACATCCCTTCAAACCAATTACCTGACCAACCCTTGGGAAAACCCTCGATAATTCCTAATGCCCTTCCAGTAGAGCAATAATAACATGACCAGCCCCGTTAAATATTGATCAGTCAATGTGCAAAAAGTCGTTCCAATGCATCATTGTTTGGTAGCATTGATGCAATTCGAAAACAAAACTCTTTGTTGGGTTTCAGATTTTGTACTTCCTCGTTTTACTGGTATATCTGTAAAGAATTCAACTTGATCAGTGGATGAGAATTACTTATTAGTTCGGATGTTCGAAGCGATATGGCTATTTGAACAGCTAGCATCCATTTGATGTTCACACTGATTTCTCTCTTCATTTACTTTAAGGAATTGGGATTTCATAAATTTTAATTTTCAAACAGTTGAAAAGTGCAGCATATCTGTAACGATTTTATAGTTTTAACAAGTTATTTCTATATTGGAAGTTACATTTTATGGTTTATGAGCTCTTTCCAATCTCTGTAAAATGCATTTACCATGTTGGAATTTAGTATTACTAAATCCATGCAAATTTACATTTACCTGTCTAATTATTTTTTAGTTACCTGTTTTTATGTCATTTCAATGGTTGTTGAGAAGACTATGATATTTGGGTTTTTAAAGCTTGCAAATATTCTCGTTGGAAATTCAGGGAAAATAATGTGAAATATTTTATTAAAAATTACTCAGTGTTTTTCATTGCAAAGGACTTTAGAAATTAACAGTAGTAATTCCCTCCTCTAAACAATTGAATAAAGGCAAACAAATCAAAATGCATTCCGGTTATTTATTATTGACAAGCTAATGAAGTATAAATAAGAATGCTATCAAAGTCAAAGGTTTCAGCAGTATAGCTAGTCTGTTTTTAATAGAACTGATCTACATCATATATGGTTTATTACAGTAATGAGTATTAAATGATTCACGACGTATGCCGAAATTGCAGGTATTGTTCACATTTGCAGAGTATTGCTGAACAAGCCGATGCTGCTTGAGTTAAAGGTTTAATTCAACGATGTTTATGCATTTGGTAAGATGAGGACGGATATCAGCCAACCAGTTAACTTATCTTTTAATTCATGTTTTCTTCTTGATATGTAGCCCAGAAATTTAATTGGTAATGTGAAGACTGAGAAGACAATTGAATATTGAGTTGAACTTCTGTAAAGATAAGTTAGAAATTCCTGAACGGTACATTTGTGTTTTCCAGTGCTAAAATAATCGATTCTTATCTCTTACTTTACCAGGACTTCTTGTGATTTCAAATGCAATGGAAGAATGTTGCAAGAATGTCAAATTTGGCTGGCCCTCTTTCTGGTACTTTTAAAGAAGATTCACGGTCGGGGTAAAAACATGGCTTCCTACTTCTATAGTATTTTTTTACTAACGATATACAAATGGACACCATTGCATAAAGTCCATCGAATGTATAATTAAATTCAGGTGAGTTTTGATTATAAAAAGCTCAAAAAGTTCTTTTACAAAACAATTAACGGTTAGTAAGAATTAACTAACTCGCGGGAATGCACTCTGAATTGTATTGCATGGACTTAATTCTTTTCCAATAGTTTATGGAATAGTTGAATTACTCAGTTAGTTTGTCTTAGTGAGGTATTTGGTTAATTTAGAGTAATAAAACTTGGTAAGAAAAGATCAGCTATTCTTCAAATAAAGACAATTGAGTCATTTTTTAATGCTACCATTATTGTTTTCTGTATTCGCTTACAGATTTTAACGTCCATAGTTCTCTTAATTTATTATCCACCAATAAATATTCTTCAATGAACCTCCCACTAATCGAAAATTCTTTTGCTTAAGCTTGAACACGAAAAACAATCGATATCACTCTTCAATTATTTCTCTCTTTAAAAATTCATGCTGATTTTCAAAAGATGGATTGATCAAAGAATTATCTCACTGTTCAGGTTACAATATTGCAATTTTTATACTGAAATATGCCACGAAACGATTCAGCATCATCCCTCCCTAGCGGGCAAGGTTTAGTAAATCTGAATTGAGGAATGATCAACTTTTATGTGATCACCATCCTGCGAATAAAAATTCATGCAGTGCAGATTTGAAAAACAAAACGCTAAATTATTTTATGATCTCAAGTATCAGTTTCTTGTCTTTTTAATCCATGCTGGAAAGGTACCTACATCCTTTGTGCAAACATGTCCTTCATAAATATTTGCGCCTTCTGCAAATAATCCTTATCCATTATACCTCTATGGTTATGCACACTACTAAAACAGTTTTTTTCAAATTAAAACACAATTTAACTATCTTAAAATGCAAAGTAGATTTTGAATTACTCGAAAAATAAGCTGCTAACATACATACTCATTCAAATCAGTATATATGTCAATGACAAGGACGGAGTGAAATGTTTTTGAGACTTATTCATTAATTTAGAATTAGCGGAATTACTTCCCGAAGAACAAGCAGTAGAACACTTCTTGCTCGAGCCACAAACACTTCGCTATATAAGTTAGTAGAGTACATATTTCATTGAATAATATATATTTCATTGAACATTTAAATAAGCACAAAAATATTTTTTTGAATATTACAAAAAATCATATTCCATTAATTATTATAACAATTACCCGTCGAAATTATCAACCTGACAATGTGCCCCTATCCTTTAAATATAATCCCTCAATGCAGTTCATTTCATTTGTTCCAAATTTGTCACTCAAGCATCACTTTTGACCACGCTTGATATTATGTTTGAACTGCCATATTTCGTTAACTGCAAAATTCAAATCTAACAGTAAAATATATTAATTTTCATTTCACGCTATATCACTACCTTTGACCTTAAATCTCGCTCAATAAAAATCCTACTGATTGTAACACTGTTCTATATCCATGCTTACTAAAGCAGTGTTATTACTATTATAATTATATCAAATTAGCAGTCACTTTTCTTCTCTGGTCGAAACTTTTCTAAAAGCTTGCTTTTCGTCGTTGTTCAACGTTTAACCAGCAGCACAGAAACATCGTTAGGAACATACCCAATAGCTGAAAAAGAAAAAAACTATTAAATATAAATTTTTATTCCAGCTTATGCTTTTTACCAGGCTGAAAATGTTTCCTACCAGTATAAGGAATTACAAAAAAAAATTGAACAATAATTTTCGCATCTATGATATTAGTATTTCTAGCTTGCCTGCTACTGAAGAGGAAAATATACCTCCGCATCGGAGACAGGATAAATGCGAAAGGAAGGGTCAGCAGTGCTGGAAAGGAGTCCTAATTCATCTCACTAAAAATTGTTTCATTTAAAATCACTGCGCGGGTCTTGATGAAAATCCTTAATCTTAAAAAAAAAAAAAAAAAAGCATTACCTCAGCAGTACCCATAATGACGCAGATGACGATTGCAATATCCAGATGATTATTGGCTACATCATAAAATGCTTTACTACACCCCTTAAATTTGAGCGAAATAAACAATGAATACAGAAATAGACCAATGGGTCTCATATTTCCAAAATAACAAATGCACTTCGAGAACCATTATGTTCTCCCCGCTCATAAATAAATCGCTTACATTAGATAAACTGAAAATAAATCGGAAAAATAATCTTAACATAGCACGTCTGAGAATATTATTATTGTAAAAGCTACTAACTATTGGATGAATAAAGGCTTCATAAGTCCAGAGTTCTAACTTGTCAAAAGTTAATCCACAATCAGTTGGATAATCGCGCATACCTTGTTCATTGCAACATGATTGGGGTACTTTACCAATGTCGGAATAACCTGCCGTAAGTGAATTAGATTAATCAGTGCTACTAGGAAAAAAGAGGAAAGAAAAAGGATTGACAACCTATTCCAAGTTCGGTTTTTCCAGGAATATCGCGTCCCCATGAAGAGTATAGCCAGTCTTGATATCCTCTAACACCGCAACATTTGAACTGAAATAATAAAACTGGAAGTGTGATTATACTACATTAGTTATCTAATTTAAAAGAAACCGATCTATGGAAGTCACCAGTTCGAAAAGTCGCTGCAAATAGTTGGAAAAAATTGATTTTGAGTTTGTGAGAAATTTAAAACATTCTAAGTTTTTCCATTCCATGCCAAAACATCATGATGTCCCAAAGTCCCAGAAAGTCATCAGGGTGCAAGTGGATATTGGACAGGAATAAATGTCATCGTTGACTTATTAAGAATTCGATCATTCAGTTAAATAATTTTAAACGTAGCTTATCTTGCCAAATGCAGGATAAGCTCATGGCTGAAGCAAGTTGAAAAATTATATGTGTACGCGTGAAAAGTCTCGCAAATAATTTAATTGGAATTTCATTAAAATTATTATAACTTTTTTTTTTTTTTTAAACACTCTAACCCAAAAAGCTAAAATTTTTAGGAGTGCTAATCACTAATTCTCATCAGCACTACTGAAAGAAATCGGTATGCAATGGGTCTTCAATTCTTGAAAGTTTAGGATAATGTCGTGTGAAGTTTTTTTTCCACCAGTGCTACGCAAATCTAAAGAGAAACTGGTAATTCTGACAGCATTACATGGCAAAAAGTAAATTAAGTAAGTAAAAGGAATTCAAAAGAAGTACTTACTTCACTCTGTATGTTATCAAACAATTCCTTATACGATGACTGTGTAGCATAAAGCTCCTGCACAATGCGATACATTGACTGATCGATATAGCGCTTGATAAATTCTTGTTGGCTGTAGGCCAGTATTGCAGCAGTCAGTTGTAAGCAAAACACTATCAGAAGGATGATGAAGAACTGCAAGGCATTTCTTTATAGCAATCACTTCTCGCATTTCAATTTTAATAATAATGATGCTATTTCTTTGCGCGAAGTAAATCATAAAAGTATCATCTTTGAGAAGATTTGAAATGTTGGAAATGAAATAAAATGAAAAAAAAGATGAATTAGTAAATTCCACTAATCAATTTGACATCGTTTGAAGTAAAAACATTTAAAAACTTGATAGCTCGCTATCAATTGCAGCTGGAAAGATCAAATCATTTGTGGCATTAATATTAGAACATCATCAAGGAATGGGTGAAAAACCAATTCAAACAAAAATTTGCAGGGCATATCGCATTAGTTTTTAAATCTCTGCAGGAATAAATTATCATAAGCTGTTGACATTTGACTCTTCACTCTTAAATGAATAGACAGGTATTACTCAAAGGGCAGGTAACCTTAGGAAAAGAGAAATATGAACTATTATAAAGTAGAGCAGAATACAACAAAGAGAATTTATGTAAAAATACTATGGAAAATAAGGACATTTTTTTTTGACTTTTGCATGATTGAACAAATTTAAATTACTCCATTTATAAAAAAAATTTCTCATTGTAGTGATAAGCACAAATAACAATAATATCAGTCATGAGCAAATATCAATTTCTTTTCACATGGTGCCTGATTAAAATCTAGTGTTTTTTCATTAATTACTTTGAGAAACATGTTCTTTCTAAGCAAAAGTGTTGATTTTTCCTTTTTTACAAAAATAGGGCGCAAAAAAATGGGAAACAATTCTATTTAATAAAAATGTGGAAATTTGAAAATTCTCATTTTCAAATCCTGGCATAAAAAAGATTCATTTTTTCATTTCGTAACATCAGTTAGAAAGAAATTATATATGAAGGTTTATTTTTTATCGAAGATTATTTGTTCTAATAACTGTAAGTGATGAGAGGAATAATAATGTTGTTAATAGTGCCAGTAAAATAAGTAATCAATTAACTTACAACAGTTAACATCCCTTGATTGAGACGCCAGGCACCACAGCAGCCTAATCCTCCAATTAGCGTCAGTAATGTCCCAGTACCAATGAGCAGATAACATATCAACGGGAAATGGTCGCTTGTTTGAGGACTATTTGCAGTGAGAACATCATTAACCGAACGATCCAGTAAAAGCCACAAGCCCAACATCAATACAAATAAGCCCGAAAGCTGAAATATTAATGAGACTTAGTTTTAAAAGATTCTGTTAGTTATGAGTTTCCATTAAAATAGTTCTATAGACATTTCCTTTTTTTTGTAATTCCATATGAGTGTACTAAAGAATAAAACGATCGATTAGAGCCAAACTATGTTCACTTAGTGTTCTGATTTAGCCAAAACGAAGCTGCTATGATATGAATAATTGTTTTGATTCAAAAGCAAAAGCTAAGCATATCGTTATTTCACAATTTCTGTCATTTCTAGAAAGAGCTGTCGATCGATTTCATTATATTCTAAACCCTGTTCTACTCCTTCAAATCTCTTAGATTATTTCATAAAAAATTATATTCAACAAATAGTATAAGGCCACATAAATTATTTCGATATTTAGTTGAAAATGTTTAGCGAAAATTGAAGCTACTATTTATATAGTTAGTAAATTTAACCATTAGCATCAGCTATCAGCTTCATATAGCTTATGTGTCTTGAGCAAATTCTTTTCTTTAGAAAGAATTTCCATAGTTAAAGTATATTTTCAAGCGTTGGCTTCAAAGAAAGAAGTACTCGTCATTTTGTCATTCTGCTATACAATTTTTGATGAGAATTTAATCATTTGATAAACTGAAAGAATATTGGAGTAAAAGCCACACATAAGCAAAGAGAAAGAGAAGCAGAGGAGGAGAAAGAGATGAAGTCGGAAGATGCACTTACCCAAAAACACAAATTGAGAAGGAAAACGATGCTTCGTAAGGTCCGAAAGCAACCTCCGCCAGGCGGTGACTGCACCATCGCAAGTTATCCAACAACAGCTGGAAAGAACTGAGGGAACTAGATAGGAATGAGTGTCAGTCCTGGTCTGATCTATCTATCTCCAAGTTCTGCAAAGGGAGAGAGGAGACCGACGGATGAAAGACGTTATCTGTTCCCTTCCCCTACCCTACCCTTCCATTCCAACCTCTTCTCTGAGAATTGGAAGTTTAGCAATAAGTGCATCATCGATAGATAAATATCATCATGAAGGCAATTTGAATCCATCCATATCTTATGGGAGGTCACTTCTGCTTTAATAATTAGTTGAGCTGTTTTTTACCGTTTTGTGATTATGGTGAGCGCACTTATCCATCCATATATATGCATTACAAAAAATATTACAAAAGATACTTCTTTAAGATAAAAAAACATACAAGTGAGGCAGCTGCTCAGTGTAAATGTTCGGCACTTGTTCAGGTTACACTTTGTATAAAAACAACTCCTTGAACGGATCTATTTTGTAATCAAATTTAGCTGCAAGTTTGACTTCAGTGGGAAAGTGTTCGGCGGAAGATCTAAATTACAATTGTCAATTATGTCAAATATTTTTTCTTTTAGTCCTAAAATAATAATACATATGATAAGGAAGTTATATAAGGAAGTTTTTGAAAATATAAGGAAATTTCAAAACATGTTTCAATGCTTTCCTGATTGAATTCACTTAGCCTTTGTTATTCAGATTGTTCATAAAGTTCTTGAGGAAATTTTTATTGTTCAAAGTTTCATGCAGAGCAAAAAAAATTTCTTCTCATTTTTGATTGTGGAACTGTGACCCAATCCGTTTCTCATCAAATGTAACTTTTGTCTAACTCCGCTATATTTCCCCTTTATTTTCCAAATGACATGGAGTTTTTATTATATCTTTAAACATTTTTCAGATATAATCCAAAAATTTGAACAAATTACGAAGGCAAAGATTTTGTATGATCGAGTCTACTGAAGTCTACTGAACAGTTCCTTATGTATGAATTCTTGATGTATACAGGTTTTCAACACTGATTATCATTTTAATTCTTGGCAAACAGTGCACGATAAATAACTTAAGCCGATTAAAGCACGACTTATAATTGAATGAAGCTTAACAATATCGGTTGCTTTATATTATTTGTGGTGAAGAAACGGGTACTTCTTGAGTTATGAGCATGTAAATAATATAGTATGCTTATAATAATAAGGCTGGTAATAAACTTTTATTTTTAACTCATTATTTTACCAAGCTTTTTGAACAGATATGAAACGCTAAATCATGGAAGTTAATAACATAAATCTCCCCACGAATTTGGTTCATAGGCTCGACTGCTGTCCCAAATTTACAAATTGCTAATTTACAGTCTTAATGTGGTGTAGGTACTCGCTCACATTTGAAACAATAAATGTCTCCATCATCCTCAATCATTAGCTCTTATTTCGATATGACCGATTAATAGTAAACAAATAGTCGAAACCAATTCTGTCTGTATATTCGCCGAAATTCAAAAATATATCGATGAGCTGCTTAACCACTAAATTGTAGAATGAAACACAGTATATAGCATTATGTTCTATTAACCTTATCAATGCATACCTTATTTGCATAAAATTGTTTGCATGAAATGTTTTTGTTTACCAAACAATTTTTCGCTCCTTATGAAATATTAACTACATTTGAAGTCATCTCTTCTTTGTTAGTTAGTTCCTCTCATCTACTATCTTGTTCTCTTCTCTGTATTTGGCTTTCAAAATTGAAGAACTGAAATCTGATTCAAATCGAATTAATATGTCTGCATGTTTGTTTATTTAATATCTTTGGGATTCCTGACATTCTTCCAGTTTATTAACAGTTGAAATTCTTTCAATAGCCACTTCTCTTTTCAGTACCGCACATTACCCTTTAACAGTCGCCCGCAATTTAATTTATCAACCTATCCTCTAATAATACTTCTGCACATTTCGAAAATATATATATTAAGAAAAAGAAATTTGTGAAGCTGTTATATCCATTATCTGTCAAAATGATTACAATAGTCTCATTTGTTATTTTGCTGACAGGAGGATTTCGTATTCATTTCACCGAACTTATTGCTACTGCTATTGATATTCAGGTTTGGATACTGTTTTCTAACTAGAATTGGAAATGATTAGGGATATCAAAATTTAAATTTCAATTACTTCTATTAAATTTAACTGGAACTTCAGTCAGTATTATTCGAGCGAACGATATTAAGTTAGAATATTGTGTGTATTGAAATAAAGGAATTATTTTATGTCGTAAAAGGAAACAACTATTAACTAAATATTCCTTCTAAACAGATATTAATAAGCAATAAATAGGTCATCACTTCCAACACCAAACAACAATAACTTTTAACTGATATCTACAAAATCCTTCTATCTATCAGTTTTCATTTCAAATGATAAAAAATTCATGGCTTGTAGAAATAATTTTTGAGGTGAAAACTGTCTCAATGATTAGCTCCAGACACATTCAGTAACTTCCTTACAAATCATTACTGTTTTGTTTGCATCTGCTTACCATGTGATCAACTTGTTTATCACTTATCGCTTAATCTACTCTTGATTTAGAAATTGACTTAGTTTTGATCTGCCCACTAATCTACTCTAAATTATATATATATAATAAAATATAGTAACAACCACAACTTATAAACAGAATATTAGATTTTTTATGCTCACTTCCTGGAATTGCGCTCCCAACGAGTTTCCAAATTATGTGGAATGTGTCATAAACATTAAAAAGATGGGATGGCAAATGTGCTAATATTATCCTATATAATAGAAAATTATCTGGATGAAATCTTAAGTATTGGTAAATGTTTATAGTATCACAATAATTTCAAAGTATTGATCGTGTTTCTCTTGATCTTCATTTGCTTATTAATAATATCTCATCAGACATCATTTTTTTTTCACCGTATAATTGCCTAATTGGAGCGGATGAGCGCAGTTTACAAAGTTTATTTTTCAATTCTCTTCTACTGTTCATAAATGATTTCCATAGAACAACAATAAACAATAAGGAAAGATAAATATTAAAATTATTCAGCTATTACAATTCAGTTTAACTATAATTGTATAACACGAAACTGTTCAGGGAAAATTGAACAGAATATCTATGTCAAAGGTAATTCAGACGGAAGACGGACAGTTGACATGGAAGTCGGATGAAGAATACGACGACAGTGAACAAGACTACGACACTGTACAAGACGACACGGAAGCCATGTACCGTGAAGATCTCTTTGAAGGCGATATTGGTTCGTTTATTGATTCCCTAGTTTATAATCTATTATCGACGTGAGCATCAGTTGATCTAATATCATAACACACTATCTGTTTTTACAGTGCTTACCAGTAATGGCGCTACCATATTTAATCGTGGTGTATCAATGACTGGACACAGTGTTGGTTGTAAAGGTCGAAACAACTTTTCTATTCCTCAGCTTGAGATGAATGCAGTGCAGCACAATGCAGTAAGGCAAAAAACATTGCTATGGCGAAACGGACGAGTACCATACGTTATCTCTTCCGTATATGCTAATATCAGGTCTGTAGTGTCTCTACCATTCTAATTTTATTTTCCACTTGTTCATTCGCAGTGACGTTCCCTATTTCTCATTTTCCAGCAAACTTATAATTTTGGAAGCGTTTAAAGAATATCGACATCTGACATGTATACGATTTGTCCCTAAACGACGATTCGATTCCGATTACATTTACATTGCGCCTTATGATGGTTGTTACTCAATGGTTGGGAATAATGGTTCGTACATTTTACGACAACTGAAAATTTCCTAAAGATTCGAACGATTATGTTTCTTAAGCTTATCCGACTTAAGTAATCTTTTACTCATTGCGACATTTGTTTTTTTTTTTTCATCCTATTATTTCTGATAATTTCAACATCTATTAAAATGATAGTTCCTAACTTGGCCGTTGAAACACTGAGTTGTTCCAAAATGATGCATCCTAAAAATTCATTCTAAAAAAATGTCAAATTGTTTTGAGTTCATTTACAGGGGGTAGACAAACAGTAAGTTTGGGTGACGGGTGCTTAAAGAAAGGGATAGTAATTCATGAACTGATGCATGTAATCGGCTTTTTTCACGAACAAAGTAAGTTCTTATAAATCATCTAACAATTTACTCTCTATAATGAGAAATAATACTTTTGACTGTATTTTCCTAGCTTATAGTTCCATTCATCAGCATGAAATATTCAATTCTTGCTTCCACCACACCTTTACTTATTTCACTATTAAGGATTAGCAACAATTTTTTAATTATATAGAAAAGAATCTTGTTAATTTTTTGACTATCTGTCAATTAATTATGCAAGCCTAGTTTTTGTACTTTCGCTTCACTAAATGAGTTCAGTGATTTTTGCAGATCGCGCTGATCGAGATTTATATGTAGATATTCTGTGGGAAAACGTAAAGCCAGCTCTTTCTGGTGAGATTTGGTATTTCGAGTACAAATATGTAATGTAGATGTCTCGTCATATAATTGTGCAATTGGCTTATTTCTTATCATATTGACATTGTGATATTCAAAATGTCATTCCCTCCTTTATCTCATAAATTGAATAAGCTATTAATCTTATGAAAACAGCCTTTTATTTTTTAGAACAATTTGACAAATACTCAGCTACCATAATCGATGATTTGGGCTCACCATATGATTATGATTCCGTGACGCACTATTCCGCAAATGCATTTAGCAAAAATGGTAAACCAACCATAATACCAAAATCTATGAACAAAGGTTAATATACGAGACAGAATCATTGGATCATTTGATCGGTTGAATTAATAGATCAATCTATCAATCTGACACTTTCAATAGCATTTTTTCCCTTCAAAAATCTATTCATTAATAACAATTTAGTTGTTTACTCTCTTTAAGTCATGTACTAAAATATAAAATAAATAGAAACGTTGTAGTATCTAGGATTGGTCAACGACGTGGTCTTTCTTTTCTTGATATTTGGAAAATTAACAAATTATATGATTGCATTAAACGTAAGTTCCAATTTAATCATTATCTCACAAAGACTTAATCTTTTGTCACACAAGTAATTTAATATGCTAGAAAATAAGAAAAGTCTTTCTTATATTAGTTTTAGATAAATGAACAAACTATATTTTGCTTCCTTAGAAGGAGCTACGACTTCTGCTTCAAATGCAGAAAACGGAAAGGAACACAAAGAACTGGAAGTATCTGGTACGATTATAGGAGAATTTCCTACAACTATAAGGACTGCAACTATTTCTTCCACATCATCAGCTAATAATACCAAAACAAGAACAAAAGATGTCGAAGAACTCAAAATTAATTTAAATCTTTCAACGTCTTCAACACTATCGCCACCACTTATGTCAGCTTCTGTGAACAGTTCATCAAGTCGATTTCCTGAAGTAAAGAACAGTGTGTCAAGACCTGCTATATCCACTGTTGCTATTCCTGCAACCAAAACAAGTATATCGTTTAAAGATTAGTGGAAAAAAATTAAGGTAACATCCAAAATATGAACAAAGAAATTAAGTGATAGAATGATTTTTCCTTTCAGACTTCACACTTCACAAAATGCATCATTGCAATGATCGTCACCCATATTGTCAAATATTAAGAACCAGCGACTTTTGCACCATTTATCCTCGCTTCGTCCACGATTATTGTGCGCTCAGTTGCGGAAGGTGTTAAAAACATTATATAAAACATAATTATTTTAAAATAAGCCATTTTTTCTTTCTTTTTTTTGGAAAGTTCGAGTCAATTTGCAGACTTGTGAGTTACAAATCATCGATGCATCCAGCACTTTACTATCGGTCTTTGAAGTATCCTAAGACTTAATTAAAGTATGATTAAATTAATTGCCGTTTTTCACCAAAGACACTTCAGATACGCCAAAGTAATCCATTAAATTTATATATTATTTTATTAACTGTCAATTCAATGTCGAAAAAGAAATAGGGATCATTTATTTGATTTAAATATTTCAAATTTTTCCATCTGTCAAAAAATTTATTCATTAGGATACACTCGTGTCAATTTTGAAGATCTGAGGATTGATTTGTAAGCAAAACAAGCAGTAAGCATTAGCAAGTACTCACTAAGAAAATGATAAATATTTATATGCAAACTATTTGCAGCTGTTTCAATCTTTCAGATTATGCGGTTTCCAATGCACTAAAATAGGAGGATTTGTGTGACATTTCAGACATTTTATAATCAGCGCATAAAACACAAAGCTTTTTATGCAGTTACTTGCTTATGCTGCAGTTCACACCTGCAGAATACACCTTTAATAGGAATATAAGAAAACGAAATATTTCGCTTGAACTGCCACTCAAACATCAATCCTGCAATGTAGTGTTATGTATGTATACATACATATATATGTATGTATGTATGTATGTGTGTGTGTGTGTGTGTGTGTGTGTGTGTGTGTGTGTGTGTGTGTGTGTGTGTGTGTGTGTGTGTGTGTGTGTGTGTGTGTGTGTGTGTGTGTGTGTGTGTGTGTGTGTGTGTGTGTGTGTGTGTGTGTGTGTGTATGCTCGTTTATTCCTTTCATAGTTAAGCATTTAACTGCTATTTTCTTGGCTTTACTTTCAATTAATTTTATTGTGACGCGCAAATGTTTTGAAATCTGACAAAACACTGGGAGTGTACTTACTACAGCATTATCATTCCATTAACTTCTAATTTGTTTGATGCTTATTCTAACTGCAGTTCACAATTTTCAAAAGATTTATCGATATCCTCGGAAATAGTCAACGTTAATCAGTGTATTTGAGACATTCAGAAATCCTTTGAAGAATATACCTTAAAAGCGTTCATTTCGATAAATCTTTTTTTTTGAAAGATAAACGAAGCAAGGTACGAGAGAAACAATTGCGCCCAAACATATGTAGTCATTCACAGATTATTGAGAGTAAAGTGATTGCGATCAGTGCTGAAATATTTGTTGTTAGCATTTATAAAATAAACTGCTTCAAAAAGTTAAGAAAAAGGGTAGCATTGAATAAAAACGTCACAGCTTTTGACATGGATTAGAACAAGTACAGATAACAAGAATTTTCCATCCGCGTCCGAATGCCAAAATTAATTAATTAGATTTTCTATAAAAGACAACAAGAAGACTCACATTCAATTCTTACCAAAAGGCACTTCATCCCAACACAGATTCATTATTGTGTGTTATAATGAGCGCGTCTCGATTGTTTACTGGAAGTACTCCTGTTCTGGTGGTGGTGATGACCTCTCTGTTTCAAGTGTCCTAGTTATCTTCCGTAATTAATCCTGATTTGAATAATGGTCTATCTAAGCTGCAATTTCTTCCTGATTCTTTTCATTTTATTTTCGATGTCAGAATTCAATCCGTGCTCATTGTAATTTTGGAATGAGAGTGCTATAAGACTCATAATTATAGGCTACTTATTTTACCAAGTATGGATTTATGCTTTTAATGGATCTAAACTTAACATTTAAAAAATCACAATCTCTTCTTCTGTAAGCATTATTATTATATCAGTGTTTTCTATTTGTTGTTTCAGCTTCTCATTATTCCCTCAACCAAACAATACTTGAAATAAGTGTTTAATAATTGACTTGACACATGGCAAAAATAATTGATGAAAAGAAGTGGATACTTAAGAAGTATATATTTAGACTTTGCTTGAAGGATAAGAAGCAAAATAGTGAAAAACGAAAAGAAACTTACTACGTTACTTCCCAAACTTACTATGTCTTTAAGTTGGCTCATTTGTCCATTATTCTAGCTTATCTGATAAGCTAGAATAATTTCTCAATCGATATTACCTTACTAAAATTTCCATTTTCATTAATTAGTCTATTGAATCCATATTTTCTCTCATTTGCATCACAATAACGATGTGTTTCGCTCTTTTCAATTAACTTAAAGAAGTTTTTTCACCTTAAAAATTTGTTGCTTTGCATAACTTCGAAACTTCATTATTTAGAATTCTTCGATAATACATATCATTACTGAAAATAATTCTATTCTGAAAATTTCATTTGATGGATGTAATTGAACAATAATAATAATAATAGTAATCACATATTATTTTCAAAATATAAGACGATTTTCTTAGTTTCTGATTGAGAAGCAATATTCGAAAAAACGAATGGAATCATTTAGATATCAAACAAGACTCCGCGCAGTCTTTCTAAGCAAATGAAAATTAATTTAAACTTTGCTTACTTAATTGACAGTATATTTTTATTTGTTCTGCTGATTGATTTTGTTGACAACAATTCTTTAATAATTGGAAAATATGCGGTATTTCAATAATATATTTAATTAAGTTAACAGTGGATGAAGTTGCAAGATTAGTACAGTTAATGACGCATTTTTCTAAGATAGCATATCATTCAAAAATTTTTTATGAAAGGTTGACTGATTTAAAAAGATGAATATTGCTCTTTCAAACATTACTTTTCCAAAAAATATCTGTATTATTTGCACTTACAAACATTAGTGCTCAAATGACTTTTTTTTTTTTCTTTTACCATTAATTAATTGTGAAAATTTTGACGTCGTAAAGAAGTAAAACTTTCTATGTTGATAAAATAATCATTGTTCTAATAAGCTTAGCATGTATTGATCGTTTTTGTAAAACACTAATCTATCAATGCGTGTGAACGTCACGTAGGTATCTTTGCATTCAGCAGACGTAAGCAGTATTAATTTTAATTTGACAACTGAACTACTCGACAAAATCAGTTTGACAAAAAAAATCTAGCAACATTAAGTTTCTTTCGACATTTCCTCAATTTCTGATGGAATTTTTGGGACACATGGTATAACCCAATTTGAAATAAACATGAAACAGACATTGAGTGGAATTTTCGAAGTCTAGCACAAAATTTCGAAAGCTTGTTTGTTTTCAAACCTCTCTTAAAAGTTTTAGAATAATGCGAATATGATCGGTCTCATCTCCGCTTGATAAGTGGATAGCAATAATCCTGCTGTTGGATAATTGTTCGGCGCTGTTGATTGATTGATCTGAATTTCATGATTGTAACTTGATGTATGCCACACAACCAAATTTCGATTCATCCTTCATTATACAACATAATTTTCAGCTGTTTACTACTGTCCCGTCACAGCGATTTCATTTTTATTTTTGTTTCAGCTTCTCATTCAAGTAGCACTTCGAGCCATAGAACTTTGCAGCATTATCAAAATTGAATCATAAATGCTAGAATGAGATACGGATACTATTAAAACGCTAAGACTATTAGCAACACAACATATTATATTTTATTCTCTCCTGTGCTCATCATTTCCGGAATACATATCCAGTAATTTGAAGATAAAGTTTAAATAGGAAAAACTGATTGGTAGCCACCTCTTTGCTTGCGCTTTGTGCATTAATTCTTGCTTATGCGGAAACCGGTCGTAATTGGAAGAAAAAAGATAACTGATGACGAATCCAGTGAAGATTGATTTAAGGCAGATCATCCCATTGAAGTGCGCAGTTTGCTCATGTAACTGTTGGTTGTAGCTAAGCATTTTCTGTTTCATCTGCGCGATAAATTTTCTATAAGATGGATTCCATAGAATGAATTTTTCTCAAATATTTTTCCTGCGAGTTGATAACTTTAAATCAGGAAAGCAGTTTGACATTTGGTGGCTTATCATTGATAACAGTGATTATTGACCACATCAAAGTCCAAAATTCTACTTTTTGAATTAAAAATCTTTCTTTTCAGGAAATTTCTAGCACATTTATGTTATTGCACAGATGCCTACTTTTGCTTTTTTTAAAACATTTTTAAAAGTTTTTCGTGCGCTGCTTTTTATATTTCTTAAAACTTTATAAATTTTATCCTTTAATACCCATGAGTTTCGTATGACTGGAATCTCTCTCTTCGCATAAGAATTGTTTTGTGAAATTTTAGTGAAACAAGACTAACCGACTTGAGAGTTATCATATGGCAAATGTTCTCCTTCGTAAATAATTTTTACGAGTTGTTATTGCGAAACTTCATAATAAATTTCAAAATAAAATAAGTAGAGCAAAGGGTTCAATTTTATTATTTATGTTTTTTGCAGTAATATAAAAATGGTGTGAAAGTGGAATAATACTATCTATTATTTAAATATATTTTTTGCAAAAAAAAAAAAAAAAAAAAAAAAGAAAATAAAAAAGAGCTTTAATATTTGACCGATTTTTAAGGAAATAAGATTAAAAGGTCTCAGTTGCAGTACTCATACAACACTTCATTGTTTATCAAATTCGCTAACAAAATTTTTATTTTTCGTTTACTATTTTTTAGCAAACTTATGAATTGAATCTATTAGAAACTATTTAATATGAATGGTGCACATAATTAGGCAAAATTGGCTATCTCTTTCCAATTAAAATGAGAAAAGTGAATACAGTGAATGAACAAGATACACTGCTACTTTATTCCGCCTTACTTTACGGACTAAAGATATTCCGCCTTACGTTACGGACTAAAGATATTCCGCCTTACTTTACGGACTAAAGATAGATAATCTTCGTCTCACAAATTTTCATTTTTGGCCTCTAATCTCTCAACTGTTGCCTTTCTCTCCCATTCATTCCTGGTTTCATTTGTAATTTCTAGAAATTCTCTACTGTTTTCTACTCACTTCTTTGTCGATGCCATATTAACTTAATTTGTTCCAGATTTTTTTTACTTTTCAGCTTTCATTTTGAATGATTTTTCAAAGAGAAGTTTCTTTTTAATTGAAAGTATGAAATCAAAATTCGAAAAATACAAATTCAAACAACCACATTAACAGGCATAGTATAGCAATAGATGTTCCAAAAAAGTTTGTAAAACCACTACTGACTTTAAATTTCTTTCAAAAAACATGAAATGATAGCCCTAATTTATACATTAATGTACTTTTATTGTTGTTGTACTCTAAAGTAGCTGTAAATGTTGCAGAGAAAAAGTTTCGTTTCGAGATGTCCGTCCTGTTTGAACGGAATAGTTAAACACAGATTCAGTAAACATTTTATTTGTCGTCACTTACATTTACTCCTCTTTTCTTTAACTATTTCAGAAGCCAGTTTTGAAAAGCCCACCATATTACAAATGTTTCCATTCAGCTAATATTTGTAATATCAAATACTCCTTCTATTCAATAGTTTCATGTCACACCTTGTGCTAGTGTGTATTAGGATGATTTTTGAACAACTATTATCGATCTCTATCTTTTGAAGAAATTTAAACAATTTCATAGCTAAGAAATCAACTTACCATCTTCCTGTTGTTTATGACTTTATTACATCACTTTTTTTTAATTTCGTTAGGTGTCAGGGATTACCGAGAAAATGATAAAAATATAGTATTGCTATATGCATTGACACGATGAATGATATAGTATAATCATCTATTAGTATCTCTGAGAGCAATTAAGTATAAAAGTGACTTAAATTCATGGGACGTATTGGTTCATTGGTTAAATTCTCTGAAACTCTTTATCCAAATTTTGGTGTAATTTATTTTTTTTTTTTCTCAAATGAATTAGATTTTAGAAGTTTTTGAAATTTCTCGTAGTGCAGTATAATTTCTAATACTTACTACGTCACATATTTGGTAGCATTGATCCGAAACTTTCGTAATTTCCTGGCAATAATAAATACACAATGTCCTCGTTTGTCTGTTGCATCCGAAATTTTACATTAGTATATCATATCATACTCAGAATATATCTATCTTCCTTCTTTGCTTTATTTATTTTTTTATTTTAGAACATGAAGGAGCTGTAGATCATCCATCACCTGTAAAACTATACTGGAACACGTTCTGCGCAGACACTCTTCATGAAACTTCAAATTAGATGAAATATTTCAGTTTTCAATAAAATACTGCAAAGCATTCTTTTTCGGAGGTAAAGGGTAAAACTGCGTCACAAAAGCACTCGCACAATCATTGCTTCCTAAAATGGACCGTTAATAGAACCGGTATTTGATGGTATTCAATGAGATTCATTCCAGTTTTTTTATCACAAACTTCCTTTTTTTTGCAACCATTTATCCATTCACTAATAATTCATTCAACAACTTCAGTATTCGTAAAATACTTGACGTACTTGACACTTGGAAAAGTGAGTGTTATGCGTGAAGTGTTTCTCACCAAAAATTTACCTCCTACGCAAAATTGCACCAAACTTCTGTTACTCAATTCAATACATTTATATCAAATTATTTAGAAGTTTAAATCAGCTCATTAAGCACACTGGAAAACTGAATTTTGCTGTGACTAAAGAATGAAATGATGCAGTAAATTTAAACAAATTTCCCAGTTGTATCTATCTTCCCAGTATGTATCTATCTATTCGGCTTAATGAATTAATCTAAAAGTTGACAGAAAAAAAAAAAAACAAAAATGTCCTTTTCTTCCCTGAATTTTCAGCAGAAAAAAGATTTCATGAAGTCTTGTTGAATTTGGTGATTTCACTTAAGTCTGGAGAATTTCGTTCAAAATTACTAAATTTATCCAAAATAGTTTCGAAATCTCATCACTTTTTTATCACACTGAAAATCTAATAAAATAAATTGGTGCACTACAGTTTTTGTTGCAAAATTAGAAGATACATAATGCAAGATAAATTTGTCAACAAATTTTTAATTGCATGTATCACTGATTAAGTTAATAGCTACAACGTACAAAACAAATGGTTCATTTTTTTGGCTTTAATTTTTCATTTCGATTAAAATTCAAGACTTAATCAAACAAGCTTATAAGGTTTAAACAAATGTCTAAATAGTTTTTATATTTGAATGTAATATTGAGCACAACTCATTACTTTTATATTATTGGTTGGTTTATCTCTGATTAAATGGCGAATCCCAAAGAAATACTATTTAATATTAATGTCAGCAATTCTTTAATCTAGTAATTTGTGGTAAAACAATACTGAGTCACTTATAATAGTCAATAGTCCCATTGCTGGTACTAGGTAATAGTGACCTCTGACCTGATGTTAAGCGTAAGCTTTCTAGATTTAACAACTGATGCTCTTGAAAAGGGAAGGAAAGGAAACACAAAGGCGGTTATTAACAAAATTTTTATATTTTATTTGCATTTATTCAATCTCTCACCGATTTTACACTGATTTAATCTTTCATCGAAGGATAATAATTCAACGATTTTCTTTATATGAGAATTTTATATTTTCTCAGAAGCTGAAATTTCCAATCAAAATTTAGTTAATAGTATGCACTTCTGGCTTAACACAGCACAATTCTAATCTGTTTTCGTTTCGTTTATTACAATTTAAAAATGTGAAGCGCAATATCATACTTTAATCATTTGCTATCTAACGTTAATTTTAATTGAAATTTGGAAGTTGTTCAGGAAGAGAAAACAAAACGATAAAGTTTTTTTTTCAAATAATCAATTCCTTTCAGATTCGTAATTTTTTATAAATCGAAAATGTCTACAAGAAGGCGACTGCACAATAAAAGAGTACTGAATATTTTTTTATGGAAATAAGGCAATTTTATCAGCAAACTTTATAATATTTTTTGAATCACTTTAAGCTAATCAACAATAGTTAACCTACTTTTCAATTATATAACATTATCTGAAATATTCATATTATTATCTTGTTAAATCTCTTAAAATGGGTAGTCCTCCTCCCTCATTTGTTCCTCCTCGCTAATGCTCATCCGCTTCTACAAGTATTCCAGCATGATCATCGTGATGCGATGCGCAATCGTTGCTGAATTTTAAGATTATGAAAACAAGAAAAGTTATCTATTGCTTCCCACATAGGTAAATTGCTGTCCACACTGGATTTCACATTTCAAGGATTAAAACTATTCTTCTACTACAACTATACAGTGTCCGGTTTTTAAATTAACAATCAAAGCGGTATGGAGGTTAGGCCTGTTGCTCTAATGACTGTTATTATATAATAGAGGTATATTTATGGAGAATAACTTAGAGTGGATGCCTAACCTTTATATAGGTTGTAGAAAATGAAGTAATTCATGAGAAATGTATCATTGTGATGGAAGATACGGAAAAGAGAAGACGAAAGGTGACGGACGATATGTGCATTCGGGATCGTTACACTGAACAATGCATTTTTCAATTAGCTTTGATAAGCGCCGTAGAAAATAAATGTCCTTGAGAAAACGTGTCTTCCTCAATTTCCTTTCAACACTTCCATCAGAGACCTATACGAAAGCCATCATTGTCCTCCAATTTCATTGATACATAGTTTGTTAAAGTGATGAACGTTTCATAAACGTAATCAGTTGTAGTAATTTTCTATCTCACCTATAATAGTATCCCTAGCCAAAGGCGTAAATTTGCTAAGAGAAGTTACCGACCTGACCTACTAAAGGCTCACTCAACCTTTGTTGTAGATCAACATCTAATCGCACCTGTTCATTGCTTCATGCACTGCATCTAATGTTAACAGAAGTAATCTGGCGCTCACAACATAGCACTAAGTATTTCATGAAAACTGGAACAAAGAATCAATTATTTAGCTATCTGAAAGAAGCATAATATAGCAATGCATAAGAGAAAAGAAATTTCATTTGACTGTTGCGGAATAGCGCAATCGGATGGATAATTTACTGAAGGGAAATAAATAATGGAATTACTGGAAATCTGTTGTTTTCTTTCTTCAATGAAAATCCCTTGCATATCGGTCAGCGTAAATTAGCCACGACAGTGTGCCTTATTATAGAAGAGTGAGAGATCAGTGCTTCTCGGTATAGGTTCAGTGCTCATCACTACTTTATCTAGACTTACTGAATTTCTTGTTACTTCGTCGAGATTACTTGTCAAAGTTACTCAACTCATTCATTCAACAAGCAGGTTGTTGCATAAAACATTATCCCGAATCTCTATTGACGTCACTGAACAAAAGAAACAAACTGAGATAAACACCTTCCGATGAATGGTGACAAAGAAAGGAAGCATGATGAACACAAGATGGAATAGTGTTATATCGTCTCTTGTGCATCTGATAACTTTATCCTATTATTAACGCCTTATTCTGTTTATATTCTTTCTTGAATTCTAGTTCCTCGTAGCAAATTTTACATTTCAAATTAATTTCAGGTTCTTTTATCCGAAGAAATGGGTCTTATAATCATAAGAAAAATTTTTTTCAAAGTTTCACTTGATGACCTATCATTGACGTCAGCTGATATTCGCTTCATAAAAGGTATCATATAGCAAATTTTTAACTGGTTTTGACGACATAACCAAATATTCTTTTCATCGTCAATATTATTTATCATCACAAAAAGTGAAAGGTCAATCTCCATCTTATGCTCGTTTGTGACCTGAATCACGCTTAATAAGACAAATTCTGAGATCTCAACCTGCTCTTATCACCTTTCTTATTTCCCAAAGATCCTTCATTTCAATCTCTCGTTATGTCTCGTTGCGATCATGTAGTAATGATTCAAAACAGCGATAAAATCTTCCTCCTATCAAGAAAAGATGAAGTATGAGAAAAAGATTTCACCAAATCGTGTTTCATTCCCCTTCAAACTAAATCACCTTTCTTGATTTCATCAATATTGATCAGAAAAATTAACATCATTATGCTATCTTTCTTTCCTACTCAATCTTAATCACCTTTTTCCAACTTCATACATTGCAAAAGTATTTTCGTGCATAAATTCTTACTAGTTAAAGTTTTTTATAATAATCGAAATATTTTCTACAGAAAATTATGCTGTTTGCGCATTGCGGAATGTTGCTATTTGCGGCTCTTAATTTGATCCAACCGTAGATATCGGTAGTGATAAAAAGTTAAATAAGGATATATTTATTGTTAAAATGACAAATATATGTCAAATTCTATAAGATATAGGTTCTCCATGATTCTTTAAAATCTTCTCACTTATCCACCATATATTCATATCCCTGTTTTCCTCCTCTCTCTGACCATCAGCTGACAACCTACCAAGAAGTCACTTTTCATTTCGCTCAGTGCAATAATTCAGTGGATTATCAGTTAAACGATTTCCAATATAATTTCTTCTAATTGCAAATTCCGAGTTTATTTTGTCAGCAGTGTCAGATTTTTGATTTTGTTTAATACAAAGTGTTCAGATATCAGATTTTTGTTTTATACAAAGTGTTTACACTAAAAAAATTAGGAGCGATAAAGATTTCTAAGCATGTAAAGTTATTATTTAAATTTCTAGAGTCAATTTACTAAAACTCTTCAAGAAACTTCTTTAACGGATGCTTGAATACTTAATTATACTTGCAATTAAATGATGGAATACACAACATATTAAGCTAATAATAATTTTATATTAGTGATTGACAGTATATTTATCACTAATACAACATAAATTACTCGCAAGCAGTATATTTGAGGTATTGCAGCTGTTTGTTTTTGCTGTTAGATTATAGCATTTCATTTCTCACTGCATTCAATTTTCTTCAAAAACGTCAATATTTGGCATAATTTTCAGAAAGAAACTTTATAATTGAAAAGTTTTCAAATGATCTTGAAGTAAAACTTAGATTCTACAAAATTAATCAGTTATTATCAGTTAAACTCAGTGCTTGATTTGTACCATATTGCTTTCTACTGTTTATAATATTCAAAGTTATTTCTTCTTATTCCAAATGACTAAATATATAAATTGGTTTTAGCTTGACTTCTTTTTCAAGTCACGAATACTGTGTAAAGAAAATTTTTGCACTCTTAATTACTTTCTCGTTCGAACTTGTTTGTATACTTTTACCAGCACACTTTTCATGGCAAAACCGTGGTTGTTCATTTTTTTTTAAGTTTATTTTTTACCAAACTAACTATTCCTTAAATGAAATTAAGATACAAAAAACTCTGATGCCGAAAATTTCTAGAAAGGCTACAATTTCCTCAGCTAGTAGCGGTTGCATAGTAATATTGATATCTCAACAAAAAAAAGCTCGCTTACTCTATCATTTTTGTTTATTTCTCTCTAAAATGTTACTTTTTTTCTTATCCAGTATGAGAAATGTCTTTATTTAAAAATAAGTGAAAAAATATTTTTTCAACCTTTCCCTAATAGTAATGTACCATTGGAACAACCAAATGATCCTTGAACAGGGTGATGATGCAGATGGATGGCGGTTCTTGTCATACATTGCCACTGACGTTTCCAATGACTTTACTTACCTTTCCACTTTGCCATTTCGAGTTTTAAATTTATCTCCATAATTCTAACGTTCTATTTCTTCCACTTTTTTTTTATATGAACCATTTTTCATTGCATAGATGGAAAATTCCTCACAAAACAATTTCATCCATTTTAATTAAACGAATATGAGCTGAAGTTGAATTACTAAGAGTTCTCAGTCTAGCATTGTTACTTCATGTTAAGAACTCTCATGTCATCAATTTCAGTACCTCTCGGGTTTCAAACTTCTCACAAAGGCGAAACTATTGCCTTCCTACTCTTACAAATAATGTTTTGAATGTGATTACGCAGCTATCTACTTCAATTTAACTTCTCTTCTTATAATATTTTAGCACTATATGTAATTTTATACGAATTTTAAGCTTTTAATAATGAGTGATGTTTAAGAGAATTCAACCAGTTCTTTTTATTTATTTAAAAACTTTAGGTCAAATTCTTAGCTTTTCTTGAAAAAGTTACTTGAATCATCGCAACTGAGGATTTGAAAATAGGAATTTTTCGAACTTTCTAAAAAAAAGCACGATTGGAAATAGGAGAGAATGAGAATCTTTTTAGTTTTCTATCCATTCTTCTCTTTTAAAGTTAAAATAAATCATACACAAATATTTAAATAAATATACAAGCAAATGAACATTTTCGCCTACCGAATTTCAAGACTTTCACAAAGTTGCGCTCAGCGGCTGATTCGAAACACTTTTTTTATCATCCTGTTGATTAGGTAACATACGAACGAGGAAGGTCGGTCATTCTATGTCTTATCGATAATAATGAAAACTGGTTTTTGAACTGTATTTGGTGATGAAATTCAAAATTTTCTAAATTCTTTTTGCAAATTTACCCATTCCCAAATGTACTCCTTAGTGGCGCTATTTCACAAACGTTAACAGTTATCACTGTTATAGAATGGAATTTTTTCCTTCATTCCTCAATTAATCATTCAGTTTTATAATTTTTTTTTTGTAACAATAATTATGTTTTAAAGAAGTCATAATTAAAAGTGAATCTAAAAATCTGTTCAGATAACATTAATTTTAGATTCATAAATGTGATATCTTTGTGGGTAAATCCATGCTGACAATACCATATACTTCATAACTAACCCTAGCTTTCTTTGCATGACCTCTGTTTACCTTACCAGAATATATTACTACAGTAATAGTTGTCTCTGGTTCAAAGTTTTCTTTTTTTTTTTAAGGACAAGTTCATTATCAATAAATTACATTTCTACACTGTCAGCATTGTCCCAACAACCTCTCTTATTCATAAGAAAATAAGATGTTTAATTTCAGACCGTTCACTAAATGCCCATTTACATGATGGACATTTGTAACTGTCCATTGGTCATGAAACATTTGTTTTACTAACAACAATAAATTTTTCATCCAAAACCAATTTGAAACTCGGAAAAAATTAACAAATTACTTTTTTGTTTAACAAAAAGACACTTATCAAAACTTGTTTGAATTCGAAATTAGAGTACGAGTTCCGTCTCTATTCACTTCCAGAAACATCAAATAAATATTCACTTGGATGAAAACAATGAGAAGTTACTCAATTGAATTACTTAAAGATAGGAAGCAGAAATCGCTCTCGCGATCGCTATAGCGTTATCTTTATTCTATTGCCCGCATTTCAGCAAATATCCGGAATAATTGATTCCCGTACCAACATGAATGCAACATATCAAGAAAGTTTCCATGTATGTCCTCCCATTCACACATAAACAAATTTGTTGCTTTTTGTGTTCGCAGGGTGTTAAATTTCAAACCACTTTGTAGCACGGATAACCATTTATGTTTTTCTTTCCACTTTATCCAGCCTCCAGCCCTTTGTCATTTAACATTTGTTAAGTAACGTTTGCTTCATATACTATCTGTACAGAAACATTATCTCTTAGCTTACTCCTAAAATATCCATTTTACTCTTCTTTTTTTGACAAATTCCTATACGATATTTATTCACTTGACTATTTAAAAAAATGCTTGAGACTTTTCCGATTCTGTTCTTAACTGTTTAATAATGATGAAAAATTTATACCGCCATAATTTCTGCTTAGAAATTTCTGCAATGCTAAAATGACAGCACTTTTGAGCTAAGTTTCCATTTGATTTGTACTGAAAATTTCACTCTTTCATACTGATGAAGTTAGAAACAATTTACTGTTTCATTTTTTGACGTTAATATTTTGTAACCTGTTGCTTATTGATTATTAAAGCAATGTTGATTTGAAAAACGCTAGTGGAATTCGTTTCATTTTAAGGGTTCCATTTTAATTTCATATTTACAGGGTTTTCTGCTTAAATAATTTCTAGCAATCTAGAAGTGAGAAGTTTGGAAAGGAAGAAGAAAAGGATGCGACATGAAATTTTGATTCACTTGTTGGTCTGTCTTTTTTCAGGTAACTTATTCTCCCAACCAAATTTGCAATTTTTGAATGTCAAAAATTCAACTGTTGCCTTCAATTTGTTACATTTTTTCCTCCTAAGATATTGTAGCAACGCAATTTTAGTGTTGCTTGCAGAAATTTTTGAGCCAAAGACAAATTTCTTCCACATTGCAGCTACTACTCTGAATGCTGAACTCGAAAATAGTACAGTGGAAGAGGAATTATTGTCGTCAACGCTATTATCATTGCGACCTATACAGCTAAAATCTAAGTCAGAATTAGAAACCACTTTACTACCACTTGAGCCAAGCTTTTCTATCCAGAACTTAGCGGAAACTATTGCACCTCGAGAAAGAGGATTTCTTTTTCCCGAGATTAAGAGAGCTCGAGAGCTAGGCGCTTCAAAAACTGCAATTTATGAGCGAGAACCTTCATCATCACCATCGCCATTTATTAGTGAAATCGATTTCGTTGCAACTATTGAGGCGCAATCTGATCATATTAACTACGAAAATGCAACGCAAGAAGAGTAAGTTCAGAATTTTCAACTATAAAGCTTTTCAAATTATTAAAATCATAAAAAATTTCAAACCACAGAAAGGGAAAAAGAAAAAATTATGAGCTTTTAGTCATATTCTCCAAGCTGTAAAGATTTATCTACAGCTCGGAAAATTCTTCAATAAATTTTTTCCTCCCTTTTCAAATATCCGAATACTTCGGTCTATTCTTTTAT